CGCGTCGACGACCCTCAGCCCCCTCGTGCCCTTGACGCGGAAGTCGCGCTCGAGCGCGCTCCCCAGCGCGACGGTCCCGACGGGTGGTCGACCGTGTCCGCGTTGTCCGCCGCGTATGCGTCGATCTCGTCCGCGCTCCGCGCCGCGCCGAACGCGCCGAACTCGCCGACGAGGTAGCCGGCGAACGCGGGCGCGGCGGCGAACCGGCGCACGGCGGCGATCGCGGCGCGCATGATCGCGCGGTCGACGTCCGTCGAGAGCAGTGCGGGGTTGATGAGGGGGGCGTCGAACGGGTCGGTCGTGTTCAGGGTGATGTTGCCGCCTGCGGGCGTTGGGAGATGAGCGCGTGAAAGGGAAGCGCTGGGGACAGGGACCTACGGGACGAAGGGGAGATGACGTTCGTGATGAGGGAGAGGAAGCGGCCTGTTGACGGGAGGGCAACGCGCTTCGACACGAAATTGTCCTAAGTATGGAGTCAGTTTTAGCCGGAATGAGCGTGCGTTATGGAAGATACGTACACTGATGATGATCTCGAAGTGAGCGGAGGTAGGACCCGCGCTTGGGTCCTCCGCATCGATGTCGGTGAAAATCGAGTCATTTGCACGCAGCCACATGAACTGATCAGAAGGCGGAAGTCCCAAAAAGCCTGTTCCGTTCGTCATCCAGAGCTGAAGCTGCTCCGCGGTCAGGTTGGCGCTCCGATGAAGGTCGTCGAGAGTGAAGTTGGCAGTGACATTCCACGAATTAGGGAGGAAGACGTGGTCCTTGATTCAGGGACTGTAAGCGATGATGTCGTTGCAGGTGAAGGAAACATCTCGAACCTGGAGATTTCTGCCTACAGCAGTGAGGTTGACAATAGGAGTGATACCCTTGTCAGAAAGGTGCGTTGCATCACCAATGCCAGATAACATGACTGTATAATGGCCGTGAGCGCGAATATTCAGATAAGGAGCCTGCATGCTCACGGATGTGAGGAGTCTTGATAGACCCCGCAGACAAAATCACCTCCTTTGACGCAGTGAGGTTGTAAGTCGGACCTGACGTTGTGTTAGCTGGCTTCCAGTACGCATGCTACGAGACTCACCCACCATCTGCAGATTGAGCAAACTCGACTGTCCGCATATCTGGAGTGTCAGCACAGGAGCCAACTGGCAGTATTTTCGTCACACGAGTATTGACGAGGATGTCGAGGTTAGTACGGCTGGAAGCTTGGGCAAGATACGAGGACGCTGAAGTGACGCGTACGCCGTCGTGGATCTGTGGTCCAGGTTAGGGATGCGTCTCACCGAGCATTCCGAAACGCATACAGTCCATTGAGCCCAACCTAGAGCTCGTCAGATAGTGCATTGGATGCCCGCAGAAGAGCATCTTACTGAAGCCAATTGTGTCACCGGAGTTGTAGTCAAGGTTGAAAGGAATTCGTCTGGGAGTTCAGCAGAGGTGTTCAGAGCAATGGAGTCGATGGGCTCCAGGAACATCCCCGGGACGCTAATGTCCACAACTCCTAAACCAAGATCAGCAGCTACCCATCTCCATCGTTCAGGGAAAAGAACGCTCACCATGGCGGTGGACCGCCGGATTGTATTGCCCAGTCGTGTTATGCCCGTCCGCTGGGGCCGTTATGTTGTCGACCTTCAGCACGAAGGGTAGAAGATTCTCCCACTCCCATCCACTGTCTCCAGTAACGTTTGCGATCCTGCCGAAGTCGTCCTTGGTCCCGCGGCAGAAGGCCATGAGGTCTGAACATTCAGACATGAGCGATAATCGAACGTAAGCAAAAGAACGTACTGATCGCAGTGGAGCCGCCGAGGACGAAGCCGCGAGGGTATTGGATTGCCCGGTTGTTCAGGCCTTCTTGTGGGGTCGTGGTAAAGTTCCAGTCCTGGAACAAAAACCGTAGTTAGACACCGCAGGTATGGGAAGCACATTCGGAACTGCACTCACAAACTGTGACCCAGTGAGCCTGGAGGCGAATCCAGGTACCGAGATGTTCAAGTTCATGAAGTCGCTGTGCGTATGTTTGCGCTCGATGGGCACGTGAAAGCGTAGAGCATAGATCAGCACTCACTCTGAGCCTGCCTCGATGAGCAGAACGGTCGTGTCCGGATCTTCAGTGAGGCGGTTCGCCATCACCGCCCCTGCCGCGCCAGCTACACGCGCATATATCGCTAAGCAACAAAAGGAGATGAGATCAAAAGGCGAGGCGACTCACCGCCAACAACGATGACATCGTAGGACTTGCTGAGCACTTCGCTCGTCGGGCTCACGAACAGCGCAGCCTGGGCCGCGTGGAGCCCGAGCGCGACGGCTGCAAGCGCCTGGATTACAGAGAAACGCGGAGAGGGCATCGCTCGGTGCAACTGGATGAGCAGATGAGCAGAGAGATGGATGCTGGGGGGCTATATGGACCCCCGCGCGCGAATGGGAGGCGGGGGAAAGGGGTGGAGTGGTACGTACTCAGATCACGCTCTCCCCACGCCTGCCACGCAGAGAAGTAACAGCTTCGTCCCTTCTCAGAAGATATCGCGTATTTATGGCACCCGCAGCGGGGCACGCATGCCCTGCGTCATGTGCCCGCCTTCTGCACAGAGTACCTCGGAGGTGTGAATCCGGAGACTCATGGATTCAAGGAGTATGTCCCTAGAGATCCGCGTGTGATCTGGCAAGAAACTACGAAGAACGAAATGGTGGAGGGGTCAATGCCGGAGATTCGAGAGAGCCTCACTGCGGTCACGGGAAAACTGACTGAACAGTTATTATTGTGTTGGCCCGCTAGCGTCGTCGCCGGTGAGATGTCGAGTCGATGAGCTAGCTTGGAGCAGCATGCCACGGGGATGGGCCAGTGGTTCCCATGGGAGGCGGATGGTAGAGGAAGGTGGTAGATTCGGCGCATGGATACATACGAACAGATTACACGCAGATCTCATCTCCAGTTCGTCGACCGACACGTCCACCGGCTCTGCACGACCTCCATCCAGGTCCATCCTTGCCGCTCCTGCCTTGAATTCATCTTGAGGTGTTGTCAACGCTGGGCATTCCAGTATACATGTCTGAGTGTAGACAAGTTTGTTTGTTGAGGAGCGTGGAGGTCGAAAACGGCGGATACGGGGTTGAGGTCGAAGAGAAGAAGAGGCGGATCTCGGAACGAACTAGATGATGGTGGATGACGGTAAGAGGCTGGCTGGACTTGCCATGCCATTCCGCCGGCTAGCCTCACTGCCACTTGACTCCCGCCACCACAAGGGGTGGCGAGAACGAAAGTTTTGGATATCAACTCCGGAAAGTGCTCGCCCAGGACCCCGGAAACTTGCCCCCCCACCCACCTGCCATAGACGGTTATCCCCGTCGACCGGACGGTCCAGCCCATGACGAGTGTCGTTCGGACTGAGCGCGAGGAACGAGCGCTCGGCCGAACTGGTGCTTACTAAGCGGGACGCCGGATGTGGAAAGCGCGCGTCAGCGCGTCAAGGCCCAAGCCTCTCTCCTTTCCCCCTCCGCGTCCACGCGCACCCAAAGCGCATATAGTCACTCGATCCTCCTCCATCATCGATTGACATGGTCGCTGACAAGAACCCAGCCCTCCCGGGGGTCTCCAACCCCGCTCGCGCTCAAGGATCAAGCTGGTTTGCCCGCGATCTCGCACGAGCGCTCGCACGATCAGCGGGCGATCCGTCGGCAACGCCGGCTAGCACCGAACCCGGGAGCTCAGGCATCCAGGCATCGTCTCACACGGTGAGCTCAGGCACGCATATAGTCGGCTTTCCCCACGCTGCGGAAGACGCGGCGAGTCGCGTGGAGCCTACCCCGAGCGCCTCGCAGAAGACCTCGGCTGGGAAAGGAAAAGCAAGGGCAGTTGAGTTCACCCCCGAACCGGACTCCGACGACGCTGGGTCCAACGGCGATGCGCACGGCCTGGAGGACCTCGATCAGCCTCCGTCACCCGGTGGAGAATCCAGCGCGGCAAAACCTGGCGAACGGACCAAGCCGGCGGACCCCCCGGGCCGGGACCCCCAAGACGCCCAGGACAGCGACTACGACTCCGAGTTCCCCGAAGAGTTCAAAGCCCTGAAAAAGGAGAAGTACACCTCGGCTGAGGCGCGCCGGTTGCTGCGCGAGGCTACCGCTCAAGAGGCTGAGCGCGAGGCGGCCAGGGAGTTGAGGAGGAAGGAGAGGAAGGACAAACGCGAAGCCGAGGAAGCCGCGCGCGAGGCCGAGCGCAAGCGCGAGAGGGCCGAGCGTCAGCGCAAGGAGGCGGAAGAAACTCGCGCGCGCAACGTCGAGGACATCCTGTCCAGCGCGGTCAAGCGCAAGCGTAGTGCCGTCGAATCGGGCAAGGCACGGATCAAGCGGACCAAGCGGACCCTCGGCAAGATCGGCAAGGCAGCGGCCAAACGCCTTTCGCGATCGCCGTCGCGATCATCCGCGAGCCACTCCGAGAACGAAGACGAGCGCGAAGAATCCGACGGAAAAGAGGACAATGACGACATCGTGGTCCGCGAGGCCGACGACGCCGAGGACATATTCACGCTCAACCGAGCTCCCATCGACAGTCGCTTGATCACAATGTTCCGTAACGGCCACTACATCCCCCTTACCGCCCTCACCAACGAGTCACTGCGCGCGATACGTTCGGACGGAAGCAAGAGGAAGCTGGTCAAGGCGGAGCCGCTCCAGGGGGAAAAGAAGCACCACATCCTCGAGGTCAGCGTCTTCCCGGACGAGCGCACGATGTCAGCCCCAGACTGGGAGGAAGCGTGGAAGAATACGTTGGAAGGTCTCATGCCGGGCGTCTGTGAGGAAGCCATCATCGCGCGTTGGAGGGCACACGTCGATTACATCAAAAACGAGATTGATTACAAAACGAGCTTCCCTGCGCTGCGACAGTTCGACCTAGACCTCCGCCACGCGTGGTTCACACAGGGCCCAGGGAAGAAGTCGCGCTTCGACGTGGGCGGCCCGACCTACGTAAAGACGATGATGCTCGCGCGGCATCAATGGGCCACATCTCAGGCACAAGCGAGCGGCTCTGGCTCATCCAGCGGAAGACCGAACCGCAACGCACGTGGGGGGCGCGGCCCGGGCGGGGGATACGCGGACTCGGGAAACAACCACGGCGGCAACGCAGACGCGGCGGGAGGATCCTCGGGTGGCGGCGGCGGACGCGACAACGGGCAGTCCTTTCCATCAGGCAGACGCTTCAACGGCCGCGGGCTGTTCTGCCTCATCTGCAACAAGCCCGGCCACAAGGCGGACAGGTGCCGCACAAAACGCAACCCTTCCTGTTGAAGATACGCGCGGAAGCGCCGGCTACGATTAGATTAGATTACGCTATGCGTTCGGATGATACCTTTGTAGTTCCTTATCTCTTAGTTCAGTCTATCACGCCTTACGATACTCTTAGGTCTTTGTTCTTGTCATGTACTATTTACAGCGCGCGCGCATACAGCGCTAATCAAGCTTCGTTTTCCCTTCCCCGAACCTGCGCGAACTTCTACAGGTTATGAGCCCTGCTTCGTTCTAAAGCAGTATCCACTCAGCCTCTTGTACACACCTTAGCTTGACATCTCCACTCACTATGACTTCCAACACCGACAAGATCAACTCGTTGCTCCGGGCGAAGATTGAGCCACTCTCGGGATCGAGCGACTATCCCCGGTGGCGTCGGCAATTCTCAGGGCTTCTCAAACTCGCGAAGATCTCGGACATCGTCCTCGGTCACGAGACGCGCCCGAAGCTAGCCGACGACAGGAGCAACAGAGCCGACGTCGAAGCCTGGGAAGACAAAGACCTCGCGGCGCTTGTCGGTATGCAACTCAAGCTCGGGACGGCGGCCGCGGCGCTTGTATCGGACGCGGATACGAGCCACGACGCCTGGATGAAATTGGAGAAGAACTATCAAGTACGCGGCGTGGGACGCATCATCGAGATCAAGAGGAAGATGATGAACTCACAATACTCTGATGGGGAGGACGTGGACGAGTGGGTGCAGAGGATGGGTGTGTGGCGGTCGGAGTTAGCGGACATGAACCGGACGATCTCAAACGATGAGTTCTCACTTCTGCTTCTCTGCGCACTCCCGGAGTCTTGGCGCGGCTTCACGAGCTCGATTCAAGAGAGCGCGCTCCAAGACCCGGACACCATCATCGGATCAATACGCGATCACGGAGCGCGCACTCACGCAACCGAGGCCGCGTTCCTGGCGAAGCAAGGTGGGACCGGCGGGAAGCGGAGCGGCGGGCCGCCGCACTGCTGGAAGTGTGGGAAGGTCGGGGTGCAGAGGGATTGCCCGAACCATCGTCCGTGGGGCGGTGGCAAAGGGAAAGAAAGGGAGACGGGAAAGGATGAGAAGGCGTTGACGGCGAAGGAGAAGAAAGGGAAGCGGAGGAGAGTTCGGACGATGAAGGATACGCCTACGCTCTCATCGAGACGGGCGCCACGATCAACGAGGTCGCGCTTACCGCTATGAGCGCCGGCGCATGGATCGCGGACACCGGCACCACATCGCACGTCGCGCGCGAACGGCGCCTCTTCACCACCTACTCACCCGTCACTGGCAAGTACCTCCAAGGCGCCGGAACCACCCCCATCCTCGGTCGCGGAACCATACGTTTCACTTACAAGCACGACGGGAAGACTACCACCGTCGACCTGCTTGACGTCATCCACGCACCCGGCATTCCGCACAATCTCATCTCGATCGGTCGCGTCGAAGCGGCCGGACACACGGTTCAACTAGCCGGCGGGGAGATCAAATTCCTCAACCGGAAGGGGCGCGCTTACGCCTCTGGACGCCGCGGGGGCGGCTACCTTTACGAAATGGACGGAGCGCCGGAGATTCCGGAGGTATCGTACCCGGGCGCTGTTTCCAGACCTATCCGCAAACGAACTTACGACGAATGGCACGCCATACTAGGGCACCCGGGCTTGAAGGTCGTGGACACGATGATGCGGAAGGAACTGGTGGACGGACTGGTGGTGGACAAGGGGACGCCCGCGCAGGAGCAGTGCGAAGCGTGCGTACAGGGGAAGCAGACGGTGGCACCATATCCGGCGGCGTCGGAGACGGAGGTGGGAGTGATCGGGGAGTTGATCGTGCTGGACACGTGGGGACCGGCCCGGACGGAGGGGATAGGACACGAGCGCTACGCATGGGTGTTCACCGACGTGCACTCGCGTATGTCGGAAGCGGCTTTCGGGAAGGAGAAGTCTGAAATCAAATCACATTTCCACGAATACCGCATGCGCCTGCAAACTCTCCACGGCGTCACCATCAAACGCGTCCGCTTCGACAACGCGAAGGAGTTCCTCGGGGGAGAGTTCGGCGCTTACCTCAAGGAACACGGCATCACGATCGAGACTACCGCACCCGAGTCTTCTGGCCAGAACGGGATTGCCGAGCGCGTCTTCCGGACCACCTTGGAGCGGTCGCGCGCCATGCGCATCGCTGCCGATCTACCCAAGTTCCTATGGCCACAAGCCTTCGCACATGCCATCTTCCTGAAGAACATCCTCCCGACTCGCGCACTCAAGGACAAAACACCCTACCAAGTGTGGCACAAGCGGAAGCCCGACGTCTCCGAACTCCACGCCTGGGGTGCCGAGTGCTGGGTGCTCACGTCAGCAACGAAGCGATCAAAGCTTGATCCGAAATCGGAACCGATGCGCTTCGTCGGGATGGCTCCGGGGAGCAAAGCCTGGCTATACTGGGACAGGCACGCGCGGCGGATCGGAAAGTCACGCAACTTGGTCTTTCGCGTACGGAAGCCCACTCCGCCGCGGACGAGGACGAGGACGTATGGGAGTACATGGAGTACTTCGCCCAGCCGCTCGAGGGGGAGGATGTGGAGTCTGGCGAGCGTCAGGACGAAGAAGAAGGGGGAGAACCCCGAGGAGACGCGGACCGGACACCCGCACCCGAACTCGCGATCGCGCCCGCGCCTGAACTCGCGCCCGCGCCTGCGCCTGCGCCCGCGACCGCGCCTGCGCCCGCACCTGCGCTCGCGCCCACGCTCGCGCCCGCGCCCGTACCGGAGGTCCCGCGTCGCGCGTCGCGATTGGCAGGCAAGCCACGCCTAGACTACAAGGCACTTGCGCACAACGGCGAACGCGTCCCCATCACCGACGAAGCACTCATCACGTGCTTACTCTCACTCTTCGGCGTTGAAGGGGGAGCGGGGAACGTCATCGAGCCGCGCAACTTGAAGGAGGCGCGCGCACAACCGGAGTGGCCAGAATGGAGGCGCGCGATGGAGAGCGAGCTCGCGCAACTCATCAGACTTGGGGTCTTCGAGATGGTGCAGCTACCGGAAGGGCGGAGGACAATAGGATGCCGCTGGGTCTATCGCCTGAAGGTCAACGCGGAGGGCATCATCCTTCGATTCAAGGCACGGCTGGTAGCGCTCGGGTACAGCCAAATCTTCGGGCTGGACTTCTTCGACACATACGCGCCAGTCGTGCGAATGGATGCACTTCGGGCCTTGATCGCGATCGCAGTGCACAAGCGACTCATCATTCGGCAATTCGACGTCGTCGGCGCTTACCTCAATGCCGACCTCCAGGAGGAGATCTACATGTGCCAGCCCCCGGACTTTGAGGACGGGACCACGAACGTGCTCAGCTTGAAGAAGCTCCTCTACGGACTCAAGCAAGCCGCCAATGTCTGGAACATACACATCGACGGGGCACTCGTACAGGACATGAAGTTTATTCGCACTGAACCGGATCAGTGCGTCTATGTCCGGCCCGGCGGCGAGCACGGCATCGGACTGCACGTGGACGACATGGTGGCTGTGGCTCCGAACGAGGCGGAGATGGACACGATCAAAGAAGGTCTCGAGCGTCACTACGAGATCACGGATCTAGGCGAGCCGCGTCTACTCCTTGGACTTGAAATCTCGCGCCCTATCGGATCACCTGACGACCTCACGCTGCGACAGACGAACTACCTACGTCGCGCGCTTGAAGCACACCACATGTCAGAGTGTACACCGGTGAAGACGCCGATGGACCCGAACGTCAAGCTCCTGAAGACGAGCGAGGATGAGGAGGTGACCCCCGCACAAGTCCATGAGTACCAATCAGCGATCGGTACCTTGATGTACGCGGCACTCGGCACGCGACCGGATCTCGCGTACGCCGTACAGGCGCTGTCCCAATTCTGCTCGCGCCCCGGCCCAGTACATTGGACGGCCCTCAAGCACGTCTTCCGCTACATCAAGGGGACACTCGACTACGGTATCACTTACCACGCGCAGGGGGAGCTGGTAACGAAAGTGGCGTACCAGCACTTGCGCCTCGAAGGGTACACCGACGCGGACTGGGGCGCTAATCCGGTGGACCGGCGATCAATCTCCGGATACGCGTTTCTGATCGCCGGTGGACTTGTCGCGTGGAGCTCGAAGAAGCAAGCGGTAGTAGCGCTATCGTCGACGGAGGCGGAGTACATGGCGGTGTCGTACTGCGGGCGACACACGATCTGGATGCGCGCACTTCTCGCGGCGCTGTATCTGAAGCAGGAGGACGCGACGGACCTCAATGCGGACAATCTCTCAGCCATCGCGCTCTCCAAGAACAACGTGCATCACGCGCGTACCAAGCATATCGACATCCGGCATCACTTTATTCGCGAATGCGTAGAAGCCGGTACTATCAAACTGAAGCACGTACCTACGGAGGACAATGTCGCGGACATGTTCACGAAGCCGCTTCCACGCGACCGCTTCCACATGCTGCGGCGGCAACTCGGGATCCTCTCAGACGCCGAGTTGAGGGGGAGTGTTGAAGATACGCGCGGAAGCGCCGGCTACGATTAGATTAGATTACGCTATGCGTTCGGATGATACCTTTGTAGTTCCTTATCTCTTAGTTCAGTCTATCACGCCTTACGATACTCTTAGGTCTTTGTTCTTGTCATGTACTATTTACAGCGCGCGCGCATACAGCGCTAATCAAGCTTCGTTTTCCCTTCCCCGAACCTGCGCGAACTTCTACACAGAGGATTGTAAGTACTGCACGGTCGTCACGTCTTTTCTAGGTTCTGACCCGGTGTCCAGGTTTGAACATCAATGTGATTACCCCTACGTCTGTCAAACCTGGGTCCAAGCTCCCTGTCGTCGCTGTGAGCAGTGTACTCTTCAATGTGGTGCGAACAGAGTAGTGATGTGTTATCACCAGTACATCTTCTTTGGTGCATTTGGCTTCGGTGGAGCCTTCGAGTGAGTGAAAATCGCTGAGCATTTGCAGGACGTTCCTTCCTGACAATGTGACACAGTGTTGATGGGCGGAACATGGTGAAACGATCTGCAGAGTTGGGCGAGCCCGTCATCTTCGTATCGATGAGCTATCGGTCAGTCCTTTCGTTTCATAGAAGAATTATCGACACTCACGATGGTATACAGGCTTGGACGTGAGTTGCCTTACGAGATTACGACTCCAGGGCCCCGAGTCTCAATTTAATTTGCTTACAGCACTCGGCTGGCTCGGAGGAAAGGAGGTCAAGGACGCGAATGTCGGAAATCTCGGCCTTCAGGATCGTAAGCCGACGTGTCAGTTGATTTCGCTTCACGAGATTGCTGACTTGGTGGCACGGTTCACAGAGCGTGAGGCCCTTCGCTGGATCCAGCGTTACATCACCCAGTTTGGCGGCGATCCCACGAAGGTCACCTTGTGTGTACTTCGAACTGGGATGGAAGTCGTGCACTGATCGCCCAGTGGACTGTTCTGTACAGGCTGGGCCTCAGCTCCGGCGGCGTTTCGGCGGCGTTGCATATCGTGTACAACGACGGGAACACCGAAGGGCTCTTCCATGCTCTGTGGGCCGAATCGGGCGCCATCCAACCCGTCGGTTGGCTCGATGGCCCGCGTCCGCAAGCGGCATACGACACCTACGTGGCGTCGGTGGGGTGTTCGGACGCGAACGATACCCTGACATGTCTCAGGCAGGCACCCGCGGATGCGGTGACCAACGTCAGCGCCGTCGCCTCCGTGTGGAGCCCACGCGCGGACGGGAACGTCATCTCGGACCTTCCACAGACGCTACTCATGGGAGGGCATGTTGCGAAGATTCCCATCGTCGCTGGTACGTTTCCAATCCGTCGTCCCCATTGACCAGCTGCCAATGATCATTCGACTTTACAGGGAACGCCGAGGATGAAGGGACGCTCTTCGCTCTCAACCTACCCAACATCACGTGCGTGTATACGTCTTGCATTGCTTGCTGTTCACCAACCTTCCTCGGCAGCATCGATACGGAGTTCGTTGGGTACGCCAGAGCCGTGTACTTTCCAAACATCAGCTCCGCCGACGCCGAGACGCTGGTGCAAATGTATCCGAACGACCCGGCGCAGGGTGCGCCGTATGGCACCGGAGACGACTTCCAGTACACGCAGATGCACAAGCGCGTCGCGTCGTTCGAGGGGGACACGGGCGTCGACGCCGTCCGTCGCCTCTTCACGCAGCAGATGAGCGCACACAGCAACGTTTGGGCGTACTGTGCGTCTTCCGATCGCCCTTCTCTCCCCGGAACGATGCTGATGTTTCTTCCCAGACTACAGGCGGGAATACGTGCCCGGCTTGGGATCGGTACGTCCCCGCGTTGCCCTGGAGCTCCCCGCTCCCCGCTCATCTTCCCCGTACAGACGCACGCGTCGGAGGTCCCGGACATGTACGGGGGCGGAAACCTGCAGGACATCTTCATCCACTTTGCGAACACGCTCGACCCGAACGGCGCCGCGAACGTCACGCAGAACTGGCCGATGTACAACGCGAGCAACCCGGTGCTCTTGGAGTTCTCCGGAAACACGACGCTCTCGCTGACGAACGACACGTACCGCGAGGCGCCGATAGAGTTCCTCATTGAGATGGGGCAGAAGATGCCGTGGCCCGTTTAGTTGCATGGCGGAGTGTTTTGTTGTGGTGGGAGGACGCTGCAGTGGACGGCGGGCTAATATCTGGCTCCTTCTGGACTCGCGAAATGATCACATATAGTATATGTTTTTATTGAGCTATTGGAAAGATACAGTAAAATATTGTAACGATCCAACGGCTGCGCGGAGGATGGCCAAAGTGTTGCCATGAAAGCACGGCAGCAGAGCCCTTCGGCGCCACAATGGGCAGCGACCATCCTTCCCCAACCACCTCCACCAGCTGGATGACCGTACAGAGTTGCTGGGAGGAGCACTGAGGCCGGCCGTTAAAGGTTGAGGAGTGCGAACATCCGGCATGTTTGTAGATGGGATGCTTCGTGGGTTCCACTTGGTGGCTGGCGAGGATGGGCTAGTCATGAGCAGGAAGACACTGGACAGGAATCGCAGCCTGCACTGCCATGTGGCTTGCACGTGCACCAGCCGCTCTGATAGGAAGCATGCCAAGCATTGCAAGGCCAGGATCGATGGTAGCTCTTTCAAAGGGAACGACGATGGACAAGCTTTCAGTCGAAGTATTCCAATACATCTGTTTCTTTGCCACAACCGATGGAGGAGCCACCGCCCGCTCTCTCGCGCTCGCCTCCAAATGGGTCTCCGACGCATCACAACCCTATCGCTTCCACTGTCATCCTCATCGTCGCCACGGTCGGCCGTCTGGAATCCCTCCTTGCCCACCTTGCAGCCTCCAGAGCGCGCTTCCCGGATTCTCCCCCACAAATTCTGGACTTATTCCTGCTCTGCACAGAAGTCACCAGTGCCGAAAACGATATCAGGAGTATCAGAGACAGCAGATACCGAGACTGCATGATCGTCGACGGCAGACACAACGGGCCCGGACGCGGACGAGACTCCAGCGGAGCCAGGATCAGACTCCGCGCACTACGCTGCACACCTCTCCTCCCTCTTTGCCCAGGCTGGCCCCAGCCTTGAGACCCTAAGCATCGTCTTCATGGAGCGCAATCTGAGCTGGAACACCGCCCTGCCCACGCAGCTCCCACATCTCCGCGAGCTCACGGTGGTCAAAGCGTCTCAAACGTTCGTCCTCGCGCGTGCCGCGCTTCCCCGCCCTCCGCCGCCTGTACTGGTTCGGCGCACCGGAAGACTGGGTCTACCTGGCCTCGCTCGGCATCGCACGGTTCGGGGGGCACGCGCCACAGCTCACGCACGTCCGCCTGTCGAATTTCGAGGGCCTCGCCAGCTCCGCCGGCGCCTTCAACCGCCCCGAGGGTGCCTCGCCACTCTGTAAGCCTCTCCCCACCCCTTCTATACTCCACGACTCACGGCAAACCACAGCCAAGGTGCCGATCCCGCCCTCGTTGCGCAACGTCAGATTTCTGCTGCTCCAGGTGAGCCCGTTCATGCTGCGCGACGCGACCTGGATCCAGACGGCGCACATCGAGGGCATCGAAAACATCTGGCGCGCGCTCGAGCATTCGAGTCTGCCCGTGTGCATGATTCCCGCGCAGCGGCAGGACGACGCGCTCGACCACGCCGGGCGCGACGTCCAGCGGCTCGCGCGGGAGCGGCTCGCGCGGATTCGCGGGGGCGATGGAGGGATCGGGTGCTGGGAGGTCCGTGAGGGCTGGAAACGCGCGAAGCAGAGGGGGGACGTCCCCGACTACCTCGTCAACAGAGATCTGTGCGAGAGGCAGTCGTACTCTTTATCTGAGCCGCTATGGTAGGTAGGACACAAACGAGAGTTCGATCGACCTCCAGCCGAGTGACGCAGGGCAGAAGGTGATGCACGTAGGAAAACGAACGATAACATGGAGCAAGAGGCACCCAGCGAAGGGACGGAACGATACGAGAAGACGTACGTGTCTGGGATGGGCCCTTCGATGGAGCAGATATAGGTACGCGCTATGTGTGAGCACCGGTTCGACATAAAGCGCATTCAATCTGGGTCATAACCGTCAGATGCATGCAAGGAAGGTCCTGACATGACGGCTGTGTTGAAGAAGGGAAGTGTACCGTTGCTGCTGCGTCTCATCCCCTCCGGCCCACTCCGCGCTTGAATCCCTAGTCGTTCTCCAATGCGAGGTGTTGCTATGGCCGATACGAAGTGTTTGTCAGGTCAGACAACCCGGGGACGAGGAAGTGTGCAAGCCATGGTGGTGGGAGAGGCGTGAAGTGATTCGCGAAGCCCTAACCCTGTCCTGAGGTTTTGGTTCAGGGGATGACAAATCAATGATGGATCTGTAGAAACGCGGCAGGCGAGCGCAGCAGCAAGTTTCGATCCTCAACCCCAGTGAGGGTCCCTCCCGTCTACAAACGTCTAGATACGTCCCCGCGCCACTCACATATGTAGACGTATCTAGACATCCAGCACGGTCGGAGGACATATTTTAAATCCGTCTAGAAACGTCTGCTCACATGTAGACGTATTAAATCTGTCTGTATCTGTCTGTATATGTTCAAATACGTCTGATTATGCGCTTGGTACTGGACAGGGGAAGCTCCACACGGCTATCGGCCCGTTCCACCCGCCCTCGCCCCGCGTGTCGCCGCCGCCGTGCGCCCCATCGCCCGCGCCTTGCGCCCCGTCGCCCGCGTCTCGCGCCCCATCGTCCGCGCCCCACCCCTTGCGCCCCGTCGTCTGCGCCCCGCCTGTCGCCACCGCCTTGCGCCCCATCGTCCGCGCACGTATCGTGCCTCGCGCCCGTCTCCCACCTCGCACCTGTCTCGCGTCCGTCTCCCGCCTCGCTTGCACCTCGCGCCTCGCGACCCCAGCTCTGCAGCCCAGCGCCCCGTGCCCCACGCCTTCGTCGTCCACACCCCGCTCTGCGTTGTCCTACTCACGCCGCTCCGGCTGCAGCGCGATTTGGTTGCAGACGGCGGAGTCTCGCCATTTCTAGAACAGACGTCGCGTCAATACGTCGCGACGCGGTTGGATCGAGCCAACGAGCCCTTACCGTCCGTTGCGGGTGCTTCATCGACTTGTAAAATGTGTCGAATTCTTCGTGGCTCCCGTGATGTGTATTGTACCACAGGACTGCGCATTGGTCCCTAGGATAGGAGGTGAATACAGGTTCCAAAAAGCGAAACAGACTCTACCTGAGTTTGGCTCCCTCCGCAGGCACCGGAGGCCACACAAACTTCGAGGAGCTGGAGGCTTTCTTGGAGCTTGCGGAGACGTTCTTCATGGAGGACCGTAAAGGGGCAGTGCCGGCAAGTGCCATGAGTGCAGCGGCGACCTGCATCGGAGTCTGTGCCGCAGACTGCACTGGGACTGGGGGTGCTGGCTGAGGTGGGGCGGATGCAGATTGAGAAGGACCGGCGGCGCCCCCCGAAGTGTCGACATCCATACAATCTTCGCGTGGGATGTCTTCCCGAGGTGTATCGCGCGGAACAGCTTGAGACGTGTCCAACTCCTGGCAAGTGGTTAGGGCGGTTGACTTGTCAAACGGAGGGGCTGGGAGGCGTGTGCCTGCGATCACAATGCAGTTCAGTATACTCAATCTATCTGCGCGCGATTGAGAATACCTGCAGCGACGGTGCTTGTACCGCAGTGTCCGCTGGTGGAAGCGGATGGCGTGTTTGTCATCAGGTCATTGGCGTACTGAGTGGACCCGTTTCGGGTCATTGATGCGGCTTCTTGTGCACCGATAACGTCCGTGGGACCGCGTGAGCTAGTCGATGCCGTACTTGCGGTAGCAGTGGTCGTATGAGTTGGTGGTGCCATCGCCACGGTGGTTTTGGGAGCAGCTTGAGTTGCGGTACCGGTGCGCTTCTTACCCTTAGTCTGGTTCTTCACCGTGCGTGCGGGAGGAGGGAAGCCACCAGGTGGGACAGGGGGATGATTCACAGCATTTGGGACGACAGGGCTTTCGGGAAGCGGCTTGCCCCCAGTTGGAGGAAATGATGAGGCTCTGTTTTGGCGGTAGAATGAGATCTTGCGGCGACACCGTAAGGAAGTACTACTTACAGTGCACTAGGCATCTGTCACAGCACCACGAGATCAGCGGAGAACCTGAGTGTCGAAAGCAGGGAGCCACATACCAATAGCAGAGGTGCAGGTTGCACGAGACCGTCGTTACTATCAGACAAGGAGGATTCAGTGATCGGGGGAGGAGACGAGATCCTAGGTCTCTTCGATGGCTGCGAGTGCAGGTCGTCCGTCTCTTCAACATCCGGCAGTGCGTGTGGTGTGGTGGGTACAGGTTGATCGGGTGCTGGTGAGATGCGGTAGGGAGCACCTTCGAGATCGATCGAGCGCTGCTGGGTCGTGCTGCGGACCGCGTGCTCTTCGTTCCATGCAATGCCAGGTTGGTCGTGATCTTGCTCTTCACCGTCGTTATAGTCGATATCCTCTTCATTGTCATCGTTGTTGTTCATAAACTCGTCGCTGCCTTGACTGTTCTCTTCAGGCTGGATGATATCCTCCTCGAGCTCATTCGCATTATCGTAGAAGTCACCGTTAGTCTTCTGGTCTTCGCTCTTGCAGTCGACGGGAGCTAGAGGTGACCAATGCATGTGTATGAGTTCGTGCATCGATCAGAGATGATACCACTTCAACAACCTACCTTCCGTTTGCCTGCGCGAGTGCGCCTTGCGCTTGCGCTTCTTCGACACTGGTTTCTGCTCGCGGTGGATCACCTCGATCCGTCTCTTGCGCCACTGAGGATATTCCCGGACGGCTAGTTTCCTCGCCTTCCAGTTCTGCAAGCAGATCTGGAGCTCGGGATGCTTCGCGCGGATGAAAGCAAAGTAATCGATGAAGTCGCTCGGGTGCAACTTCCGTTGCCAGGTTGCAGGGAGCTTGTCGAACCCGCCATACTTGCTCTCGAGATGTGCGCAATACGTGTAGAAGGACTCACGAATCGCCTTCGCAGTGAACCCATCAACAGGTTCTCCGTTGGTGTTGACGATATAACGCTCTCGAACATTCTCGTTGTCCGCCATCCGGGTCCCTCCACCCTTCTGCTTCGTTTGACCCACTTCTGTGGACAGCGGCTGATTGTTGTTCCATTCGTGCTCGGTCCAAAAGAGTTTCTGCCGATGGTAGGTGAGCATGGGGTGAATAACCACTCGAAAAATATGCTTACAACGTCATCGGGGACTGGGAAGTCTTCGCGTGTTCGTGGAAGATCGATCCAGAACCCGTTTTCATCCATTTTGAAGACCCGGCGTGCAGCAGCAGCTATATACACAGCCATTACGACACAATTCCGGCTGTGCAAACCGGAATACGCACCGGCAGCCTTGTCTTGCATCCCAGGGACGTTTCTGGGGTGCGGGGCTGGATAAACCAGCCTAGAATGCACAAGGAATCACGATAGGACTTACTTTAGTGGCATGATCTCCTTTCTCAATTCTGCTATCTCCTCTTGAAGGGCGGTGATGGATTCCTCGAGCTTCACGTGCATTTGACGGCAAGGATTGTGCAAGAACTGATATATCGAGGTGATCAGCAAGAATATCAGAGCAAATCACACTGGAAAGACTCACTGGAGGCTGCCCTATTGGGCTCATTGTCTGTGCCGACTCGGACTCGAGTTGCATCCACCCATTGGGGTCATCAACTTCCGAGTTTTCATAGTACGTATTAATGGGGTATGCATGATTGTCATACGATGAAGGGTAAGAAGGAGACGAGAAATTGGGATGGGTTGGGGAAGGAACTGGCTGTACGGTGGAGGTCGTGGGGGTAGGGAAGGGCGCATGGCGCGTCTGATTTGAGCGCATATAGCCAGCGTTTGTGGGCGGTCCGCCAACGGTCCGTGGGTTGACTGGAGGGCGCAACACGGTCGAGGATGATTGCAGCCAAAATGGCAGAGGTTTAGACATTATAAAGACGTTGTAGGGGACTCTATATGGAAAGGACGGGGAAGATGAATGAAAGGTGGAAAGAAACGAGGGTGCGCAGGAGCGGCAGTGAGCGACAGGATAAGTATATGCTACTGATCACGTGCCAATGACATCGGAGAGCAGGAGCCAGTCCAATTGCAAGATCTAGTAACTCATGTCATCCTACGCCTTTCCTACTCCCATGGACAACATCTCAGCCGACTCCATCATCCGTGCCTACTGTGTCATTAAGACAGCAGAGGACACGACATTGCCTGCACGCGACACCCTGGCCCGCAAACTCCTCACTCTCTCTTTCATGTTTGCCGACTTCGCCTGCGACATCGCATCCTCCCCGTCACTCTCCCCCGAAGAATATCGTGATATACACACCTCTTCCACAAAAGCAATGGAAGGCTTCACCAGTTTCTTCATCGCTGCTTTGACAGAGCTTGAAGAAAGCCTCGACTCCGAGTCACCACCCAGCACTCCCATGGCGGCCGTCCCCGACCTGTCTCAGCACCAAACGAGCATTGGAGAAGAACACCATCAGCTTGTCAACCTCATCGAAGAACGACTGAAGCAGCTCCTGGAACCATCTTCTCATCAAGCTCTCATTGACTCTCTAGCCACCTCTCTTTCTGCACGCTTGTCTGGTCCACTCGCCATGGCAGTAGCTGAAGCTCTCAAGCCACCGCCGAAGATTCCTGGCGACCAAGACGTACCCGTGGCGGAAAGTTCCTTCTCGCAATCACAGGAATCTCCGCAGCCACGCCAAAGAATGCCCTGGGAGGAGGAGTGGGAGATCTGTGGTCTATCTGGCTTTCCGGGACAGCCGAAGAAATGGCAGAAGGGTCGCGTTTTGAAGGTATGTGTTGTCCAACCTCCGTGTTGTGTGGGTGATTTCAGGCTGAGGTGAGCCCCTTTGGCAGGGTGAATCGAAACAAAAGCGAGGTTGAGTGCTTGCAGTGCAGGCTTGTGGAGGAACACGCAGACCGGGACTGAGCAAGAACTTATGTAAACTGCGAAATTGGAGAGCAGTAGTCTGTATAGTACAAGGTGTGAATCACGATATAGTCTCAATAACGGTGATGTGTGATGAACTCTGAGTAAGGCAAGGGACCAACTGTAACACACGAAGAGGAGCGATCCTCAGTCAGTGATAGAACGACTATATTGAGAGCATAAGTTCTACCTGTAACACACGAAGAGGAGCGACTACAGATAGAGTAAGCATATGTAAGGAGCGCATAGTAGTGTGAATAGACTTACTCCTCAGTCAGTGATAGAACGACTGAAGAGCAGTGCGAGCCAGAGTCCTCCCTATATACTGTCCAGGAGTAGCATACGTAAGCAGTGATGGGAAGACATAATTGGCGCAGAGAACAGACCGGACAGAAGATGGTTACAGGGCTGTGCGGGCTGTGCGCTCAAGACAAAGAAAGTCCGTAAGTGGAACAAGGGAACAAAGAGAGAAGCGTAGAAGAACGGAATGGAAGAGATAAGGAACTACAAGGCAGTGAAGTGACATATGGAAATATGGGAAGTCTCTCACAGAGTCCATGTGGATGCGTAAACTGTCCTAATGTACGTATGTTCGATATCCAATGTTCAACACACCCCCTCGTTCAAGACGCGGATGAAACTAAACCAACGTGCTCGCAGAAGTACTTGAGTATCGAAAGAGGAACTGACTTCGTAAGCGAGTCCGCTAGCTGCTCCGCAGAAGGAACGTGAAAGAGAGTAACTTCGCCTTCCTCGATGTATTCGCGAATGAAGTGGTAGCGGATGTCGATGTGCTTCGTGCGACGGTCAACAGCAGGGTTTTCAGAGAGGAAAATCGATCCCTGGTTGTCCATGCAGAGCGGTGTAGGACTCGACATATCGTCACCAACTTCACGGCCGAAAGTGCGAAGCCACTTCATTTGACGGCAAGCGTCTGACGCGGACATGTATTCCCCTTCAGTGGAGGAGAGGGATACTGTGCGTTGTCGGCGAGAGACCCAGGAGAGTGCACCTCCTGCCATCAGGAAAACGAAGCCGGTTGTCGACTTCCTGTCATCGCGGTCTTCTCCCCAGTCCGAGTCCGAGTACGCGATCATACGGCGCCATCCTTTCCATCGTAACGAAGACGATAGTGCGAGGTACCACGGAGGTAGCGAAGGACGTAGCGGGCGTAACGCATGTGATCTTCAGACGGATTGGCGTTGTACTTGGAGAGACGCGTGACGGCGTAGGAGATGTCTGGACGAGTACCGAGCATGGCGTAAAGGAGGCTGCCGATGAGGCTCTGGTACTCCCGACGAAGAGTTGCAGGTGCTTCATCCTGTCGAGCGACGAGGACGCAACCAGCGGGGAGAGGAGTGGAAGCAGCGTTGCAGTCAGACATGTTGAACTTTTCGAGGACGGCGTCGATGTACTCTTCCTGGTCGATGTCGAGGATGCGTTTGACGCGATCGCGACGTATACGAGTACCGAGGAATCGTTGCACCGGTCCTAGATCAGTCATCTTGTACTGCTTGCTGAGAGAGTCCTTGACGAAGTCGATGCGCGTGCGTGAATTGCCCATGACGAGTAGATCGTCGACATATAGAACAATCAGCGTGACTTCGCCTGGAACACCCCCTTGTCGACGATAAACGTAGACTCCGGCATCTGAGTACGTGCGGACAAATCCCAATTTGATGAGCGAGTCGTGGATTTTGAGGTTCCACTGGCGAGAGGCTTGCTTAGACCGTAGATGGCCTTCTTGAGCAGACAGACGTAGTCCTCTTTGCCAGCTTCAACCCATCCTTCCGGCTGCTCCATGTAGATCTCCTCGTCGAGATCGCCGTTGAGGAACGCGGTTTTGACGTCCATGGCGTCGATATCCCAGTCTTCGAGCGCGGCGTGCGCAAATGCGAAGCGGGTCGACTCGTTCCTCGATACAGGCGAAAAGATCTCGAAGTAATCTTCTCCCCAGTTCTGCGTATAGCCCTTAGCTACGAGGCGAGCCTTGACTCGACCATCGTGCTTGATATCATACACCCAACGACATCCGATGACGTTACGACCCTTGGGGCGAGGTACGAGCACCCAGGTTCGATTTTCCATCAACGAGTTGTACTCCGAAGCTTCAGCCTTGAACCATTCATCACTCATAGGAGAGTTATGTGCTTCGCGGTAGGACTGAGGGATGCCTTTCTTGCGCGCAGCGTGATTGATGATAGTGTTGAGCAGATCGAAGTACTCTCGCTCTTCAGCTGTACGTAGCTGTCCGTCTCGTCGTGTCCTGGCGTCGACGCGTGCAGGCGGTTCGTCACCATAGAAGTTGTCCCTGTTGCGATGCGGATTCTGTCCTGCACCATGACGCTGAGGGCGCTGAGGTTGTGGTGGAGGACCAGCATCGACATCAGGTACGTCTTCGACAGTAGGATGACGGTTACGACGGTGGTTAGGAGCACGTGGCGGTGCACCTGGTACGACAGGAGGCGGTGGCGGAGCTTCGCGCTCTGGTTCAGGCTCGGCATTGGGTGGAGCTTGAGGAGGGTGTGGGACCATAGCAGGTTCCGGAGGAGGAGTTGGAGGAGGAGGTATGAGCTCGACTGGTTCGTTGTCAGGCTCTCCCTCAGGGATGTCCGGGAACGGTGAATCGTCGGGGGTTACACGACGACGGCCGGTGGGGTTTTCACGTGCAGGGAAGACGTTCTCATCAAATCCACATCGCTAGAGACCATGATGGAGCGGGTAGAGCGGTTCCAGAAACGATAACCCTTGGAACCCTCGTAACCAACAAACACAACTTCGAGTGCCTTAGGCTCGAGTTTGTTGTCGCGTTTGTCCCTTTGCACATGTACGACTGCTTTGCAGCCGAAAACGCGGAAGTGGGAACAGTCTGGGACGACTCCGTTCCATGCCGTGATCGGGCACTTCCATTTTAGACGACGCATTGGCTGACGGTTGTAGATATGCACCGCAGTGTCGACCGCACATTGCCAGAAACCGTGAGACAGACCTGCGAAGTGAAGCATACACAGGGCCTTGTCCATGATGGTTCGGTTCCAGCGTTCGGCACGACCGTTTTGCTGCGGCGTTCCTGGCATGGTCATGTCGTGCTCAATCCCAAGTTCTCGAAGAAGTTCTTGGAACTCTGTTGCGGTATATTCACCCCCTCGATCGGATCGTACCTTCTTGATTTTGCGACCAGTCTGTGTCGATACCCAGGCGTAGTATGCTCGGAAAGCTTTCGTCTGTTCCGATTTCGCCTTCAGGTAGTAGATTCGACCAGCACCAGAGAAGTCATCAAGGTATGTTACGAAGTACGTATATCCGCCGATAGAAGTGGGCAGTGGGCCGACTAGATCAGTGTGGATCATGTCGCCCGGAGCTTCTGCACGCTTCGGTGATAGAGGGTGTGGTTTGCGCGTCATTTTTCCTTTGGCGCAACCATCGCAAACAGTAGACGGGGGAGGAGCAGGACCAATGTCGTCAACACCTTTGACTGCCTTAGGGAGCTTTTTGATCGCTTCCTTAGAACAGTGACCCCAGCGGTTGTGAATGAGTTCCCAGTCGACGGTAGACGACGACGACTGAGCCGCGGTTGAGGTTCTGCAGGTTGGACGGGTTGGACGACTTTGCCATTCATGATATCCGTGGGCAGCTGATAGAGGTTGTTGATCGGATTAAACAGAGCCTCAAGACGCATAGCACCAGGGAATGTCAAGCCAGCGTGTGTGAAGGATGCGTCAGGACGCGAGGATCGAAAATGACCATTTTCCCATTCCCCTGAATGATGAGGTTTCCGGCGTTCTCGATGGCACCAGTTGAGAAGAGACGTGTACCCGCTTGGGGATGTATACGACGTTCTTAAATTCAACTTTGACATGATTGCCGTTGAGATCGATTCGAGCAATAACCGTTCCTTCTCCGAGTGCGCGGACGATACCAGCATCTCCTTCCTGAGCCGTATGGAAGATCTTGGGCTCACGGTATTGAGTGTAGGAGGAGAAGTCATGCTTATATGCCGATACGTGACGCGAAGCACCCGAATCCATGCACCAGACTGCGAAGTGAGAATCACGCTTAGCGGTGTTACCCGCGTTGTACCAAGCAGCAGAGATCTCATTCGACGCGGACGAGGCGTCCGACGCTACAAGTACATTGACAGTCTGAGCCGAAACGTTATGCGAATGTCCAGAATTTCCACCACCACCATTATCTCTGCCTTTGCCTTTGCCGTTGCCCTGACGTTTCCCCTGCGGCTTGAGCTCGGGATGCTTCTGCCAGCAGTGAGATTCGTCGTGGTTCTTCCCTTTGCAGTGAGCGCAGGGACCACGGGGCTTGGGCTTGGTCTTGGTGACCTTGCTGATGGACTCCTCACCGTTGCCGATCGATGTCTTGCGCAAGGTCTGCTCGGAGCGAACCTGCGAGATGACGTTGTCGACGGTGATGTTCTTGGACTCGTAAGTCGCAAGAATAGTTGTGACGATGGCGCGATAGGAGACCGGGAGCTTGCCCATGCACATGAAGGCACGTTGACCGTTACCGTATTTCGCGATGGTGGCGTCGATGCGGTCGAACTTGGCGTTGTAGGTCGAGATTTGATCAGCGAGGTCCTTGTTCTCGTCGAAACGGTCCTGGTTGATGAGTTCCTCGAAGAGGGCGAAGCTCGACGCAGCGTCCGACTTGTCGTAAGCCGCTTTGAGAGCCTCCCACATTGCGTTCGCAGAGGTCTTGCCGGTGAGATGCGCCTCCTTAACCTCGATCGAGACCTGTTTGACAATCAGGCCTCGTGCCTTAGATTCACGTTGCTTCCAGGCAAGGTGAGCAGCGACTTCGGTGGCAGCAGGTGGAGGGTCGAGTGAAGGAGTAGCAGCAATTTCCCAGCAAGAGAGCATGAGGAACATCCCTTCCATGTCGTGTGCCCACTGCTTGTATCCATCGCGACCCTTGAGCACCGAACCCTTGGCGACGGGGACAGTGTCCATGAGTGGTAGCGTGTAGAGGATCTCGAGGGTATCGTCTAGAGGGACGAGAGTGGGTGAAGGCGGAGAGGGAGTGTGAACGACGATAGGATAAAATTCGAGGGGACCGTAGACGTAGGAACCGTAGAGCGGAGCGTCTGGGGTGACGTCTGCTTCAAGGACTTGCTCGACTTCGAGCGAAGAGTGGTGTGAGGAGATAGGAGAGGGAGGAGGTCCGGTTGCTGCGGCCGAGGGAAGTGGAGAACCTGGCGCAGTGACCGAAGTTGACGCAGGAAGCGCAGGGAGCGAAAGAAGATGAGAAGGGTGCTGCGGGTAATCAGGAGCGACAAGTCGTCCTGGTACGCGTAGATTAGCAGGTCTGTGACCAAAGTTTGCTGGCGCGTTGATATCCCGATGACGGTTAGGACACGGTTGGAAACCGCAAGCGTAAAGATCTTCTTCTTCTTCGTCCCAGTGACAATCTTCCTGGTCTCGTGTGTCGAATACGTGAAAACAGCGGTAGCAATGAAGATCACTCGGAGGAGTGTTCTCGTCGAAGACAGGCTCAGTGGAGGAGTCGTCTGAGTGATCCGATGCCACGGCTAAGTCGGTTGAAGGTACAGAGAAGCGCGATGTTGAGAACGATATCCCCTACTCGTGGAGAATGAGCACCCGTTGGGGCAACCTCGCTACGAAAGCCTGTCGGAAGGCCTTGTGGAGGGTAGAGGTGAAGACGGAGGAAGAGGACTGCGAGGGTAAAACCCAAAGCTATGTCCGACTGAAACCGTCCACGAGTAGTCGATGGGGAGATCTTGAATCGTTGGCGAAAGGTGAAGCGCGCGTTGCTCAACGTAAGCAAGCTAGAGCGCAGGGCTCATAACCTGATGAACTCTGAGTAAGGCAAGGGACCAACTGTAACACACGAAGAGGAGCGATCCTCAGTCAGTGATAGAACGACTATATTGAGAGCATAAGTTCTACCTGTAACACACGAAGAGGAGCGACTACAGATAGAGTAAGCATATGTAAGGAGCGCATAGTAGTGTGAATAGACTTACTCCTCAGTCAGTGATAGAACGACTGAAGAGCAGTGCGAGCCAGAGTCCTCCCTATATACTGTCCAGAAGTAGCATACGTAAGCAGTGATGGGAAGACATAATTGGCGCAGAGAACAGACCGGACAGAAGATGGTTACAGGGCTGTGCGGGCTGTGCGCTCAAGACAAAGAAAGTCCGTAAGTGGAACAAGGGAACAAAGAGAGAAGCGTAGAAGAACGGAATGGAAGAGATAAGGAACTACAAGGCAGTGAAGTGACATATGGAAATATGGGAAGTCTCTCACAGAGTCCATGTGGATGCGTAAACTGTCCTAATGTACGTATGTTCGATATCCAATGTTCAACAATGTGCACACGTGCAGGGGTGGGGGCACAGCGCACGACAGGGTGAGAGGGCAGGAGATCATATGTAAGTGTCCGACTGCATGATGTCGGCGACACACCGACCGGAAACTGACCCAGACAGAAAGAGACGAGACGGGGGCCCGACACAGGAAGCGGAGACAGAGATGGTACATAGGAAGGACATAGACCGAAAGACGAAATAGACGCATGAGAACAGAGTGAACAGGGAGCAATTGCGAGGGGTAGGAGTCCTGCACCACCGGTGGTCGAGATCTAGCGCGTGAGGTGAAGGCCACGAGCAGGCGTGAAGGGCGCCGCGGCATCGCCGCATGCATCGCGTCTCAAAGCAGGTGCTGCTGTTTTGATCCTAGGGTGCTCCATGGTGGATCGCGTTGGGTGTGTGCAGTGGAATAGACGAGGAGTTGGGTGACGAGCGTGGTGGAATGGACGCTCGTCGGGTGACAGGCATGGCGGAGTGGACAAGAAGTCGGGCGATGGAGTGTGGACAGCCTTCTGGAACTGGTTATATAGGTGTGCGAGACAGAATGAGATGTGTTGCGGAGCGACGTGTTGGCATGGGTGTGAGGAAGGGCTGCTGTCTATATGTCGTCCTCATCCCCATCTAGGTCAGGGACTCGACCAGCCAACACGGCCACCTCTAAACCTGGCTTCTCGACAACAAAGTACCGGTGAGTGAAGTCGGTGCCTGTGGCCTGCTCTTCGCTTGTGGGCGGTAGCGGGACCATAGCGACCACCGCGTCGATCGTCTTGATGGGTCTTACAACACACGCGTCTTGTCCACGATAAGTGCAGGCCAGGACGGTCCCGAGAGACTCTTGGTAGATGCCCTGGTCGGGTGCGGAAAACACGGAGAGCATGGCGAGACTGATGGTGCGTTTCGGCGGCCCAAGAACAGTGAGCAAAAAGAAGTACTGGACTTCTGCGTAAGTCGAAGAGTTTAGCTGCAGGTACGGGATGGGATCAGCACTATGTGCAAGGGAACACAAGATACACGTACCTTGACCATGCGCGCACGTCGAGGGCGATATCCGCCCGCTTCGAGGGGACCCTCCTTCCACAGGGTGCGGGCGATCTGGTGGTTTGGAAGGCACAGACGTGCCCAGCGCATGACGATTGGGTCCCAGGTCGGAGGTACAGGCTCGAATATAGACTCGAGGTAGGCACTCAAAGCGAGCACCTCAGCGGGCGACATACGACGTGGGGCACTGTCCTTGGGGCGAAGGAGAATGAATCCCGGGGCGTCGTCAGGCTTGCAAGCATCTTCCGGCACCTTCGGGTCCGGATCCAGCTCCGGATATGTGGCCTTCAAGGAGATAGCTTGACACCGACGAAATCCACACTCCGCGACGTTGGCGTACGGAGTGACGTGTTGCTTGATCTCGCGCGTGAGGTTGCCGATGAAGTTCTCCAAGGTGTATTGAGTGTACACGGAGCATGGTCCCGTCCGCTCGATCTCCTGGAAGACGTGATAGAGAGTGTGAAGACAAGGGCGAATGAAATGAAGGCGTTCAGGCAGGCCTTGGTAGTAGAGGGGCTCAAACTCATGGACGTATTCGTGAATCCGCTGGAAAGCAGGAGCGATGTGGGCAAGGGGGAGAGTGTGCTGCATAGCGCGTCGGGCGCCATAAACGAGTTTACAGAAATGTCGATAGTAGTGATGAAGCTCCGGCTTGAAGTTGAGACGGAGAAGACCGGGAAGGAGACCGTACACGTACAGGAGAAACTCCCAAGCCTTAAAACCGCTGTTGAGCTTCTCGGCCGGGTTTCGAGGGGGCCGATCGAACGATCCAGGGAGATACCGGGTCGCATCGGCCACAAGTTGTCCATGTGCTGCCCAGACCTCGTCGTCCTTGAGGACCGCAAAATCCCACGTCGCCTTGTCGTCCGGACGATAGCACTTCACAGAACCTCGGAACAAGGAGATGACGAGATCGGGGATGTTGAGGCTGATGAGATGCATCAAGTCGAGGCCGAAGCCGTGCGGGCAGCCTGGGAATCGAGGGAGGGCGCAGAAGAGCGAGGGTTTAGAGATGCCAGTCGTGAACCGGGCCCTTGTGTAAGCCCTCTCAGTCGGAGCCGCCTGGAGCATCCGGAGGTTGTTGTTATAGAGAGTCCTCCTCGCGTCGACGGTTCCTGGAGGGAGGCTCGTGATCGGGAGTGAGAAGGACGGATGGCCGGTTCCATCACGAGGTTGGAGCATCGCGGGATAGTACATGGACCTGCCCGGCTTGTGTCGGCCCAGATGCCCGCAGTAGACGCGACAAGTGAGCGCACCTTTGTGTCCGACAAGGCCCGAGATGTAGGCCATGGCAGGGCAGTCGGCAGTGGCGAGCCACAGGTACGGACGCGACGTGAAGACCTTCTTCCGGTGCGCATCCCAGATCTGGAATCCATCGTGCTGCAGCGCCGCGAGGTGGATGAGACCAGGCATGAGGAAAGAGTCCAAGTTCTTCGGCTTGTTGGGGCCCGGGATCACCGCACCGGGAAGGACAAACCGCTTGTGGTAGCGGACGGAAGGTGGGAGGTCGAAAAGCACCCAAATGTATAGCCACGTGTCCGACTGTTTCGACCGGTAGAGCTGCGCGCCGTCGATGGAGAACATAAGGAGATTGTCGTCGTATGTAAACTGCCCGCGGTGGACAGCTGTGAGATAGTCGCTACCATGGTAGATGTCGTTCATGAAGGCATCAGGTCGACCAGCCGCGATCCCGGCGAGGATGCGCGACGTCTCCTCCTCACGCCACCGCATAGACTTGGCAGTCGTTGGCGACGAGTACATGGCCTGCAGCTGAGGACCGACGGGGAAGGTTTGGAATGTTCGGCGCGCGACCTTCTTCGCCTTCAGAGCCTTCCACTGATCGTACCGAGGCTCGTTGCAGAAGGGACAGACGTCCTTGTCCTTCCACAGGCCGGTATACGCGATACAGGAGTTGAGGCACATGTCGATGCGAATAGAGTACACTCCGGTAACGGACGAGATAAGCTTCTTGACGCCGTCGTAGGTGGGGAGCGGATCATCAGGGTGGATGTCGAGGAAGGCAGCACGGTTGTCCATGTAGTTGTGCTCCGACGCGTCACCTCGAGCGAGAAACATCTTCAGGCCAGCGAACTGGTACTTGTCAAGCTTCGGTGGGCCTTGGCGCGGCTCTTGAAGGCGACGTCTTGAGGCGATGTTCTCGTCCTCGTCGTCCTCGCGTGGTGGCAGGACAGGTAGCCGAGCGGTTCTCAAGTCCCTCACGAACGCCTCCGCATGCAGAAGCTCCGTGACCGTGGCGTGCGCAGGCTCTCCCGTAGCTTCGTGAATGCCTTCCATGGCTTCCTCAAAGTCGTCTGGGTGCTCGCGAGGGCGTGGAAGAGTCTCTGGGGAGTCGGGAAGTGGAAGGAACGGGATGGGCTCCGGGTCGAGATTGGTTTGTGGTAGTTGCTCGATCTCATCAAGCGGACGTGAGCTGCCTCTGGAAGGAGGTGTGCGCGGATCGGCGGTTGTGCTCCTTTGGCTGCGCGGTGGCGGTGGAGCCGGAGAGGTTCGCGTGATCGAGCCGCCTTGACCAAGCGAACCGCGACGAGACTCGGGGCCAATGTCTACCTCTGGGGGACGGTTGGGAGGACCCTGGGTCTCCCGAGCTGGGGCCTGTGGACATGTCGGTTAAGTTTATGAGCTGATGCCAAGGGCCCAAATATACATACCTGGGAGGGTGCATTTTGCGGGAGTCGTGCTGGTGTACTACTCGGAACACGCGATTCAGCAGCCTGCACATGGCACATGTATCAGTCAAAGCATAGTCGAAAGTGTTGTGTACTCACAGCACCACGAGGTACAGCAGTAAAGGATCCACCAAGGCCGGCAAGAAAGTCTGCGGGTTGTTCGACACGGTATTTGGCGTGAGTGCGCCACTTCCGGACCGACATCAGAGTGGGTTCGCCGAGACACAGGGCTTGACATGTGCAAACGCGCTGCTCCGTGTCCCTAGGGGGCGCAGAGCTGGAAGACATGATGAGGCGGAGGCCGAGAGATGGCGGGGAAAGACGAGAGACGCACGGTGGTAGCGAACCAGTGCGTGCCCTGCGGCTTTGCGACACTGCAGACCGCCTTTTGTAGGCATCCCTTTGAATTAGAACGGTTGCTACCGAGGATGTGTTCGTCAGAACTCCGAAGTAACGCAGTACTACCGTGCCGCCGTGCCAGGGCGCACCATGTAGTGTATTGGGCTATATACAGTCTGCGCAACCGTGACCTGAAAGTGTGGTGTGGCCGGAGGAATGGATGTATGCATAGAGTGACACGGGAGTAGTTGAAACGTTGAAGCCAGGCCCGATGACAGGGAGAGAGCCGAGAGAGAGACGGAGAGAGAGAGAGACAGAGATAGCGACAGAGATAGCGCGCTCGACAGAAGCTCACGGCCGGCGCTTGACGGCAGCCATCGTCTCTAGACGCACAGGGACAGTTGCTGACGTATGTAGACGTATGTAGACGGGAGGGACCCTCACTGGGGTTCAAATCTCATGGTTGCGATTGACTCGTTTAACTAGGTCATACCTTTTCCTCTTCCTTGCACGTGACAAAGACACTGCGCGCATAACAGGGGTCTCTCTTGTTCACGTTCTCACGCATCCAATTCACTCTCTTTTCTTGATTTCATCCCACCCTCCTCGTTTTTGAGCTTACACCGCTCTATCGTCAAGATTTCGACCTCGTGATGAGTTCATATGTCTCTTAATCATTCGCAAAGTGGAGCAGCCTGTGGTGGCGCTGTTCGGCCCCGTGGTGGCGTTATGAGTCGTCGCACTTGAATTCATATAAATCGCACAAGTCAGGGGCAAACCTGTATATCCCGTCCTCCTTCATCCACATCCGCTCTCCTTCTCAGAGACGCTCATACAGACTCCCGCTCAGTCCGTCATGGAAACGCTTCCATTGGAGCTTTTGCAACGAATCTTCTTCTTCGCCACCATTGACGGCGGCGCTACATCCTGCTCCCTCGCCCTTGTCTCCAAGCACATCCACAGCGTATCTCAATACCACCGGCTCGATAACGTGGCGCTCATGGGTCGACCAAAATACATGATGGCACTGACACGACGGTTAGAAGCAGAAAAGGAACGCAACGCAACATCTCGGGGTCGGCTCCGCCACCTATTCCTGAGCTGCACGCAATCCCAATATCTCCAGCTCGTGGAAAAGAGCAAGCGTTCCTTCTCTAGGCACGAAGGTCCCGTATACCTCCCTGAGGGTTACGCCCCGCTGAACGGCGCAAACGACTCTACGATAGATTCCGGCAGCCTTCACGCTCATACGAGTGCCTTCCGGTACGCCAAGTTTATTAACGACCTCCTCCACGCTGCCGCTTCAGGGTTGGAGACGCTCGCCATCATCTTCCTCGAGCGCGACTTGACCCAATACATACGACTTCCATCCACTCTTCCCACCCTCCGCGAGCTCACCGTATCTGGCGCCCCGCCATCGTGGCTGCTCGACCTCGCGGAGCCCCGCCCGCCGCACCAACCACCTCGGTTCCCGGCGCTCCGACGCCTTCATTGGTACGACCGCCGGGGCCCAGGGGGCACGCTGGACGACATCCCCGCGGTCGCGGAGCGGCTCCCCGCTCTGACGCACTTCCGCATCACCGGCTACATGGGCGACAGCATGCCGGGCGTGTTCGACGCTTGCGCGGACGAAGACATGCTGGAGCGCGTCGAAGACAGCGTGGAGCCCTGGGACCACCGAACGCATCCAAAGGGTTGGTATGGGCTTCCTGACTTCACGATCGAGAGCACACTGGATCCACGTGCGTGCATTTGGTCCATTCCTGCTTACGGTACCTATCGGCTGACGTTGAGCGATGTCCTTCTTGTTTGCAGCGAAGGTGCCCCTGTTGCCCCAGTGGCGCGGACTGCGGCAGTTCGTGATACAGCCGTCGTTCGTGAGCTTCATAGACGACTTTGAGTATGACAAAGAAGGCGTGTTCGAACTGCGGTTGATGTGGATGTCGCTGGCGTCGGCGAGCCTGCCGGTATACGTCTTCGCCCCCATCTCCTGGATGTACTCGGGGAGCGGACAGGCGGAGTCCGTGGACATGTTGCACCTTTACCACGAGGAACGGATTCGAGGGGACCTGGGTTGTTGGGCGGACGGAGAGAAGGGCAGGCGGGCGATGCAGAATGATTACCCTCAATATCTGCATTGAGCGTCCTTGGGTAATCAGAGAAGGCTACACAATCATACGTACGACTGTTTTTCCATGAGTACACAAATACAGTCAAACCCCTCATAGTGCATACCCCTCGGGAAGGCCCCCGAGGTATGCGTTATGTGGGGGTATGCAGTATGAGAGAAGCGCTTATCGTGGGAGACCCATTGACGCCCTTCTGCAGGGCGCCCTTTTGGCCTCTGGCGCGCGTATCAATCCTCACGCGCGCATTCCTCGCGCGCACATTCCTCCCCCCTACATAGCCTACATACGAGTAAAGTAATCAATGACTACGAGATGATTTTCCCAGCCTGAAGAGAAGCTTGAAGGGCCGTTCGGCGCTCTTTCACCTGCTTCTCGAGGACAGCAAGGCCGGATTAGAGGAAGGCGAGAGGGATATATAGTGCGGAGGCAGGGAGAGGTGGCCGGGGGTGTGATCAAGTCGCGCGTGAGCCCCGGCCAGTCCTGACGGTTTGTGTGGCTATTCCAGGCTGCTGGCAGTCGGGCACGGAGGACACATGGGAAAGTTATCCCGCATTTGGGCGGCATGCAAGGCATACATGTGGGGCGCTAATACTGATTATATACATAGGTACAGTGCGTTATGGACCCCCCGGCCGAGGTATGCAGTATGCGGTATGCGGGGGGGTATGCGTTATGCCCCTATACCAACTCGGGAAGAGGCCAAAGGTATGCACTATGTGGGGGTATGCACTATCACAGGTATGCACTACGAGGGGTTTGACTGTAGCATGTCCCCCCAGCGGTAAGTATGGCTTCAAGACAGCCCGGAGCGAAGATATCTGCCAAGCTGGCGTCTCTTGCCATTGGACGCGATCCCAGTTCCAGCCAGTCTGTTCATCGAGCACCCGATTCTTCCCTTTCACATCAGCTTACCGATGCGCGGCATGCCGCTCCGCGGCTCCTTGAGCGGTCGCAAGCTTGGACTCGTGCGGCGAGCGGGGATTCAAGAGCTCCGACGCGGATAGCGTCTAAGTATTCCCCGCCTGTTTTCACCCACGCTGCTCCCACGCGCCATTTTTGGTAGGTGCTGCCACGTGGATTTCTCTCCCACCCCGCCAATCGCGCGGCCAGCCGATCATGGCATTCCATTTCAGCGGACGAGTGTGGCAGGATCAAGGTGAGCAGGTTTCCCCCGTTGCAACCAAAACAGGGATTTGTGCGCGAGTGCACGTGGCCGTGTGTTATTCTCGCAGTGCGTGCGCGGTGCTGTCACTCCGGGGGCTACGGAGAAAGCTGATGTCACTGTGCGCAGCTGATATAGGCGCAACCTGGTCGGGCATTGAGATCTGAGAAACGAGCTTGCCTCTGTGGCCCCGCGTGGGAGCCTGGAGAGCACAACGCTGGCCCGTTACGGAACTGGGCACATGGCGTTCTTGCTTCTCTGTCATTGGGACGGGGTACATAAGCCCCCACCAAGTTGTCAGGCCACAGCTTTCCCATCCTTTCTCCGCTCCACCTCTCTGGCTTCCCATATGGAGAAATCCGAGGATGCTACTGTCATCACCACCGAAGATCGACATACGCCAACTTCTCAAAATGCGACGGGTGCGGCCGACCTTACGATGACCGAACCTGGTAAACGCACACGCAAAGACACCTACTTGACTTGGTCGAACATCCTGGGCGCGTCAGTCCTCACTCTTTCTGAACCACTCGTGAGCGACCGTAATGACGTCTTCGACCTACTTCTATAGGTTTCTGCTACAAGTGTGCGGTTTCGGGTAGGTACCGCTGCTCCTTGGTAAACGTGCTGGTTGATTATCTCGTATCGTCAGGTATACTACGTCCTTTGGGGTGTATCAAGGTCCGTGATCAGGCCTCGGAATGTCGAATCCTCTCTTTATCACGTGGGCAGATTATTATACACGCGTCTATCTCAAGGACAGCTCGTCTTCGCTCATTTCGTACGTCTTCGCTCCCTTGACCCTTCATCCCCTATCCGAGCTTACCCGCGCGGTAGGTGGGTCGGTAGCATCAATGCCTTTATCGTCATTTCGGCTGGTCTCGTTACTGGCCCGCTCTATGACCGCGGATACTTGTGCGCATCTTTCTTATGGTCACCCCATTTCCCACAAGCCAATGAATGGACACAGCTATCATCTTCTGTATGGTGGCTCCCTCGTAACCGCGATCTCTCTCTTTATGCTCTCGCTAGCTCAACAGGGCGCATATTACCAAGTACGTCTTATTTGCATCTCGTTCACGACTCTCCCAGATCATTGATCACATCGCAGATTTTTCTCGCGCAAGGCGTCGGAGCCGGCATCGGAGGAGGGCTGCTCTACATCCCTGCCATCTCGGCCGTCTCCGCTCGCTTCACTTCCGGAGGCCGCGCTCGTGCCACCGCGCTCACCCTCGTCGCCTCCGGGTCCTCGGTCGGCGCGGTCGTCCACCCAATCATGCTCAACAGCACCCTTCAAAGGTGGGGGTTCGAGGCCGCGGCGAGGGCTAATGCCGCGCTCATCACCGGCGTACTCGTCGTCGGGTGTGCCCTCATGCGCGACAAGTCGCACAGAAAAAGCGGCAGCTCACCACAATGGAGAGGCCTCTGGAAACTGGCTGGAAAGTTCATCCGGGATGGACCGTACGTCTGTACCTCAGCCGGGTGAGTGCGCTCGCGCTCGGATTACACGGAACGGCCGCTTATCACGGGACTGTAGGATGATGATTTTCATTGTCGCGTACTATTATCCGGTGTTCTACATTCAGCTCGATGCCTACTCCACGGCCGTAGCGCTTCGTTCTCCTTCAACGTGGTCAGCATGCCGTCTTCGCGTGCGCGGTGACGAGGACTTATTTGGTCCACAGCTTGTCATTATGAACGTAGCTGCCATTGTGGGCCGCATCGCACCTGGATTCGTGGCCGGCCGAATCGGTGTTGCCCACATGAGCACGTTCGCCACGTTTGCGTGCTCCGTCGTGATATTCGGCATGATTGGCCTCCAAAGCGCGACCAGCGTTATCGTGATTGCGATACTTTTGGCTTTTTCGGCGGCAGTTGTGAATGATGTTCTCTTATGACGATGTTTCGGTTACTAACCACACCTTCAGATATCTCTCTTTGGCACCGGTCATTGCGGATATGACAGACGACGCCTCTGAGATTGGGTCAGTACTACCCTCTACTCCTTTGTATGTCGCTTGTCTGACGCGCTCTTCTATTGCAGAACACGCCTAGGCATCGCTTTGTTCTTTTGTGGTCGGTTATCGTCTTTTTCTTCAGCTATCGCGAGACGCTCACAGAAGCGGATGCAGGCCTAGGCACTCTCGTGGGGACGCCTATCGACGGGGCACTCCTCACAGGTGACTTCATCTGGTGGCGACCTGCGGTATGGAGCGGGGTATGTGTATACACTCTGTTACGACTGCAATCCCGCTAAAAGTGCGATTTACAGAGCATCGGGCTGCTCGGAACAGCATGCTATGCGGCTGCCACGTTCCTGCTTGTCCGTCGTCGTAGGCAATGTCGATTCGATGTCGGGCAAACCGTTGCATAACAACTCTTTTACCACAACAATCAGGGCGATTTCTCTGTGTTTGGAGACCACGAGACACGCTTTTTCGCCCGCATGCATACCACGGCTCCAGCCCCACTGCACACACGAGAGCCCGCAAGCTCCGTCGTCTCCGAAGCACGCACCAACGTCAAGGAAACGCACCTGATGTTCGTTACCAATCAAGCTGACGTAGCGTAGTAGACCCCGGTGCCCGATCGTTATCGTGCGCCATTGGTTGAAGCGCGACCGGCGCACTGCCTGCCAGACCCCGATCGACACGACCGGCGGAGGAAGGGCATCATTCTAGGACATCTCATGAAGCTGTACATGATGGGACAAGACGGGTCTGCTAAGGTCTGCTATAGTCGGAGTTACCGGGGCAGCTTTAGCACGGACGACGTGTTGCGGGGAGAGATACTCACCGACGGATTTATTCGCAGCACGTCCATCGGAGAGTGGTTCGTGAGGGTCTACATGCTGTCTTTTATGGCGCGGGCGAGGTGTGTCAATGAGGGAGAAGTGCATGCGCGGTCAACGCCGCCCGTCATCATCAATGTGATGACCTCATCTCTATCCCGTATGTGTATACTTAGGCGCGCGTGTATCACCCCTACCGCGTTTAGGTGGAGCTCGGAGCTCGGAGCTCCCCTTGAGCTGTCGCAGTTGGTCTTACGTTTCGGATGGGGAGTGTTTGTGTGTGGGGTGGATGGTGCTCATCGAGGCTCTCGGTTCACGAGCACCGCAGACGACGAGTCGGATGGCCGTGCTCAATGAGAGTCGATGCGGGTCGGACCTGATATGGTCTCGGACTACTACGGTCCTTGGTGGGACTGTGAGAGTGGAGCGCATCGCCTTCGACCGTCGTCTGAGCAGCTGGTTCACGGCGACGGCGTACGTGGCGGTGCGGGGATGTCAGCACCTCCGAGATGGAGCGCCCGTCTAATTTTGCTCCCCACGACCTCCACGCGGAGTTGAGGCCGGGAACATGTACGACGTCCAGTTGCGTCGTGAGCCTTTCGTGATCCCCACCGCGTTCCCTTGGTCCCTCTCCTCTCCCGGCCCGCCACAGGGCGTCAACGCGGTTCCCAACAATGCCAAGCCCGACTTTTTGCTCTGCCCCGCCCACGTCGTTTCACCTCCCCGGCCGGTTCCAGCCAGCAAAAAGATGCCCGCGACAAGCTGAAGTTTGTGGCGTTCCTTTAAAGCAACTGTGCCTCGCTGTCTCACCACCGCGCCGTGCAGATTCCCAGCCTTCCGATCGATTGTTACGAGGAAGATCCCGTGCTAATCTTCGGGGCTCGTGGCTCCCTCTGCGGCTGTCGTCAGAGGCCGATGTCTTATATACCCATCGCCCACACCGAGCTCTCGTGGTGATCAAAAGGACCGAGCGTTGTCCGCCCGCCGACATTCCACCTTTCATACATTTCTCCTTCCCCTTCCCCGCTGCCACCCTTTTTTCGGCTCCTCTAGCCGTGCCTTCTGCAGCCCCCTTACACACCTTCAACTTTCAAGATGAGCGGATACGCGCCCGTTCGCAGCCGCCAGCCCCCCTATGCTCCCTGGGCACCCCCACGCCGCTTTCGGTCCGGTCTCACGAACAGCATCTCGTCAATGGTATGTACGCGCACTATGCCACCCACAGAGCGATTCGACTGAGACGACTTTGCCGACAGGGAAGTAGCGATGCCGCTCAATCAGTTTCCGACAAGGTATAAGCCTGTTCTTATCTTGAATTGCCCGTCATGTGTCTCACCATCATCTCCTCATGCAGTTCGCCGTTCCTTTCGACTCTCCCGCTGCCATGTTCAACGGTCCTGAGGCTGATGACAAGCTACACAATCCGGACACGCGACGAGACTTCAAAACCGACAAAGGCGGGATCATCCTCACCACCCGCGGTTTCATGAACCTCGGCTGCGTCTTCGTCCTCGCCGTCGGAATCGTCGGCCTCTTGTAAGCCGAACCGCGCACAGCGAGGGACGTCGGAAGTCGCTGACGGCCTTCTCCCACCCACAGCGCCGGGTTCCCGCTCGCGTCGTACATCCTCACTCCGAAGCTCTCAACTCAAGGCGGCTTCAACTACGGCGGGATCAACGGGACAGGCCAGATCCCGCTCATGCCCGGCAACCGGGCGGTCATCGACCGCGACACGCCGGAAGACGCGAAGACGAAGACGGACTACGTGAACGGGCAGACGTGGGAGCTCGTGTTCAGCGACGAGTTCAACACCGACGGGCGCACCTTCTACCCGGGCGACGACCCGTACTGGGAGGCGGTCGACCTCCACTACTGGCAGACCGGCAACCTGGAGTGGTACGACCCCTCGGCGATCATGACCCGCAACGGCGCGCTCGAGATCACGCTCTCCGAGAAGCCGAACCACAACCTGAACTTCACCGGCGGGATGCTCTCCACCTGGAACCAGTTCTGCTTCACCGGCGGGCTCGTCGAGGCCTCCGTCACGCTCCCCGGCACGAACAACGTCCGCGGGCTCTGGCCCGCGATCTGGTCGATGGGGAACCTCGGGCGCGCCGGCTACGGCGCCTCGCTCGACGGCATGGTGCGTCCGCAGGCCTTCACGCCCTCTCCCAGGGTCTCCGGCTGACCGTCGTCCCTCCCACCCCACTCCCCATCCCTTCCCCCCTCGCACGACAGTGGCCGTACTCGTACGACTCGTGCGACGTCGGCACGGTCAAGAACCAGACGAAGGACGGCCTCCCGCTCGTCGCGGCGCAGAACGGCGACCAAGGCGCGCTCTCGTTCCTGCCCGGCCAGCGCCTCTCGCGCTGCACCTGCCCCGGGGAGTCGCACCCGGGCCCGGTGCACGAGAACGGGGAGTACGTCGGGCGCTCGGTGCCCGAGATCGACATGTTCGAGGGCCAGGTGCGTTTCTCTCTCGCTGCGCCGGTCGGACGGGACAGGTCTGACGTGTCGTTCTCCGTTAGGTTGGCGGAGCGGTCAAAGACGAAACGCTGGGCGCGGTGTCCCAGTCCGCGCAGTGGGCGGTGAGTGTCGCGGGCGGGGCAGGGGAGTGTCGGTCGAGCTGACGACGTGACGCGCGCGCGCAGCCGTTCAACGCGGGGTACAGCGCGGACCATGACGCCTACCTCATCACCGATACCAGCAAGAGCATGGCGAACTCGTACGGCGGCGGCATATTCCAGCAGGCGACCTCGGTGGTCACCAGGGCCAGTACGTCCCTCCGTCTTCGTTGACCTGACCGGCACATGTGTGTGCTCACCCCGCGCCCGTGCCCGTCACTAGACCAGGATGCGTACGACCACGGCGGCCAGACGTTCTCGACGTACGGCTTCCAGTACAAGCCTGGGGCCGACGGTGCGGTGAGTTCTCCTCCTCAAAGGTGCCGATGACGGCCTCCTGACCGAGGCTCGCGACAGTACATCGCCTGGGTCGCCGACGGCTCGCTCTCGTGGACGATGGAGTCCGCCGCGGTCGGGCCCGACTCGGACTCGCAGATCAGCCAGCGCCTCGTGTCGCAGGAGCCCATGGTGAACCTCCCTCTGCTTTTGGCGACGAGGGCTGTTGCTGACGAACTTCCGCCCGCTACAGTACCTGATCATGAACCTGGGCATCTCGCAGGGCTTCGGCGAGGTCGACTTCGCCCACCTCGTGTTCCCGACCAAGATGCGCGTCGACTGGATACGCGTCTACCAGGACCCGAGCGCGAAGAACATCGGCTGCGACCCGAGCGACTTCCCCACCGCCGCATACATCGCCCAGTTCGTCCATCCCTCCTCCGCTCCGGTCTGAAGACGTGACTCTGACTCTGACTCTGATGGCACTCTGCAGGTATCAGGAAGCGTACACGAACGCGCTGCTGACGACGTGGGAGGACGACTTCAAGCAGGCGATGCCGAAAAACAGCTTCCTGGGGGAGTGCTCATGAGGCGCGCTCGGTGCGCGGGTGCCGCTATCGTTATTTTTTTTCTGATCGTGTCTCTGCTCGGACCTTGTACGTTTAATCTGTCTTATAATGGAGCGCCCTGACCGACTCGCGTGTGGATCACGGAACGGCTCGTGCGCAACTGAGAAGGTATCGTACATGCGCACATGTCGCGCGCGGGATTTCGTCGGGCGGGCGAAGGTGCCCGGGCGCAAGAACGAAGAGGCAGTCACGGGAATGGTTTAAGCGTGAGTCAAAGCTTTGACTCTGAGGATCAAACAGTCGGCGTCTCGGCCTTTGCCGGAAGCAGGTTCAGCCAGCAGCGCCGGCCTTGGGCTTGGCATCGATGCGGTCCGCCTTCCTGAGTACTTGAATTCTGAGGCCTGAGGCCCATGAGGCTTGAACGCACACATCCCCTGCGCTCCGTACGCATCTAGCTAGATATCCTCCGATGCCGCTCCTGCGTCTCCCTGCGTCCGGTGCCACCCTAGGCCTTACGCTGGCACGTCGGCCCTTGCGCCCGCGAGCCAACTCTCGTTCAACACCACCATCCACACCCTGCCCGACTTTGCCTCGATCGCACCTGCTCCAAATGCGCTTCGGCCACCGGTAGCCGAGCAGGCCGGGGACTTCGGCGCCCTGCTGACGCTTCCCGCCCGCCGGCGCCCGGTCCGTGTACGCGCGTACCCAGTCCCGGCGTTCCTGTCGCGAGGCTCTCCCCCTCTCCTTTTTTAAGGTCAAGCATTTGTACCCCGCACAGTGGTGCTTGGTGTCACGCAGGTATCAGGCCGGTTGCCACATCTAAGGGGCTCTCCACCACTTTCCACACGCTGTGCCCCGGGCTGGACACGCCGCCGCCACGCGAGTATTCGCCCAGGTCCACCGCCCACGAGTATGTCAACCCTTCCGTTCTCGGTCCCGCACACCAGGTTACGTGGTATCAGAGGCATGTGAGCTGGAGACAGCGAAGAGATCCTGGTTCAGCCGAGACACCCAGGTTGTATCCTGAGAGAGCGGTCCAGGCTCTCCAAGTCGCCCCATCTCTTCTCCTTCTCCCAATAAGATAATCCACTCGCCGCCGTTTTCGTGATACAGACTTGCACTCGCCGACGTGTTTGTGTCACGCGTATGCCTTCGGAGATCAAACCTCAATTCGGGGCGCCGATTTCCAGTCTTGACCGCTACCACACGCAGCTGAGTAGGAATGGTAAGTGCTTGTGCGCGATCAAACATGGATCAAGACTTGGACTGACAGAGCGTAGGTACGTAGTGTGTGGCAGGAAGGACATACCTGGATCGTGTGTACCGCGCGACGGCGCGGCCTGACGTTCGAGTAAGACATATATATGGCCTTGGTGGGTGTGTATCTTGCCTGTCCCCTCCTCTACAACACCCCTGAACTTCTTTCTGAGAAGATTTTGTTGTTGCTTCAAACAGAAACTGCGACTCTAAAGCATTTCGCTGACACATCCCTTGTTCCAGGCGGTTACACCATCCTCTCCCATACCTGGGACCCATCCGGACAGCAGTCTTTTCGACAAGTCCAAGAGATCACTTGAAAGTACCGGATTCTATCAGACGTCCTTTTATTCGTTAGATTTACGCACGACTGAATTTCCTCCAGCTCATGCTCGGCGGCTTCCTCATCTCTGCTGCGCTCGTCTATACCCGGTGTAGGCACGGGAACGGCGGACTCGGTCCCACAGGCCTGCCTGTCTTTGAAAGCGTCCAGTTACGGTGTACCATGAGCACGGGACTTGGTGGATGTATGTCTTCCTCCGTATGCGTTCCGGTGAAGGCGACTCAAATTCACCCCCCGCATGCTTCACCACCGCAGCCCAGCCCTCATCCTAAAGTCCACGAGAAGGTGATAACCCACTTGGTGGATTATCATCCAGTCAATGCGGGAGAGCTCGTCACCGCGAGCGCGAAGTGTTTATACCTACCCCTGGGTGTGAAAGCGTGACGACTATCATGATGTTACTCCTCGCAAACGTATCGAGCGATGGGGGTCGGGTTTTCACTTTACTTCTACAACATTGTCGTAAAAATGAGCTGTATGTAACCTATGCTCTGTCTCTTCACGGCGTCTCCTGCGGGCGCGCGATGAGCTTCACGGCGCTGACCTTGTTCTCCTCCATGCGCTTCAATCCGTCCTGGATGCCCGCCAGACCCTTGGTGAGAATTCCCACGGGGTTAGGCTGCAGCGCAATCACACACGTCAGCCCTCGTCAAACGGACAGATGGCATGGGAGAGCGAACGCACCTTGATGTCGCCCTTCTCGAGCCAGCCACTCAGCTGCGCAAAGACCTCCGCGCCGAAAGCGCTGTGGAACGGCACGTGCACGTTCCCCTGCGCGAAAACGATCGTCATCCCCTCAGCGGCCTTCTTGTCCTCCTCGCTCAGCGGCACCGGGTTCACGGTCACGAGCTTTCCCCCGGGCGCGAGCGCGCGGACGGCGACTGACTGCGTGTCCGCGTACGTGATCGCGTCGTACGCGTACAAGAGCGGCGTCCCCCTGAGCGCGCCCTCGATCGCGGCGACGAGAGCGTCGACGGAGAGCGAGCGGTCGAGGACGTGCGTCGCCCCAAGCGAGGTGAGCAGCGAGGTGTTGCGCAGGGACGCGGTGGTGATGATCGGGCTGTGGCCTGCGAGCTTGGCGGCTTGGATGGCGAACTGGCCGACGGAGGATGCGCCGCCGAGGATGAGCGTGGGGGTGCCTGCGGAGGGGGAGGGGCCCGCCCCCCAGAAGGGGGGAGGTTGAGCGAGTTCGTGGACGCGGGAGAGTACAGGCTAAGAAGGACGGTCATGAGGCCGAGCGGGAGGGACGCGGCTTGGTCCAGGGAGATGTTCGCTGGAATCTGAGTGCCAGGATCTGTTAGACCAAGAACACGGTTCATGAGGGGGCGGTACGCACTTTGGCTGCGAACGCGGGGTTGACGATTGTGTACTGCTGGAAGGTAGTCTTGTCCGGAGCGAACCAGCCTTGGAAGACGCTGAAAACGAGACCATGAGCATTTCTGAGAAGTTGGAGTCGTAGAAGAGCACGTACACTCTGTCGCCCTTGGACAAGGTAGTGACGCCGGAGCCGACGACCTCGACGACACCCGCTCCGTCCGTGCCGAGGGGGAGGGGGAGGACGCCCATCACATGGATGAGCTCAGGGCCAGTGATCTTCCAATCGGCAGGGTTGAGTGCAGCGGCCTCGACGCGGACGAGGACCTCGCCGTCACCCGGGGTGGGCACCGGCCTTTCGGCGATGGAGAAATTGCCCTGGGGAGGGGCCTCGGTGAAGTGGAAAGTCTTCTGGATGGTGGGTGTAGACATGGTTAGGTGGGGGTGTCGGAAGGAAGGGGCGGAGGATGGCGCATTTATACGCTGTCTGCCTCCGCTGAACAAGGCGCGATGTGGACTCTGGACTCCGCCATCGGGAGGGATTCGAGAGGTAAAGACGACGCGTGCGCAATCCGGACCGGGTGAATGAGCGTCACCGGCGGTGGTGGTTCGGAGATGGGGCGTTGTGCGAGCGGATCGGCGAACGGCACGGGCGGTTGTAGCCGTGGGAGCGCGCCGTGATTGGCCAGAGGAAAACCCGACGCCGGGGGACACCCGGCGCCTCAACGACAGCTCGGAGTGAAGGCTCCTGCTTACAGCGCTCTGTCCCAAAAACGATGGGCCGTTTTCGCACAGGAGCGCGAGTGGAGCCGTGTTTGGTTTTGAGGCGGGCCGAACAGGGCGCGAGTTCGCGACGTCTTGCTTGAGCCTTGCGCGCACCGCGAGTCTCGCGATGCCCGCTGCTACGACGATGTCCACGCATGCGCCGCAACCTCCACCGTGCGCACTACGCTGCGTGACATGCACTGTCTATACGGTTTCCCCCAGAAAGTCATCTCCGGTCTAATCCCAACCCATCGTCTCGCCTTCAATCCCAAGTCACTGCACTTTTTCTTGGGAGGTATTCCATTGGCCATACACATTGAAACACGTCTGCGACAGTGGCGGAGGTGTTCCTGGGACCTGCTCTCATGAAAGCGCCCGCGCGCTGCGCCGTGTTCGTGAGGCCGTCTGTGGTCGTCAACCGGAAGACTGCGTCTGGATGGAAGAGTGTATCGCGCGTGCGTAGAATTCGTGACAATCGCGGTACATCGCAGCGCGCGCGCGGGGGTATCGCGATGCTCACGGTGCGCGCAAGGCTCAAGCAGGTGTTGCGGACTCGTGCCGTAGCCTCACTACGTACGGGCGTGGTGTGTGAGGGCGCTACATGCACCCTGACCAGCCGAGTCTGCTCGGCTCGCTCCAAAACCAAACACGGCCCCACTCGGCTCCTGCACGAAAACGGCCGATTTTTTTGGGACAGCTGCAATTTGCTTTTCGTCCACTATCGCTCTACTTGGGTCTCACACATCCTCGCCGGCCCGTGGACTCGCTTAATGAATGTCATACCACTGGTGACAGTGTCAAACATCCACCGTCAATGTCTACGCCTCTCGCTCATCAGTGTTTTGTGGTCCGGAGGCTGATTTGGACTATTTTTCATGCAAGAATATGCGTACCCGGAAGCCTTTCTCTCGAGATGTTGCAGCACACAGTAAAGAATGCCTACAAGTATATATCAGTCCTGCCCCCTTTCGCATCTGTGCAACACACTCTACGCCTCACCCACTGGAATCGCTTTCATACTTTCATACTACGCGACGGATCACGACGAACTTTACGGTATCCACTGGTCTGTGAGCTTTCCCTCGGACCCTCATTACACTCGAAGCAAGTCATCTTCCCCCGGCCGAGCCCTCATCGCCACGGTGGACTTTGAGGGGGCTTGACTCGTCCACCACATCTCTTGGCATGTACACGGAGCCGGTGCGCCGCTCCGGAAAAGGCAGGCTACAGCTGAGAACGAACCTCGCCGATCGTCTCCAGAACGGCCGCGGCGACGGTCGTCATCAGCGACGCGTCCGCGCGGGACACGGGAATCTGTCAAAGGGAAGGTCAGCACACAGCGCTACTGTGGTCGGACTGCTGGGGCGACTATGGCCCACCCCGCGAGGCGGGGAGGTACTTACTTAGAGATGGATATATTCGGGAGGCCGGGTCCGCCTCGTCGGCCGAGTGGGGGCGACCAGGACCCCCGGCATCTCCCATGCCTGATTCCGATTTTACCAGAAGCGCCGTAATGTGGCCTCGGGCCGGCTTCCCGGTTGCGGTCGGATGAGGACAGGCCGCGAATTTGGTCGGATTTTCGGAATAGGCCTCTGGAAAGCGAAAAATTCCTCCTGTCATCGCGGAAACCGTATTCGTACTTCTGAGAGTCATTGGAGGCGAGTCTATGACATCATAGACGCAAACTCTGACCCATCTGTTCAGTGTTTTTGAGGGGTGCGTATCTACGCCCTCCGCGGCTCTCCACAACCCGGCCGTGCTGCAAAACGTCCGCGACTCTGGTATGCACCCGTGCAGTGCCGCGTACGTCTTCCCGCTCGCCTCGGATGACAGCCGCCCAGAACCAGCGCCAATCCGTCGGCATCGGCGCGAGCAGTCCTGAAGCACCTTTTGGTGACTTTGAAGTGGCTTCTGATTTGATATCGACCTCTTGTGAGCCAATAAACCTGGTCATCAATAAAATCGTGGTGCCAGATAGAGTTTCCTTGACCGCCAGGCGTTGAGAACAGGCAGGATGGGTGACACCCCGGCGCGGGCCGGCGTCCGCGGGCCAGGGACCGGCGGACACCCAGAAACGCCTAAGCGCTTACAGGCACGATCGAGGTGCGGATTCAGCTCGGGCATTTGAGACTTGGTTGAGATGTCGGGGGAACTAAGTACATAGGCGAACACGGCCCGTGCGACAATTCAAAGCCCAGGGGGCGTTGGTCTGGGAAAGTGGAGAGCGTTGATCCGGCTCGGAGCAAAGGCGTACAAAAAGAGAACAAGGGGTTCGCGTACGCCCAACGCACCTTGATTATGCATCCCTGGCACCCCTGCGATCCGTCCGACGTGCCCTTGATCCGCGTGCGCGGTACGAGGCTACGGGCTGCTACGGGACGCTCGTAGAAGCGGGAGGGAGGCTGATTGGGACGGCGATGTCCGAGCCGCGCGTCTCCGGCTCTGTTGACGGAAGGTTGTGAGATATGTTTTGATGCCATTGCGAATCTGGGCGGGGTCCGAAGTGAGTACGTACGGCAGTTGATGGAGTCGTGCAGACACGTACCGATGACTAGGCTCACCCCGGCCGTGTCTGGGATTAGGTATCGGCCACCATGCTGGAGACGGCGGCGAGTTGTCTATCACTATTAGCGTGCTCACAGTACCCAGTGATCACCAGTCTTCACGTCCTCGAGGGCTCCTGTACTGGGTCGAGCACAAAGTGCGGCACATTGTGCATCCGTGCACGATCAGCGTGGCGAAAGAAAATGATCACGGGCTCACCAGGCGCTCTCCGGCTCACGTACATACGACATACTTACCCAGCACTCCGCTTATGACCCTTCCCAAAACGCCCAATCAATTATCATGAACCTTCCCGTCTGCTTTTCGGGCCTAGCGTAACTCAGTGGCAGCACAGAAATCACAAAGTACGGTCGACTTCATCAAAGCATCATTATCAGCTAGCGCGGTGCCCATAGCGCCGGACGTGGACTCGCACAGACCAATTCAGAAGCCTGAAGAGCGCGCGCTTGACGTCGATGGTCGGTAGCTTGCGCCACGGGCCTGTATCGACGCCCAAGACGTGGGTTAAGAAAATCCCAGCGGTTGACAAGCATCGACTGACACCCTCCGGATACGGGGCCCACGCCGACATGTCAAAAGCGCGAATGGAGCCAGGCTGCGCGGGCGTCGTGCTGTGCCGGGGATGCACGATGAAGCGATTGTGTGGGCTCCGCACAGCGGTACGATGGATACCGGCGCTGAAGCACGGCGTGACCTGGGGGCTCGGAGGCAGTTCCTGACGAATTGTCAGTGCTCCGAGAGGATTACGCTTCGGCAGCGTTATGTCTCGTCGCCATGCAGACCTGTGAGCCTGTGGGTGCCCGTTCCTGAGAGCGAGGCTGTGCTCAGTGGACGCAGTGCTCGGAGACATTATGCCTCCGCGAGCCCGCACCGCACGTCCCACGGCGACTTGGAATGAGAACGAATTGGGACCGCTTCAGGAACAGCACTGGAGGGTGCCTGCAAGTTCGAAACATCCGCGAGAGGCGATTGTGAGCGCCGGCCACAGATCACTGATAAATGCGAGGATCTATGACAGAAGACCGGGCCGGTGAGCATTCTGGTACGCCGAAGGCAACGGTGGACAGGTGGAGACTGTAAGTGTAACAGACTTACGCGTTCCAACTTTTGCTAGTGTGTTCACCGGACACGGCGTCGCGCCCGCATCTGGGGCGTCCAGTGGAGTATCTGTCCGCGATTGGCGTGTGGGTGCCAGTCCTGGGAGGCAGATTGTGCGCGACGGACCCGCGGCGAAGTGATCATGCATGAGTCAGAGAGTTGACTGAGAGGTCGTGCGACTGTGACGAAGCGGACAGATCAGCAATGACACCGATAGCGGGATTGCTTAGGGGCGACTGCGACGGTCGGCCAGTCGACGGGGATCTGGCCCGGGCCGCAGCCTGACGGGGACTGTGGGCAGTGGGGACAATGCATGTGCGGTTAGATGGAAAGATGGGACCATGCGTGCTGCGACCATTGACGAAAGGAAGCGGACGCACTTGAAATCAATGGTGGTCGAAGCGTTGGAAGTTCGAAGGTGGGAATGCACCGCGACCATCACGGTGTGGCTGGTCGACGAGGGAGACATCACCCATCCGTCATCTCGACAGCGAGCTTCTCGGACTCGCCATCCTCCCACCGAGAACCAGAGCGCAAGCGAACGGAATGCTGGAAGAGTGGAGGTAGACGGCCTGGCCAGTGGCCACACCCGTCGTGCTCCCTCGCGGAACGTGAACTCTGAGTCTGAAATCTGGCCGCATATGGCATGTTCGATTCAGGCGGCGCCACGTTCTGACGGGGACGATCTCGTGTGCCGCTCCAGCTCCGCACGCCCGGTCATCCCGGTGACCCGTTGGTCATTGGCTGGCTGGCACGCTTCTCGCATCGCACAACGCAAAACGTCTTCTTGTTGGTCTGATATGCGCCATGCGCGGGCGAACGGCGCGCTCCCTTCTCGCGCACGACCCAGCTCGTTGGCGGCGATGGTGGGGCCAATATGCGGGACGGGCTGCTGGATCGGGGGTTGATTCGAGTACTCTATCGGACGCTTCCTGCGACGCGCGCCCGCAGTGAACTCGCCCGCGATGGACCGTCTCCAGCTTCGGGCGGCATCCGGGCGGGTCCGGAAGGGCGCAGGCCGGATATTGGCGCATCGCCCCGCGGAGGTTTGGGTCGACAAGTCGCCGGCTGCGATGCACACCATCGAGCAGGATATCGAGAGCTGGGCAGAGGCCAGGGCCGTCGTGGATGCTCTTGGGGCGCATGGGCGAGCGGAGCAGTGGTGGGGATAGGCTAAGCACCGTTCGGGACGGAGGAAGGCGGCACGAGCAGTTGCTTATCGCGCTCGGCGCTGAAGCGCCGAGGCCTGAGGGCAGCAGCCAGCTCTCGAGGAGGAGGCCGGAAGCAGAGAGGTGGAGAGGAGGGGAAGACCCCGAAGAGGACCGATGCGGACTTGATTGGGCCAAGCCCGGCCGCTCGCCTGGCAGACCTCCTCCCGGCGCTCGTGCAGACGCCCGTGGCTTGTGCCGCCTCTTCTCGTCCGTCCGCTTTTCTTCCTCACCTCCCCTCCTTTCCTCTCCTCCGCCCCCGCTCCCCCCCTCGCGTCTGCCGCCCCGCCCGCCTGCGCGCGTCCCCGCCCCATGAGCTGATCTCGACCCGTCTCTCGACCCAGTGGCACCATCCGACCTCTCCCACTCTCCGCAAACTCGCCCAGCGCAAGCGCCTGAACCGCTCTCGCGGTCTCAGTGCCTGCGTCCTCCAGCCTGCGTCCTGCACCTCCGCATTATCTTTCTGCCTGTCTCTCCTCCCCATGCCCGTGGTTTCGCGCACCCAGCGCGCAGAGGCCAAGTACAACGTGACTTTGGACTGTATGTATGCGCGTACTCCCGTGCTCTTCTTTTCTTTGACCACCTCCCCCTTCCTCTGGCTGCACCAGTCCCCCATCTCGGCCTCCACTCTGCCGCCTCTTCTGGGAACCTTGGCCTCGTCACCTACGCCCTCGATCACGGTCAACCCGTCAACTCTGTCCTCGATGGTGTCCTCCCCCTCCACGTCGCGTGCTCTGGAGGGAACGATCTCGTGGTCCGTTTGCTCATCAATCGAGGCGCGGATGTAAATGCGCCCAGGTGCGTCCCCCCGCTTCCTCCGATGTCCCGCAAAGTTGACAAGACCCCGTGCTCTCGCAATGCGCACCCGCCGCGCTCGCCCAGGCTTCCCCGTAAGTACTTGAGCGACAAACACAGAGATGCCTCCGCCCCCATCGTGGGTACCTCTGGCGCGACTCCCCTCCACTTTGCCGCCGCGAACGGCCATGAGCACGTAGTCTTGACGCTCCTCCTCCATGGCGCCCACCCCGACCGCCCCGACAAGCACGGGGTGACCGCCGAGGGCCTCGCGCGCCAGAACGGCTACGCACGATGCGCCGAACTCCTCTCCAAGTGGTCCCATGAGAAGGACAAGGACCTCCGCGAGCGCGAGGTGCTCCACGTGCCGTCCCCAGATCCCGAACCGAGCTCGCGCCTGGACAACATCGAGTGCAAGGTGCACGAGAAGAAGCTCAAGGTGAAGCGCTCCATAGACAACGCCTTCCACATGCTCCGACCCGCGCCCACGCCTCCCTCTGGCGGCACCATCCCGCAGGAGTTCGCGGGTGATGTGGGCTCATCAGATTCTTCACCCGCCACCTCCACCGCGCAGGAGTTCCCGCCACGACGACCTTCCCTCCCGCACATATTCGACTCTCCGTCCCAGTCCACTTCCCAATATCCCACCCAAAGCTCCAATCATCCCCCACACCGGTCATCGAGACAAGCGTCTGTCTCTCACTGCCGCCGACCGCGCTCAGCTGGCACCGATGCGGACCAGTCGGGATCGCCGGCTGTGTCTACCGTGTCCACGCCTGGTCGGCTGCGCGGCAAGCTCTCACTTCTACATATGTTCAAGAAGGCTGCGGGCGAGTCGTCGTCGTCGACCCCGGGCGCCCCGCCAACCCCTGAAGGGAAAGAGAGCTTGTCCGGCTATGCGTCCAGCAGCTCTCCGATGACGTCGGCGTCGGCATCACCTGCCCCTGACCGCGAACGCGAGCGCAGCAGGGGCTCGTCCTCGTCCCACTCCCCGCTCAAGACCCGCGCGTCTGAGTCGGGCCTCCTCCCGTCGGCCGCTTCGTCGCCGTTCCCGCCCGTGTTGTCCACCGTACCGAGCTCGCGCAGTCGTCTCCGGAGCGAGAGCGAGGCGTCGGTTGACGCGAGTTATCCCCCACTCGCGGTCGAACTCCACCGCAAGCTGTCGGCCGAACGCATGCGCGGCCGCTCCTCGAGCACCTCGCTCGACACGAATAAACCTCTGCCGTCGCCCCAGAATGCAGCGCACAGGAGCCCGCAGGTCCGTCCCGGTATCCTCCGGCCCCACGCCCGGTCCGCGTCGTCCGGTCAGACCCAGTTCCAGCCACCGATTGGCCTTGGATTGGTAGATGGCACGGCACCATTGCGCTCTCTTAGGTTCGACTCTGAGCCACGATGCCGTCTGTGTCGAGCAAGCGGTCCGCGTTGGGTCTCGAGACGTCGGATAGGGGCTCATCAGGCAGGGATAGCCCCTCAATTTCCCACCAACGCTCACGAACCGCGGACCTCAAGAATGAAGAGTCCGATTACTCTCAAAATCGACACGCCACGGTCCTGGACGATGAGGATGCGGATGAGGCGGACGACGACTTTGAGCCCGACGGCTACGGCGAGGTTATTTCTCCCCGCCTCGGCCTCGGCATACCCCTCGCTCCAGAAAGCAAGACGCGTCTACACGAGCTCAAGTCAGAGGCGCGCACTCTTGAGCGTCGACCGTCGAATGGTTCTCAACGCTCACGCGCGTCCTCGAATGGCTCCCTCCCTTCGCCCACCACCGCCAACGATCCCGCCGGATACGAATTTGACTGCCCGTTCAGTATCAACCGCCCGCCGCCAGAACCTCTCCCCGTTGAGCAATCGGTTGCGTCCACGAGCGACTCGCGCTTGCAACCATCACACGGGATCGACAACCGCGTCCGCGGTGACAGCTTCGGGAGCATCAGCACCAGCACGGAGGCAAGCATGCCCGAGACGCCAGGTCCAGGGCCCAGCTTCAGCCCACACTTCCTCTCACCCGACTCCCTCCCCCTCGACCTTCCGCTTGACGCCACGTCCGTGGAGGACGAGAAGGCGCGCGAGCGCGACCACCTCCGCCAGCGCACCAACTCCTCCGTCTCGGGCGGGAGCGCGAACTACTTCGGGGAGCGCGAGCGCAGCCCCGCGCGCACGCTCAGCCCCTCGCGCGCTGCGCGGCACGTCCCGCCCCCGCTCGACATCGACATCCGCGCGATCTCGAGCCACGCGCAGGCCGAGGCGCTCGTCGCTCGCGCGCAGAAGAGCATCATGGACATGAGTGGCGTTGAGCTTGACGTGCCCGCGGCCCGGCCCAGCTCTACGTCGACCATCGGGGCGGACGGGGCGCTCACCCCGGCGCCGAGCAGCGGCGCGCTGCCATCTGGACGGACGCCGCTCAGCGCGCGGCTCGCCGCGTACGGGGAGGTGCTCGCGCTCGAACGTCGATTCAAGGAGAAGGAGCGGCAGGGCACCGGGGCGTCGGCAGAGCTTGAGACGCCCGTTGGGAGTCCGACCACGCCAAGCCAGGCGCGGACGCGGGCGGATCCGCTCAGGCCGCGTGCGAGCGAGTTCGACGTTCGCAAGTTTAGCCTCGAGGAGCGGCCGATGATCAGCGCCGTGCCTGCGTCGAAGCGGGGCAAGGGGAAGCGCCACACACCGCAGACGGTCAGTATTCATGTGGTCTGTGGATCTGGTATTGGTGCTCAAACTTCCTCCACAGGCGACTCTTCTAGTGAAGCGCAGTCCGGCTTCCTCAGGCAGCCCGTCTCGCCCGGCCACAAGCCCACGCTCTCCGGCAGCCAGCTGCTTTCTCCTCGCGGACAGTTCACCGCTTCTCGCGCCCCTCTCTCCACCAAAACCCTCCCGCAGCCGCCGCCACCGCGCATCGTCCGCTCGCGCACGCCCGACCCCGAGGGGTGCGACCTGTCGTCCTCCCGCCTCGCTCGACCACGACTCGAGCGGAAGGCCGTCGTTCGGAGTCCCGCTCTCGCGCATCGCCACGGCGCCGCCGCGGCACGCGTCGCCGGACATCGTCGCGCAGCGGACGCTGAGCGAGCAGGATCGCCAGCGCGCGCGCGAGAAAAAGCTGATGAAGATGGGCCTGCTCTCGCACGACTCGTTGGCGCCGTGGGCGCGGGCCCGCCGCGCTCGAATGGCGGCGCCGCCACCCCGTTCTCGCGCAACGGGGGCGGGGCCCCGAGCGGCCGGCGGTTTGGTGGGATCAAGGGCCTCGTGCAGACGCTGACGGGGAAGGCGACGTGAGGAGTTCGTCCGTCTGTCCCCTCCACCGACCTCCATACTCGACTTGAAGAGCTACCTTCGATCCCGGCTCTGGCTACCTCTCGTTTCTATTTCCGTCGTCGTCAAGTACTCTTACCTTAGTCACTCATTCCAAATCCGCGCGTTTGTCGCACTCCCTCACATTCGTTTGAGCGTATCATATTGTACTTTGTTATCTATGTACCTACCGCACTCCCCCCTCTCTTGACACCCTGCCACGGCTCATCTCTCCGCGTCCCCCATCACTCTCCGGCACCTGTACATATCGCTCCACGCTGCACGTCCACCCGCTCCTCGCCTCGCTTTCGTTCGCCTGTCCACTATTCGCTCCGTCCGTTCTCACCTTGGGAGGAAGCTCTGTCTGTACCACCACTGCTCGCCCGCCCCGTGTGTATCCGATATCATTTCATCTCTCCTTCCGTTCGCCTGTTCGCCCGTGTCCTCCCGTACTCGGCGCTGTCCTGTCCTCTCGCCCGCGGGCTTTTATGTATTGTGCACCCTCCGCCTCGCTCTGTTCTCGCCCTTGCTCGCAGATCCACTCTACGTCGCACACTCCTTTGTGATTCGGCCGCACGTCCGGTCGACGCTGTATCAACTCCGTTACCCACGACTCTTCCGTCCCCATCCCCGTCCCCGCGCGACCCGAGGTCAAGAAGGAGCGTGCTTCTCGTTTGGTGTGATGCCTTTCTGATGGGTGGCGATGGGCCTCCAGGCTCCGAGCGATGCGCGAAGGGGGCATCGCCTCCTTGCGGTGGCGAAGTCCATCACGGCCCCAGAAGCTGCTGCCATATGGATTGGTACCGGTGCAGTGCCTCGGAGATTTGAATTTGAGCGGGGAGGCCGCGATCTATCTTCTGGATGCGTGCTGCGGAGACAAAAAGTTCATGCATAGCGGCCTCGTCCCATGTACTGATATAGCAGCACCATAAATTCTGGTCTCGTCCCCAGCCGCTCTGTACCGCACCCCGCCAGCAGAGCGGCTGGGGACGAGACCAATAAATCCGCACTAAAGACCCTTGTATATATTCGCCACGAGGCGAGCACGTGGACAAATTCAACTCCCCCAAGATCCAAAGAGCCCTTTCTTAGCGCCCGTAAGCCGCTTTCTGATTGCCCACCAACATCTCAACGAGGCCGTCGATAAGCTATCGTCGTGGAAGATGTATTCCGGACTAAACGGACTGGAAGACTTTCATCCGTTTCGTTCCGCGATCTTGGGGCCAAACCAGTCTCTCGTGACAATCGCTCACGTCGCTCTTCGACATCGCTGTATGCGCTGCGGTCTGCGCTCCCGGGCGCTGAAAGAGTGCAGTGCGTGCGTGGTGACGAAGTACTGCAGTCGAGGATGTCAGAAAGAAGATTGGCCGATACACAAGTAGGCATTCAACTTTTTTGGTGCAGACTGTACTCACCCACCCCACAGAGCAGTATGCGTCCCGCGGCAGCAAAGCGCTCGCCTCCTCCAAGAGCATCTCCTCTCTCGCTACTCGTGCCACGCCGAGCTCGCAGCGACCATCCGCGACTGGGCAAACACGCACGACCACGCGCTGACGCTCATGGCCAACGCCGTCGCCCACCGCGCCCCACACGACCACACCCTCTCGCTCTTCAACCCCGCGCAGGCCGGCACCGTGCTCACCGCCGAAGACTTTGTCCGCTCGAACGCGTACCTCTGCATCAAGCTCCTCGACCGCCGCGGCGCGCGCGCCGCGAGCGCGCCGCCGTCGCGGTTCCAGCTGCGCGCGCACGCGGTGCTCTGCCACGGCGCCGGGGGCGCCGCCCCCCCACCTCGGATGGCAGCACCCCGTCCTGGTCCGCGGTCGCCGCCGCACCGGGGGACGACCCGTTCGAGCGCGTGCGCGCGGCGCAGCGGAACGAGCACGCGTTCAAGGACCGTGGGCGCACGCGGCGCCGCTCGGCTTCCTCCCCGTCGAGTTCTTCGTCGAGCGCCTCCGCGCGACCGTCGTGCGCGCGTACCCGGTCTACCGCCCCCGCGTCGGGGACGCGCTGGCGGCGGCGGAGGTGGACGTGCTGGCGGACTTGCTCCACACGTTCACGATGCTCTTGGCGGACGGGGTGGGGCCGCCGCTGGTCGCGCGCCCGCCGCGGGGGGAGGGGCGGCGCCCGCGGCTCGTCGGTGGGGCGGTGGTGCGGGCGGGGAAGAGGTGGATATACAGGGAGCGGCCGGACTTTGACTGGGAGCGGATGCGCAGGCCGGAGTGGCAGGCGCGGTACAAGACCTCGCTGAGGATCGACGAGATGCTGGAACGGACGTGGGAGATGCTGGAGATGCCGCGGTCTTGAAGCGAGTTTTGAGCTTCCACTTGTTTTTCTAGGCTGGTGCTGTCTGAGGGTGGTGTCTCGCTGCTGAGACTGCGCGCCGACCACCAGTGCACCAACCCCGACTAGACCTGGTGCAGAGCGTGGACCATATGTGTAGCCTGATTGTATGTACGCTCACTGAGAGAATTGTACCACTCTGTCATTTCCAGATCCGGTCTTGTGTGTGGCTGGAGACGCGCCCACGGCGGCCACGAGCCTGACTCGCCCACCACCACGTTCGAGAGGCGCACCATGCAATGAGCGCTTGATTATGGAAATAAGGATGATGCAAGCCACGTGGATCGCTGCCACGAAACACGCGCATGACGGCCACAGTGGCATTAGTAAGAGGCTGGCACCGACGTCGTCGCTACTTCTCCCTCGCCACACACGCAGGTGGAAGATGCTTCATGACCGAGACGAAGGCAATGGAGGGCGAGTCCTCGAATCCCCGACGTATTCCCAACCCTTTTTGCGATCATCGGGCCGAACATGCATGTCACTGCGCTCGCTGAGGTCGCTCTTCGACACCGGTGTATGAACTGTGGACGACGCTCTCGAGAGCTAAAGGAGTGCAGCGCGTGCCTTGTCACCAAGTACTGCAACCAGAGCTGCCAGAGAGCCGACTGGTCCTCGCACAAGTGAGCTTCATTTCGCCTTTGCATAACAGATGCTGACGAGTCCGTACTCATACCAGGGCGGTATGCATCCCCACGAAACAAAGTACACGACTACTTGCAGAACACAGGCTATCAGATCACCCCTGCCACGTCGCCATCGCGTCAGCCATTCGAGACTGGGCTTTCTTGCATGAACATTCAATCACACTCATGGCCAATGCCGTAGTTCACCTCGAGCCATCCTGCAGTGTAGGGTTGGAGGCAAATACCGTCGAAGAGGTTTTGGACACACGTTCATACATTGCCCTCAATCTCGAGGACGTAGGTCTATCCTCTACGGCCATCCCGTCCACAAAGTTCCTCCTCGCCGAGAATGTATGGTTAAGCCCCATCGACCCGAGGACCCATTACGCCCCGTCCTGGAATGGGGACAAGAAGACGCACTTCTACCACACGCGCGCAGCTCGGAGGCCGAAATGCTTGCTCGCAGCCCGAAGATGCTGAACATGTAGTGGGATTCTTGACCGTCGAGTTCGTCGTCAAGAGCCTCCGCACAGCCGTCGTCCGCGCGTACCCGATTTATCGCCTGCGTCCCAGCATCGTTGGACCACCCAGGGACGGGCTGACGATCCTCGAACAAGCGGCTTTCAAAGACGTCATCCGCGTCTTCATAAGACTCCTGGACACCCGCACGAATCCGCCTATCGTGGTGCGCCCGCCACGGGACAGGGAGCGAGGGTTTCTTGTAGGTGGTACAATGGTACCCGGCCGGGGAAGAGGTGGGTATATCGGGAGTATAAGCACTTCGGATTGGAGGCGTTCCACGATCGGCGGACGGCCAGGAGCGAGTTGGATGTTTCCGAGATGCTGGCGTGTGTATGGAACGTGCTAGATATTCCTACCTTGAGGTGAGCTATCGCAACTCGCACTTGCTTAGAGTCATCTTTCATGCACTGACGTCGCCGTTCAGAGAGCCTGTGTTGTATTAGAATTCACGTGCAGGCATCCGTCGGTCGTGAATGCCAGAAACACCCAAACAGCTTTATTCATGCTCCGCACGGTTAAGCCCATGCTATATTCGAACTGATCGTTTCTTCCCGCTGCTTCCAGCATCCTGTTCGCTTGCGCTGCTGGTCTCCGTTGGAGGCGAGAAGCTCGCTGTCGAAAGGACACATTGGGGATGTCTGCGGCCCATCGTCGACCCGGCCACATCGTGATGGTCGTGGTGCATTCTCACCTTCGAACTTCCGACGCTTCGATCACCATTGATTTCAAGGTCTACGGCGCTTCCTTTCGTTGGCAATGGTCGCAGCGCGCCTGACCCCGTCATGCATCGTGTGCACTGCTGTGCGAGCCAGATCCCCGTGGACGGGCCGCCCGTCGCAGTCGCCCCTAATTTATCCCTTATGTATCTGTGTAATTGAATGCTGACTTTTTCACTTCGTCCACAGTCGCACGACCGCTCAGTCGACTCATTCAGGCACTGGGTCCTCCCCTGTCCCTTCCCTGCACGTCTCGACGTCCATGGTGACATCACGCGCTACAAGTACGTCCACCATCTACCTCCCTGGCAGGACTGACACCCATGGACAGATACCCCACCGGACGCCGCACCGGTGAACACCGCTCGAAGACGTAACTTGTCCGTTACAGTCCCCGCCTGTCCGCCCGTCGCCTTCCGGTGTAGCAGAACACTCGTCGGCCCAGCTTTCTGTCATAGATCCCCGCATTTATCAGCGATATGTGGCCGTCGCTCAAAGTAAACACCTCGCACGGATGTCCCGAAATTGAAGTATCCAGTGCTGTTCCTGAAAGAGGCGTTCCCATCCCTGAAGTCGCCGTGGGACGTGCAGTGAGGGCTCGCGGAGGCAGGCTCACAGGTTTGCATGGCGACGAGACACGGTCTATTGGGGCATATTCTCCTCTGAACACCGACAGTTCGTTGGCAAGACACCGCGTCTGTCGATCAGCACCGGAGTCGCATCGGATTGCAAGGACGAGTTGGAATGATCTATGATGTCATATGCCACGCGAGTGCCACGTTGGCCGCTGCAAATGTCGTTGAGCGCTGAGGGATGATTACTCAGCTTTCGCACTTGCCCGCCGCCACTTCGCCCTCGACATATCATCACGATGCCTGAGGATGGTGAAGGGAGTCCAGAGTGGTCTCCGCGATCCACCAATGTCTTTCCAACCGTCTTTGCGACCATCGGCCAGACATGTGTATCAACACAATGGCCGACGTTGCTCTCCGACACCGGTGCATGTACTGCGGATGGCGTTCACAGGGGCTCAAGCAATGCAGCGCATGCATCGTAACCAAATACTGCGGAAGAGCTTGCCAGAGAACGACTGGGACTCTCACAGTAAGCTTTGCTGGCTATCTGATCAACGTCCCTTTGTCATGACACGTTTGCTGCACAATCACAGGAGAGTGTGCGTCCCGACACGGCAGAGCACGCGACTATTCGCAGAACACCAATTGTCTCGCTACACAAGTCACGCTGCGGCTGCATCCGCCATACGAGACTGGGCCTACCTACACGAACACACGATCACGCTCGCCGCCAACGCCACTGCTCACCTCGCGCCGTACGGAGATGGGCTCATCGACCAAGACCCGAGGACCTGCACCGTCCGAGACATCCTCGACTCCGCCGCCTACCTCTCCATCGAGCTCGTCGACACCGGAAAACCCCCCACGGCCAGTCCGTCCGCGAAGTTCCGGATGACCGCGCACGCGGCCTCAGCCACGGCGTCCCGACCGAGAACGCCCCGTTCTGGAACGAGGCGCAGGAAGACCGCTTCCAGACGACGCGCGGGCGGCGGGAGCGCGAGGTCGCGATCCGCACGCCGGACGACGCCGGGAAGATCCTGGGCTTCTTCCCCGTCGAGTTCTTCGTCGCGCGCCTGCGCACGACGGTCGTCCGCGCGTACCCGATCTACCCCTGCGTCGCGCGAGGGGTGGCGAGGAGCGGCCGACGAAGCGCGAGATGGCCGTGCTCGAGACGTCTTCCACATGTTCACGTCGCTCTTGCGAGCACCGGCGACCCAGCTATCATCGTGCGCCCGCCGCGGGACCCGAGGAGGGGGTTGCTCGTGGGCGGACAGATGGTGCGCGGTCGGGGGAAGAGGTGGGTGTACGAGGAGCACGAGTACTTCAACTGGGAGGCGATGCGGACTCCGCAGACGGAGCGGTACTTCAACAGCGGCTTCGGGGTGTACGACCTGTTGGTGCGTACTTGGGATATGCTGGAGATTCCACGGCTTTGAGGTGAGCAGTCGGACTTGCTTCATGACCATGCGCTAGTGCGCCCGTCACTTATACAGCTATGATTTTCAGGGGTGATGCATACGGATGAAGGTTGGGGAGTGGGCTCATTTTGAGTCGCATCACTGGGTCGTACATACCAGGTGGTGCCACCAAATTCAACGAACTTTGGACTCGGATCTCGCTTCTTCACGCGGTGGGGAGGCTTGCATGTGCGGACTGTGCTCTGTTCATACCTCCCGCACTGCCCATGCACCAGCTGGCGCGATGGTAACCCTGCTGCCTACATGACGAAACGGTGTTTATCGTCCACAGCTCTGAGGTACGTGACCAATTGTCCACCAATCACTCGGTTGGAATTTTGGGATACCCTTTCTCCGATGGAAGTCTGCTCTCTTTTCGACAGTCGCACGACGGATGTGAGGCCGCAGGTGCAAGCCGAATCCACGTGATGAACACGTGGAGGCGCCGGCGGTGCCACCGCGTGGTGTCGTACTTCTCCCGAAATCCACCACGTCGACTCCAGCACCGAGCTTCTAGAGGAGATCTCACCGCATGCGATGCAGAACACGAACGAGAATCAAGATGTCTCCCCCGGGCGCCAACGCACATCATTTCTTTCCGCCGTGATCGGGCCGAATACGTCTGTCGTGGCGACGCATGACGTGGCTCTTCGACGCCGGTGCATGCACTGTGGTCGTAGCTCACGCTCTCGCCCGCTGAAGGAATGCAGCGGATGCGTGACGACGAAGTACTGCAGTCGTAGCTGCCAGCGAACCGACTGGCCTCTTCACAAGTAAGCATTTCTTTTATCTTCTATATCCCGCTCACATGCCGACACTTTCTACTGCAGGGCAGTCTGCGTCCCGACGAAGCGAGAACCTCAACTGTGTTCTGAGAACGTCTTATCCCGCTATTCATGTCATTCTGCCGCTGCTTCAGCCATCCGTGACTGGCTTGAGATCCACGAGCATACACTTGTGGTCGCCGCCAACGCGACTAGCCACATGCAGCCCTACGTCGAAGGGATCATCGAGTCAAGCCCGGGAAAGGCCACAGTGCAAGACATGATACGATGCGGTGGATACCTCTTCTTCACTCTCGCCGACACAAGCAACCCTCCCACGACCAGTCCGGCAGCCTCGTTCGCGCTCACCTTCGAGGAAGTCATCTCCCACGGCTTCGAGGCTGACCAGATCCCCGTATGGCCTCACGACCAGTGGCGGAGCATCGGGCGCCTTCGCGAGGCGCAAGCAGCGGCGTTTCAAGCGCGCCACCCTGAACGCGCCGGGTCTGTGATAGGCTTCTTCCCCGTGGAGTTCGTGGTCCCCGAGCTCGGCGTGGCGGTCGTGCGCATGTACCCGATCTACCGCCTCCGACGGGCTGGGCCTGGCCGGTCGGACAGCGACAGACTGTCGACAGGCGAATTGGCGGTGCTCAACGACGTGTCCAACGTCTTCAAGATGATCCTCTCCACCGCTGGCGGTACGTCGCTCGTCGTGCGCCCCCGAAGGACCCGAGGCGAGGGCCGCCGCTCACGGCTGGTCTCATGATGCACGTGCCAAGCTGGGAGACGAAGTGGGTGTTCCATGAGCCGATAAACTTCGACTGGGACAGGTTCCCGCTGCCGGACGACAAAGACCGGTATGGGCAGAGCGGGCTTGGGACGCGGGAGCTCTTGGAGCGGTTCTGGGAGATGCTGGAGATGCCGCGATCCTGAGGTGAGCCGTCGACTTCGGACGGACTCAAGTTTCGAGGCTGATGCGAGTCTCGTCGTCGCGGGCTCCAGAGCAGCGATGGCGAACAATTAGTGGACGATGGTGTTGGAGGGCTACAAGTATTGGACTCGGAGGGAGCTCGGTAGCTAGTGGCGTCGAAGCTCACGCGCGTAAAACACCGGTTATCTTCACTGACCCGTCCGCCGCCTCGTAGACAGCTCCATCGTCAGCTTGTGTTGGACCCTTCTCCTCCTCGCGCGCATGAACAAGAACCTCACGCTCATGCGAAGGAGCACACCGGGACGCGCGGGGAATCTGGTGCGCAGTGGGCCCGCGCGTCTTGCCTGTCTACGCCTGCTCCGACTCGGTGTGGCTCGGTGTTGGTGGGGCGTGCAGCATTGACGTCATGTGCCCAAGTTTGATACTCCGCCCGAATCGCCTGCATGCGCTGGTCGCCTCGCTCGAAGGTCGCCTTCCGATTGCCCACGAAGATCTCGACTACGGCGTCGCCAGCGGTGGAAGATGCATGCGGAAGACGACGGACCAGCGGAGTTCCATCCCTTTCGTTCCGCGATCGTAGGGCCGAACCAGGCTCTCACAGTCGCTGACGTCGCGCTTCAACATCACTGTATGCACTGTGGTCTGCGCTCCCGTGCGTTGAAGGAGTGCAGCGCGTGCCTGGTGACGAAGTACTGCAGCCAAGGTTGTCAGAAAGCAGATTGGCCCGAGCACAGGTAGGCATCCAACCTGTTGCTTCCGACTGCACTCACACTGCCCACAGAGCGGTTTGCGTCCCGCAGCAGAAAAGCGCCAGCCCGCTTCAAGCGCATCTCTTGCCGCACTATCCGTGCTATGCCGCGTTCACGCCGCCATCCGCGACTGGGTCACCCTGCACGACCACGCGTTTACGCTCATGGCCAACGCCGTCGCCCACAGCACAGCGACGGTCCCGACCGCGGATCACTTTGTGCACTCCAACGCCTACCTCGGCATCAAACTCATCGACAGAGAGCAGCCCCCCACCGCGAGCCCGTCCGCCAGGTTCCGGCTGCACGCGCACACCGTGCTCTGGTTCGACCCACCCAGCCGCGCCGGCGCCGGCGCCGGCACCTCGGACGGCCCCCCGTGCCCGAAAGCGACGAGCCCCTCGGCGGAGGATCCGTTCTGGAGCGTGCGCGCCGCGCAGGGCGGCAGGCTCTTCGGCGCATGCCCCACCAACCCGAGGCCGTGCTCGGCTTCCTGCCCGTCAAGTTCTCCGTCGAGAGCCGCCACGTGCACGTCCGCGTCGTGCGCGCGTACCCGATCTACCGCCTCCGCGCCCCGCCCGCGCGCTGTCCGCGGCGGACGTGGAGTGCTCGAGGACGTGCTCTACACGATGACGATGTCTTGGCGAGCATGGCCGAGCAGCCGGCGATCGTGCGCCCGCCGCAGGACACGCGCAACGGTGCGCGGCTCGTGTGCGGCGTGTTGGTGCGGGCGGGGAAGAAGTGGGTGTACAGGGAAGTGCCGAACTTCAACTGGGTGCAGCCGGGCGGTTCGGGGCTGGAAAGGCCGTACAAGACGTCGCTCAGGATCGACGAGATGCTGGAGCGCACATGGGAGATGGTGGAGATGCCGTGAGCTTGTGGTGAGTCGTTGCCGAACATCTTGCTTTCAGAGACTGAAGTGTTGGTGGAGGACACTGGAGCAAATATTCATGGGCTTGAACGTCCTTGTATTATGTACAATCATGAAGTAGTTGTATTAGCTTGCCCGCGAAGACATGTCTGCACATGTTCTGTCGATGCGTGAGCGTCTAGTACACGGATGACGCGTCACACGGCTGACGGCGTGGCAGGCCGTTGAGTCCGAGCGCATGAAGTGCGGGGCCCTGAGACTGGCGTGCGGTCGTGGCATGCGAAGGCGAACGAAGAGGTGGCCATCATACAAAATCCGGCAAAAACAAGGGAAAGCGACGAAAACAACGATGAGCATATCCTACCAAAGCGTTACCGATACACAAAGCCCGGGTACATATACAACGGGTGCCGTATCTATCACCAACGGTGCAGACACCCTTCGTTCTGGAGCTACGAGTCCCTCCGCCCCCGCATGTCGACCTCACTTGGGTTCGTCCCACGGCAGCGGCCCGGGGTAGATCTCTGTCTGGCCCCCGTCTGGGCGGCCAGGGCACCAGTTGAGGAGCGGGCCGATCTCTGGGGTGGAGGAGTAGTACGAGTGGAAGCGCGAGAACGGGTTCCGCGACCGCCGCTTGGCGAGCAGGACGCCGTGGCAGCCGTAGAGGTCTTCCCTGTACGGCTTGTAGCCGTTTTGCAGCTGCGGCAAGCGGCGCGCGTCAGCACACGACTGCGGGAGGGCCCGTCGCTGCGTGCGCAAGCGGACTCACCTCGCCCTGCGCGGCCGTCGCCGCGTCCTCGCCGTCCGGGTCGATGCCGACGTACTCGAACCGGTCCGCGGGCCAGCGCAGCGCGGCGCGGTGGAGCTCCGCGAACCGCCGCCGCTTCATCTCGTAGCCGACGACGGTGACGCGCGCGGGCCACCGCCCGGTGTACTCGCGGAAGCGCGCGAGGGAGAAGAGCAGGTTCTGGAACGAGTCCAGCGCGTGCTCCTCCGTCGTCGCGCGCAGCACGGGCGTGTGGGGCGACGCTGCGGGCGACGACGCGGAGGGGAGCAGGGAGGAGAGGTGCGCGAGGCGGAGGTACGACTCTGCCTCCGTTGACGTCGCCGCGAGCCGTGTTTGGCCACTGGGAGGGGGCGTTGGAGAGAGGTACGGGGGGAGAGGACGGGAGACGTACCCGCTGAATACAAGGAGGGCGTGCGTGTCTGCTCGAGCAATGTCGGACCTGCGTGGCCAGCGGTCAGCTTGGGCGGATGGGACGGCGGTGGAGACGACGCACGCAGCGAGGATGTGCCGGACGAAGGCCTGCACGCGTCCGCCGCCGCGCTGGTACGGCTCCAGGATCCAGTGGTCTTCGTCCAGCCCCTCCTCCACGCTGTTCCCCGTCCACACCGCGTGTCCGGGCACGAGCACGAGATGGTCCAGGCCCTCCAGCTTCCTATCCCGCGCGACCGTCTCCCACATCGCCCATGGGGTGCGTACGGCCCGTCGTGTGCCCATGTGGCCTCGGCTGCGTCGTTGGGGAGCTTGTACCCGCGGTCGGGGGCGAAGGAAGACGACGAGGCAAAGTAGTACGAGAGGTTGAGAGGACGGAGCAGGCAGCGAAAGAGCGAGGAGGAGGACGGAGAGGTTGGTGACGCGCGCGCGAGTGCGGAGAACGTCGTGCGTTGAGCGGGAGTAGCGGTGTCCGAGGCGACCGCCCCGGGCAGTGAGCGAGGAGAGGGAGACGGGGAGAGGGAGCATCGGCGTCTTCGACGCGCCTGTGGCCTCACGATCGCTTGGCATGGCGGCGCTGCGGTCTCTGCGCGCCGGTCAAGAGCGCAGTCGAGTTGATGAGCAGCGGAAGGCCGACGTACAAAAGGCGCATTGCCATACAGCTCAACTACTACAGCAGAACGTGTGATCTACAACTTCCAATACTCTAAAGTTGCAGCATCAACTCGACCTGGTTCGTATGAATCAACAAGTCGCAGTTGAATGGGTCGTCGCATGTGAGACATGCTGCACGACGTGCGAGCCTTGGAGGACATGGGGAGTTGGCTTTGTAGGCTCATCGATATCCTCCCCGTCGAAACTAATTTCCAACATAGGTGGAAATGGGCATACTGGCAAAGAGCGTGTCAAGCTCAAGGGGGTAGGTAACTAAAAGTGCGAGGGTAGTGCAATGAGAACCGTGTCGAGTCTCAGAGTGCTGTCATCACGCACTTAATTCAGTTCATCGTCATCGAAAATCGCAGTCTTCGGTGTCCCGTCTTCCAAAACGAATCCTCGGTACATGCCGGAGCAGTTGAGGGGCATGGTGACTGGAGTGCGTCGGGGTAGGGTCAGCACATAACCCGGCTCAAACCTCAGCAGCGACTTACTGTTCCCAGTGTTGTCCATGGCGATGATACCTCCCACCCCGCCGTCTCGGCGGAGTTCTTCGACACACGCCTTGGCGGCGACATCAAGAGGTTCGTTAAGGTACTTCATGCGCCGTCCAATTGTCGCGCCCGTCGCAAGCCGGATGAAGTACTACAGCAGCACAAAAATCAGCCGTATCCTCCCAGATGCGACGCGCGAAAGACGAAGGATACTCACATCGCCGTCACCCGTGCCACTCACACCCATGGCCACGGTGCTTCCCCGCCCCGCATGCGGCGCCAGATCTTCCGTGCCCACCCGTCGACCTCCCACTCCTCCACCCAGAACCCGCACCCCATGCTCGGCGTGTCGCCCACGCGCCCGACGAGCTTGTTCGTCCGCCCGCCCGTCGACGTCACCGCCGCGATGCATCCGCGCACGTCCAGCGCGACCGCGCCGACCGTGCCCTTCGGGTTCGGCAAAAGCGCGTCCGGGACTTGCTTGTTCGCGTTCTCCTCGAGCGGCAGGTCGGCGTCCCAGGCGAAGTCATGCGTCTCGGCGTGAGGAAGAGGCTCCTCGGGAAGCCCCAGTCCGCGCCGGTGCTCGCGCCAGCGGTTCTCGGTGAAGTAGTAGGAGGGGTCGACGAGTTTGATGCCGAGCGGCTTGCCGAGGTCCTCGCGGCTCCCCGGAGAGCATGGTGTGCGGGGCGGAGTCGGGCGAGAGGTAGAGCGCACGCGCGAGCTGCGAGGGGTTGCGAGTGCGCGTGAGGAGGGTGAGACCGAACCCGCGGCGTTCCGGCGGGATGTGAGGGTGGCTCGCAGGAGGCTTGGACAGCATGAGGGATGCTTCAAGCTCGTTCTGGAGCAGTGTTTGTGGGGATTGAATATGCGCAAATGGAGGGAGCTTACCTTTCCGCCCACGTTGAAGACGGCGCCCTTGCCGGCGTTGAAAAGCGGGCAGTCTGCAGTGGAAGGTGCGTCCAGGGCGCATATAGCCAGTAAGAAAGGGAGCAGACGCACCTTCCATGGATGACACTGCAGCAACGGCCGCGTCCATGGCCTCCCCTCCTGCGCTCAGAACGGCGTACCCGGCGAGCAGCGCGTGTCGCAACGCAGCCTTGTACTGTTTGCGCAATTCCGGGGTGGCGCGAGACTTGTCCATCGTCCCTGCGCCGCCATGAATGACCAGCCTGAACTTGGCGTCTGTGGGGGCGGGAGAAGGGGCAAGCTTCTCACTGCTGGTGGGCATGATGGTGGCAAGAAGGTGAAGGAGCGAGGGCGAGCTGAAAAGTGGGAATAAGCCTCACGGATGATTGTGTAGCCCTTATCGGCGGATGCTCCTTCTTCCCCATATGCCGACGACTATTCTCAGTGTCGAACTTTAGTGGCCTCCTGGGTCTCTGGGTTTTTCATCATAGTATTCCTTCAAGGCAGAGAAGGAGGATAGCAGGGGATGTGCATGGTAGAGCCAGAAAAAGTGTCAGAAGGAATGCGCGCTAGTAGCACCTTCGGTGAATCGGCCACCTTCGCCGAGGCCCGACGTTCTGCCGAGGATGTCTAAACAGGGAAAACGCCTGGCGCCCAGTGCCTGCTGCGTTTCTACACGTAGAAGCGCCCAATGACTTGAAAGTTGAACTTGCCTTCGCTCTTTGCACTTCGCGGTATGTCAGTGGCAAGACAGGTCTACCCTCGGTTCTGAGGGCTTCAACCGCAGCATACGCATTTCATCAGCATCCTCACACGTTTTCCTTGAAGCTTGCCTCACAATCCGAACTTCGGTCAGTCCAGTCCGAGAAACTCTGATGTTCAAGTTGAAACCAACTCATCTCTCTTCAGTCACTCCTTTCAATACCTCAACCGCAAGCATTGCATATTGAACTGGTATAGAAGGTGCAAGGGCATTTCGCAGGATCTGCCAGCTCACCGCTTCTGCGGCCTTAGAAACCCGCCGCGCTACCCTGCAGGCTTTATATCCCACCCTCGCCAGTCTTTCGCTGTCCACAATGCCGCTCTTCCGCCATCGCAAGCGCTCCGCGCCGGGAAACCCACCGGACCTCCCAGCGAAGCAACTTCCGCCACCGCCGTCTTTTCCTCCCGACGTCAGGCCACGCACATCTGCGGTGTCCACCCTCGGTCGTCCTCGCACAAACGATGCCGAAACGAGACGGGAGATCGCCAGCGCGTTCCGCGCCGTCAACGATACCAGTCGCGGCCCTCTCCCTGGCCCGCAAAACGAGATGCTGCTGAGCATCCAGAACAAAGCTGGTACGCGAGTGCTCTCAAAATAGCTGGAGGCGGTGCTGACGCGAACGCGCAGTCACCGGACTTGGGATGCTGTCGACCTCGATGTCCACGGCCGCTTACAATACCACCACTACTGGTGCCCACAATACTACTGTGTCTACGCCGGCAGCGGGGAAGAGCGTGGTCACAGCGAGGCTCGCAGACGATGACCAGCTCCAGAATGTCCGCGACGGGATCAGCAAGCTCAGCGAGTCCCTACCAACGATCGTGAAGGCGCTCGAAGACGTGTCCAAGATCCATCCGTTCATTGCCGGTGCGGCGTGTAGACCCGGCACGGTTCACCAACAGTGCTGACTGCGTCTCATCACAGTGGCCGTTATGCGTTCAAGGTCGTCATCGAGCTGAACCTCAAGCGCGCAGACAACGACCGCAAGATCGGTGTCCTTTTCGGCCAGATGCGCGACACGATGGAGGCCCTTCTCCAGTCAGGACTCCTCTTTCACGTTCCTTTGGCGCGCCCACTCACTTCATCGTAGACTGCGCACGATCAGGGACGAAGACTCCAAAGGCCCTGGCGGCGTCACGATCAAAGCCCGCCTCCAGAACCTCGTCATCCAGACCGCAACGGACATCAAAGCCTGCGCCAACGTCTGCGACACCTACCTCAAGACCCGCTCCGTCGTCAAGGTCATCATGTCCGGCTCCTGGGACGACACGCTGCGCGGGCACATCGACCTCTTCATCGAGCGCCGGCGCGAGTTCATGTTCGCGCTCGCGATGCACACCGGCAAGGGCGTCGACCGCGCGAACCGCAAGCTCGACGTGCTCGAGGCGAAGCTCGACGCCGTGCTCGAGTACTTCCAGAAGGCGACCACCCCGGAACAGCTGGAGCTGGCGGCGATCGTCGCGAAGCGCGGGGGGCCGGAGAAGGTCATGCAGGACGACGCGATCCTGCAGGAGCTCCTGTACTACAACGTGGGGCCGGACAGCGATGCGGCGAAGGGCGCCGGGCGGGACGGCGAAACAGAGGCGGAGGAGCTGGCGCTCGTCAAACGCGAGCTCACAGAGGGCCCGGAGGCGGCGATCCGAAGAACTTTGAGGTGTTCGATCGCAAGTTCCGCATCCAGCAGCGCGAACTGATGGAGGAGGTGCGGCGCGCGGTGCACCACGAAGGAGACCGGGTGATCGCGGCTATGAATGCGGGGGCGCACGACCGCATCTTTGACCCGGTGAGCTGCGACGATATTTCTGAGTGGGCTGCGCGTGTTGACAGTCTGCGCAGGAAATTCATGCTATCTGGAAGGAAATGGTAAGTACCATTCGGAACAACCGTATGGGTTACTGAAAGATCTGTTGCAGAGTTGGCCCGGACATGTCAAGTCGCGACATTTTGTTCTCGCGCTGCGCGACTACTACCGCCAGATCATCATGGACAAGAAGCGCAGAGCACGCACCGAGCTAGTAAGCGCGCATGTTCCACGCACCCAAACCTGATATGAACATCTTTGCAGACATGGATACCCAAGGGCGCGAGTCGCCAGTTTGTTACCGCCCTTCGCGATCGGTACCGTGCCCAGGTCGAGCACCGCATGAAGCGCCAGCAGGGCGACGACCCCGCCCGGGTGAGCGACCAAGATGAGTGGGCACTCGAGTGGATCAACATGAACCGGCTGCAAGCGATCGCAGAGGCGTTCGACGACGACGCGAGCGGCTTCGTGACCATAGCAGAGGTCAACACTTTCACGTCTTCGAGGCCGAAAGAGTGGAGGTATGTGATCGTGGGGATTGAGAGACGGACCGTTACTCACGCGCACGTCAGTCTTCCGCATTGGCTCGCGTACTGGGCGATTGGCTGGCAGATCGCGTCGACGCGCTACCGCGACGAGGTCGTCGAGATGGGCTCGAAGATGTTCGCCATCCGCTCACAGATACACCCCGCGAACCGCTCGGCGGTCGACAAGTACTTGCGATTGGTTTGGAAGCGTGTTTGCACGCTTACCTCGTCCCTCGCGACGACGTACCAGTCCGAGGCACTAGACGAGCGGTTCAAGTCTTACGTCGACGGGGAAGAGCAGCGGCTCCGGGAGGGTCTGGAGACTGCCAAGTACAAAATCGACGAGGTTGAAACACTTGCACTTATCACAGGTCCTGGAAGGATCGAGCAGGTATGGCAGCCTTGCACGCAGTATATGCTCATGACTGACATCGCATCCCAGTTCATCATGCCTCTTCTGTACCTTCTCATGCGACGGGACTTTGAGATATTCCGCATCGCTCGCAACACTCTCATCGACGAAAAGGAGCTCGAAGATTCCGCGATCAGCATGCTCTCTCTGTTTGATGCCGTGGACGAGCGGCATGATGATCTCTCAGGTAGGTTGACCTTTGGAGTGTGGGTTTCGCTCGTGCTTACAAGGTCCGTAGCACTCTTTGTCCAGCAACGACTGGATCCCGGAAATCAATTCAAGACGTATTCGTGCGAACTGGTAAAGCTTTCTCCTGGTTTATCTGCCGGGCACGCTCACTGATCGTCCCGCAGTTCGATTACTGGCATGACAGCTCTAAGTTCTGGTCTCTAGAGAACCTTCGCAAACTTCGGTTCACCGAGCGGCCGTATGACGAAGAGGAGGAGAAGCACACAGTCGCTGTCAGCGAACCGCTGAACTACCCCATAGCCACCGATGGTTTGTACGCCGTCGTTGAGGATGACATCATGCCAACTCCAGACGATGTGCTCAACAGGGTGTAAGGCTCCATTCTCGTCATCCATGGTATCGGCTCACATGCTTTCCAGCCTCGGTCGCTGGAATGGGTTCATTGGCGAACGTCGATGGCCGACATGCCCAATCCTCACCCTCGTCTTCAAGCCGTCCGGAAGCGTCGAAAGCCCGAGCTTCGAGGCTTCCGGCACCGATGCGCAAGGACAGGCGTACACGGTCGTCGGCGCGTATGAGATCGAGGAGGTCGAGGGGGCGACTTTCGTGCGCTACTCATTCACGCAGACGTACCCGGCAACGGACGACCACGACGAGAGGCTTCTCTACTTCCGCGGGCGGCTCGACGAGGACGCGGTGACGTTCGGGGCACTTGGGGAACGAGCGCCGAAGACCGACCGTGGCCCTTTTACCTTTCGCGCGTGGCCCCAGAGATCCTCCTCGCGCGGCCGTCTCTCAACTCCTACAAGGCGAACCGTACGCGTGCGCTCTGGCGGTACGCGCTCATGGCGTCGCTCGACGAGGCACGCAGACGACTCTTCTCGTGGTCGTACATCAGGCAGCGGCGCCATGCGAGGCTCGAGTACCTCGACATCTTGCGACACCAGGCGGACGGCTCGACGTCGGACGCAGACAAGCGGGCGCTCTCTGCGCTGTACCGCCGGCTGACGCCTGACGACATCCGGGCCTGCTTTGCGCGCGAGCAGCTGCGCCAAACGCCGTCCAATCCGCTCATCGGGTGCGTCTAGTTGCCGGCTTCGCCCTCCAGCCTCTGACCAGCCCGTCTAGGGAGTTCCCGTGCGACGTCTGCAACGAGGAGATCATCGGCGCCTGGCTCGTCTGCCTCTCCTGCGGCGCCCGCACCACCATCAACCTGCACGACGCGCCCTCCTGCGCCGGCGCCGTCGTCCTCCCGAAGCACCGCGACGACCTCAAGACGCCCCACGTGCCGACGCACGACCTCGTCAAGATCCGCGCGAACCTGCACTACCACCGCGAGATCGGGCGCGTGCTCCGCGCGGCGGCGGCCGGGCTCGAGTACGCGCGCGGGCTGCTCTTCGGTGGCACGGGCGCGGGCAAGGGCGCGCGCGCGAGCCGCAGCGACACGCTCGAGAGCGCGGTGCTCCGCCGGCGCGCGACGGGGAAGCGCAAGTCGCGGTTCGACGGGGACTTTGGCGACGGCCTGCTCGAGGAGCGCAAGGCGGCGACGCCGACGTGTGTGTCGTGTCACGCGCCGGCGGCGGTGCCGTGCTGGTTCTGTGTTGACTGTCCTGGTGCGTTGGCCGCTTTTTGCAGCGAGGAGAGGGGCGCTGACTTGGGAGCAGTGGAGTCGAACGTGTTCGTGTGCGGGGAGTGCGACGAGAACAAGGGCGGGTGCGACGTGGACGAGCACCTCGCGACGCATACCCTGGTGCGCTGCACGGAATCGCTCGGAGATGCGGGTGAGGCGAAGACGGCGGAGGAACGGCTGACGTCGGTAGAGGGCCAGCTCATTGCGCTGACCGTGCAGATGGACAGGATCGAAAAGGTGCTGATGACGCTTGCTGGCACGCGCTCGACTTGATGCGCGTGCATGATACCAAGGATTGGGATACCTGCGGACTGGTGATACTCATCGAAGTCGTTCGACATCTATCTTTGTGCATCCGGGCTTTCACTCTATACCCCAATGAAGACGTATTCACATGTTTTAAACTTCGTAGTGAAGCTCGAACCCAATGGATTAGTAATTTCGTCCTGCCGAGCAGCAGTTACCCCTGGGCCTGCTGTACTGAGAGGCAAACAGCTCGGTGAGACTGATGAACTGAATTCTCCAGTTTCCAGCATCAGCGAACTTTGTAATAGGTGAGAGTCAGCCTCCGGGATTTCAGCTGCTTACTGCAGCCGCAGACGAGGGGATGCGAGTTCCGAGTCTGCCACCGCTATGCTGCGCACCACACACGCTACCGTGGCCACGAGGGGTCTGGGCCCGCTTCTGCGTCGAGCCTTCACGGAGACGGCAGTGGGTCCGTGAGTGCATCGTGGGGCATAGTAGTGACTGGCTAAACTTAAACATAAGTGACTCGACAATACAAGTCATATGTGGAGCTGGGCACGTGCGTGTCTTCCTGCGCGCACACGGCACGATGCCGAGGGGGCCGCGCGTTGATGACGTCGACGAGGTCGGCGAGGTGAAGATATCCGTTTGTTTGCCCGCGTTGGTGCCGGGAACTCTATCAGCCAGGCTCCTACCCAGCCGTCTGTTCGAGTTGAGTGTGCCGGCGCAGAGTGCGTCCCGCGCCTGGCGGCGCGGCAAGCCCTGTGGGCCTGCGAGAGGAATACTAGTCCATAGAATGCAGCTATACAAAAGAATAGAACAGAAATAGAACACTGGGCCAGGCGGGTCTACGCCACAAGGTCACGGGAACACACTCAACGCCGGACACACTCAACTCTCACAGACGGCTGGCTTCAAACATTGGTAAACAACGGAGCCCCGGCGCCGAAGCGCCCGCAACGACCAGAACGGGATCCTCGGGAGGTTCCGAAGGCAGAAATGGCTGGGAATGCAGCCGAATTCTTCATGTATGTGCGACGCGTCCGACGACGGTCGGTTCACCGAGTGCGAACAGCTACGCGTCGCGTACGCGCAGCTAGTGCACGCCCCCAGTGCTCCCCACGGCCGCAGGCACGCGCTGGAGCCTGGCAGCCCACGAGCCGGCTGCGCTTCCAGCGAAGCATATGAGGGTCCGTGGGCAGCGGGCGAACAAGGCAGTAGAGCGAGACAGACCTGGATCCACTGAGCTCTCCGCGGCCTCTTCAACGGCCCCTACATCCTCCAGAAACACCATTTCCTCCACGCTAGACCACGAGGATCGCTACTGCAAAGAGCGCGAGATCGCGCACGCTGTGCTCAAACCACTGTGTTGAGATCGCACGTTGCGCGGAACTGGATGGCATGGCTGTAGGCAAGAATGTACGAATTCACTCAATGTATGCGCCCTTGCACGACGAGCACGACACGACGGGCCGCGTGAGTGCGCAATGCCTGTCATTAAATGAGAGACGTCCCGAGGATTTTTCGTGCTCGGCCTGGCACTCCCGAGGATCCCGTTCTGGTCGTTGCGGGCGCTTCGGCGCCGGGGCTCCGTTGTTTACCAATGTTTGAAGCCAGCCGTCTGTGAGAGTTGAGTGTGCCCGGTGCTGAGTGTGTTCCCGTGACCTGGTGGCGTGGGCCCGCCTGGCCCGGCCCCACCTGGCATTCTATTCCTTCTATTGGTACTCTACATTCCACATACCATGATTGCTTTCAGGCCCGTAGGGCCTGCCGCGCCGCCGGGCGCGGGGCACGCTCTGCGCCGGCACACTCAACTCGAACAGACGGCTGGGTAGGAGCCTGTCTATCAGCGTTCGAGTCATGTCTTTCCAGCGCAGGAAGACGCTCGTGCTTACCGTGTGGTTTAGTGGTTCTTTCCCAGCCCCCGGCGTATAAAACCAGAGTCTCGACGCCTTCTCCTCCAACAACTGCTCTTCGCTTCACCGTCCCATCCACAACACGGCCGCACTCTTCCACCACCAAGCCGACGACATGTCTGCCCACAGCAAAATTGTCTTTTACACCAACGTGGTGAGCTTTGTCAATCATCTGGAGTCGTACGCAGGAATACTGACCGTGGACGATTCCAGCACTCCCAGTACGCGCAGCGCATCCAGCTGGCGCTCGACACCGCCAAGTCCGAGTGCCAGAGACACGAGATGCCCCCTTCCCCCCGATGCCCGACTGGTTCGTTACTCTGCACCCTGGGGGAACCGTGAGTGACCATCGCTGGCGGTTGGGACGACGCTCACCTCGCCGCTCAGGTCCCCTCCGTCTCGTACGAAGGCGTCCTCTTCAACAAGAGCTTCGCCATCCTCGAGCTCATCTCCGAGCTCTACCCCGACTCCAGCATCCAGCCAAAGTCCCTCCTCGAGCGCACCCGCGTCCGAGAGTTCTCGGAGCACTTCGAAAAGTACGTCTCCAAGCCCTGGCGCCTCGTCTTCCGCCGTGGCGAGCCGCCCTCCGTTCTCCTCGACACCTTCGTCGGCCTCCAGGCTCAGCTCCCGCCCATCCCCGTCGGCACCAAGCAGGGCGAGCCTGTGTTCGTCACCGCCGAGTGGTCGATGGCGGAGATGGTGACGGGCCCGTTCTTGGTTCGTGCGTGGCTGTTCTTCGCGCACGACATCGGCAAGTACGAGGCCGGGGCGGGGCCCGCGGCGTTCAAGGAGCTCAATGAAGGCCCCAAGTTCGCGCGCCTGAGGCGCTACGTGGAGGACATCAAGGCGCACCCTGTGTGGAAGGCGACCTGGGACGAAGTGAGTACGCATGCCGGGGTTGAGGGTCGGAGACTGACGGGCGATAAATGTCCTTTTTCAGGAAGACCAGCTGAAGGTGTGGGGCAGCTGGGAGGGCGTTCTTCGCAGTAGCCACTAGAAGGTTGAGAAATGAAGCCTGGAAATCGGAGACTGATGTCGTTCAGGGACGATGATTCGTTGTGTACTATACCGCTAGTCGGGCGAAGGAAATTGATACTAGTACCCTGTCCAGTGACTCTGTGTCTGCCGCATGCAGCACATAAGTGGTGCGCGAAGGGCTGCTTGACAACACAAGTTGCAGTCTGAAGAGACCTGCGAGCAAGTAAGTAGCACATACTCGTAGGGCGCGGGAATCCGCGGGCCGGAACCTCCCGATGCTCACTGCATCGCTTCCAGTTTCGACAACAATTTGCTCTCCAATGACCACTTTTCTTGACGCTCCCAACGACCGCGTTCTGCACAGCACTTGGCATTGCCCCAAGTATGGGCCTCAGCAAAGTGCCCGCTCAGCAACACCATCGGTCTGTTCACCCATTCACGACGTTCTCACAAAAGCTCAGCTGCTTTCCCCTACGATCCACGGCCGCAAATAAGAAGGACGCGGAGGCATTTGAGCTCTCGAACCTCGGCGTATTCCCGGGGTGCGATGACGCGCACGCACGAGGGAGACGCCAGGGCCGGAGGCTAGCGCATCGCCGGTTGCGCAGGCGGATGTGACGTTGGGGATGAGCGTATGAGGCGATTGAGGGGAAACTGAGGAGAGATGTGTGGGCGTGCTCAGCGTGTGTGTGGCTGTCGTGCTTACAGCCCTGTACATGTATACAAGTATACGGGGATCCGGCCTTCGAGGGCAGCAGAACGACAACTCGGACAGCACGTCACGGAACCGTCAAACTAGCTGTCACAACCCTGACTTTTCAGGTTGTGTTTGTTTGGAACAAACATCAGAATCGCACGCGCGATTCATACTAAGTATGCAAAGGGCTGTAGAACAGGTTGTTGGGGTGATCCGCATGTGCACCGGGAGTTTGCTTCACAGCGCACGTTTGCCGTGGCTTCGATACGGGATTATGTCAAAAGAAGACGATCGGGATGTGGAGCGCGAGGGGAAACATGTGTTGTGCAACGTTGTGGTGTGATGGCCAGTCGCCGTTCGAACTTAGTGTCAATTTGGATCTCCGCAGTAGATAGTGAAACTCCGATACCGGGAGCTTCTATCTGATCATCTTCGGGCAGTTGTGCTCCGGTCTCACTTCTGCCCTCGCTCACCACACGGCTCTATCAAGGATGCTTGGACTCACCTGACGCTGCAAGTGCATCCTGGTTCAGGCTGTATACTTGTGCAATGTGGCATCGGCAGGTGTCTCGACAGAGCATTCTATATCGGCCTTCTGCAAGTGAGCTGACGACGCTCGTGACTTGCAGAGCTTCCTGATTCCTGAAGGCCTGATGCTCCGGGCCCGGGCGGGTTGCTTCTGTCTTCTCAGACCAGTGCTATCAGCCTCGTCCACCCGCCGCAACTCAAGAAGAATGATGGCACACACGTGTATAATCCGCCTTCAACTCTCTCACAGCTGGTGCAGTGCATATAACCCGCGAGCCAGCCCCCGTCTCCCCGTCCCTCCTCTGCCACCCTCCCGACGGCACCTGCCATGGACAAGTCGAAGGACGGGACAACCGTCACCACCGAAGACTCTGGGAACGCTACAGACGGGACCAATACCCCGCCCGCACCGGCCAAGGGATCCAGCGAGGGAAGGTGGCAAACATGGTTGAACATCTTGGCCGGGTGTGTGGTCTTTATGCATTCGTGTCTTTCGAACGCTGAAATTCTTCTAGGTTTTTGTTTCAGATGTGTTGTTTCGGGTCAGTCCACCTCGTTTCTGCTCGGTCTGACATGCTGGCTGACTGTGCTCAACTCCGCAGATACACCGCCTCCTTCGGGGTTTATCAGGGTACGTAACTTGGGTTGGGTATTTCCGTTTCTGTCTGAAGAGTCGCGGGACAGACTATTATACACGTGTGTACCTCAAGGACTCTTCATCCTCCGTCATCTCGTATGCCTCCCTTTGTCGTCCCCCGTGTCCCTCGTCCTGACTAGCGTCACATTTGTGCGGCAGGTGGATAGGAAGCATCAATGCGTTCATCGTCATCTCTTCCGGTATCCTCACCGGGCCACTCTACGACCGCGGATACTTGTGCGCACTCATTCGGGCCCAGCTCCATCGCCGCATGCTGACTGGTCTCCACGCAGCTACCATCTGGTATACGCCGGCTCTTTCCTCACCGCCGTCTCCCTATTCTTGCTATCTCTAGCGCACGAGGGTAGTTTCTATCAGGTATGCAGTTGCATAGCAGATTGCCTCGTGCCGAGAATGTTGACGCCCTTGACAGATACTCCTCGCGCAAGGCATCGGTGCCGGCCTCGGAGGCGGGCTGCTCTACGTTCCCTCCATGTCTGCTGTATCTGCTCGCTTTGGGCCCTCTGCGGGTCGCGCCCGTGCAACCGCACTCACCATCGTCGCCGCGGGATCCTCGGTGGGCGCGGTCGTCCACCCGGTCATGCTCAACCGCACGCTCGACAAGTGGGGATTCGAGGCCGCCGCCCGGGCCAACGCCGCGCTCATCACCGGCATCGTTCTTCTCGGGTGCCTCGTCGTGCGAGACAAGACGCATGAAAAGCGCGGCAACCCAAGCTCAGACGAAAGCCTCTGGCGGAAGGCGGCCAAGTTTATGCGGGACGGACCCTATGTGTGGACGACGGCAGGGTGAGTGCATGCGCTTTGATGCCGTCTAGTGCACCTTCGCTGATCATCGAGGCGCGCAGGATGACGGTTTTCATCATCGCGTACTATTATCCCCTCTTCTACCTCCAGCTCGACGCGCTCCTGCACGGTCGCAGCGCCTCGTTCTCTTTCAACGTGGTACGTATCTGCCACTTTGGCACATGTGCGAGGGCGCTCACGTCGGACAACAGCTCGTTATTTTGAATGTCCCTCCATCCTCGGTCGCATCGCACCGGGATTCGTAGTGGGCCGATTCGGCGTGACACATATGACTACTTTCGCCACGTTCGCGTGTTCGGTCGTGATCTTCGGAATGATCGGGTTGGGGAGCGCCACAAGCATCATCGTCATCGCGATCCTCTTTGGCTCTTTGGCGGTAGCTGTGAGTGACACTCCGGTTTGGCGCATGCTACACGACGACTCAAACGAGCTTTGGCAGACATCTCTCTCATCGCGCCGCAAATCGTGGAGCTGACGGACAACCCTGCTGAGATCGGGTGCGTGCACTCCAGCTCGCATAGAAGAAAGTCGCTATGTTAGGATACTTGCCTCTCGCAGAGCACGCCTCGGCATCGCGTTGTTCTTCTGTGGTGCGCGATCCTCGTTCTTGTGACTATGGCAGGCTACTGAGACTTATATATGCAGGGCTTGGCACGCTCGTCGGCACCCCATCGACGGGCGCTCCTCACACGCGACTTCATCTGGTGGCGGCCCGCGGTTTGGAGCGGGGTGAGTTCCGAACTCGTTCGTGATGGTCGAAGCCCCTGACGGCTTGCGGATTCTAGTGCGTCGGGCTTGTCGGCACGGCGTGCTATGCGAGCGCTACAACCTTATTCAGTCGTTGCCGAAGAAGACGGCTTCAAGCCGGTCGGGCTGATGTCGAGAAGGACTCCGTGGGTGCGCCGTCGGAAGTGTCGGTGGAGGTGAATGAGCTCCCGAAGTAGACTGCCAGCTCGTCAAGGATTGTATAGATTAGATTGTATCTATTAGCACCTTAAGATGTCTGTATTCGTGCGCCATATCGTGTGTCTTCCGAAACATGCCATGATGGTCTATACTCGCGATGTACCCTTGAAAGATCCTGTACCGGGTACACCGTAACTACAACAGACAGCCGAAAAATGTGCGACTACAGTCCATGTGATTTGAGCTGTGCGCAGGACCCACCTCAAGGCCGCGGCATCTCCAGCATGTCCCAGAGACGCACCAAAAGGTCGTCCGCCGCGAACCCACTCCGATGCGCCGACGCGTCGGGCGCCCGCCCCTGCTCCCATCGGGAGCCCTCAATCTCAGAGTACTCCCACTTCCTCCCTCCAGCAAGAGTGACAGTCTAATGAGCGTACTTGTGGAAAGGCTAATCTCTTCTCTGGCATGTTTGGTCACAGTACTGTGTAACCAAGCACGCGCTGCATTCTTTGAGGACACGAGTGTGAACCACAGTGCATACACCGGTACCTGTCGAAGAGCAACCTCGGCCATTGCCATAATACTATTAATGGCTCGCTCCCAGAGTTGCGGAAAGGTATGGGTATGCTGTTGTAGCTCTAGGGGCTTCCAATAAATTCGCGCAGCAGGAGAGATGGACGAACAACGGCATGGGCCTGCTTTCTAGTCCAAACCGAGCTCGCATTAGCCCATGAACGGTTAGTGGTTCGAACGTGCTCACCGACCTCTAAGCTCATTGCGCTGCACTCATCTCGCGCTCGATCGCCCACTGTACCGCACTTGCAACGTTCGTGGCGATGTGCGTCGGCACATGAGCGGGTGGACCCTCCGCGGGGTCGTAGACGCCGGTCTCAACGAGCACGGACTCCCACCCTGCGCCGTTCGCGCCCGCGATATCTGGAGCTGTGTCAGCGCGTTACGACATATCGAAGGAGAGGGAGGACACAAACCGGACTCGGGGTTGTCGCCGACCATGTACACGCGCGGGAGCTGCTCCTGTGCGAGCGCTCGTCCGCCCTGCAGCGCGGCGAGGCGGTCGTAGAGAACGCGGGTGGCGAACGCGTACGTCGCGCGCGTCGGTTTGCCGTACTGGACGACGTGAGGGTACTTGGCGCCCGTGACGGCGGTGTGCACGGCCTGGAAAGCGTCGCGGAAAGCGCCCTGACCGAGGCGAGGAACCGGGAACTCGTTCTTCCAGAGCAGGTCCGGGTTGCAGAACACCATGTCGATCGCGGGTGGCGAAGCACCACGGAGGAGGTGGGTATTTCCGATCAAGCCGTGCGAGAGAAGGACGTCGAGGGATATCTGAATGTCGAGGGACCAGTTGCGCGGGTCGTGGAAGACGAAAATGGCAGAGAGCGGGGTTGTGGAGAAGTCGACGGACTGGTAGGAGACATGGTTGTCAGAGAAGTCTGATAAGATCAAGGAGAAGGGGCTTACTTGAGTTGAGGCGCGCTCTTCGGGCGTGAGTTCGTGGAATGGCCATGCTCTGGGTTGCAGGATGAGCAGGACGATGTGAGGCAAAACGCGGATACGATACGTACTCGGGTTTCCAAGCAAGAACATCGAGGGTAGTATACGCGTGCTTGAAGCCATAGCTTTCCGCAACCTTGCGTACGACGTCGGTCCGGCCTCCGAGGACAAGGACGGGTTTGTCCGCGTACTTGTGGGCGATGGACTTGAGCATGGTATGCGCTTGTACTATCTGGTCGACGTCCAGCTGTCGCCAAAACATTTGAATGAGCGGTTTTATGGACTGAAAAGACGCCAACACTGACGTCAACTCCGAGCTGTTTACTGAGCTTCAATCGGCGGGCCTCTTCGCCGACTCCTCCGCCGTTAGTGAGCTTTGAAGTGCGCGTATGAACAAATGAGTGGACGAGCAACGATGTTTTTGAGACCTCACAAGAATGTATGGTATTTTTCTGCAATTAAATTAGTGTTTCTGAGGTTCGATGGTGTGGGTGAGGCAGATGGAACGTACACGCCCATGGGGTTGTTTCCGTTGAGCATGTCGAAAGCTTTCCTGGCCGCTGGTATAATTTGTGCGCCTCTGATAAGAACGCCATCCTGAGAGACGTGAGTGGAAAGGAGGAATGGGTGGCAATGTTGTGAGCACGAACTATGTCAAAGGTGAAAACGAGCGGTGGTAGGGGGGCCGGCGAAGATCGGTCTGTCAGTCTTTGCGGGTGAGTAATAGACCTTTCTGAAAGGGAAAAGGCGGGTAACGTACGCTGAAGGAGTCTCCGGCAGTTCCTCGATGTCCTCTGAACGCACGGCGGGGGCCGGGGGATGGCGCGGAGGCCATGTCGTGCTGACAACATCGGGCCGGTCGTGGCACAGATCCAGGAGAGCAAGCGCTGGCCTCGAGGCGACGTGGCGGAAGCGCCCATGCAGCATACGTCACGCGTGCGGGGAACCGCGGCAGCGGCCGGCTTGTGATTCACCCCCCTCGTCGCCCTCTGCTCGTCTGCCTTGCTTTTCTCCCTCCATGACCTCCACACCCACACCCACACCCACACCCTCCCTCTCTTCTTGCCTGCCTGTATATTAGCCAGCGTTGCTCAACCAGATGTCAAAGGCAACAAACGACGAGTTGCCGCACTCCGCCCCACTCGTCGAATTCCTCAACACACTCCCGTCGCCCCTCACAACCACACTCGCCGGCCTCTCTCCGGCCATTGCTAGGACGCGCCATTTGCTGCAGATACTCACTTGGAGGGCATCATGGCAGAATTGCTGGCTCGCGCTTGCGCTTTGGTGGGCTGTATGTCTGATTCCTGAAATAGCCGTCAGGTACGTCATCCTCGTCGTCCCCGAAAGCGCATACACCGACTTTATCCGTGTCGACGCGTACAGATATGTCCTACCACTCTTCGTACTCTTTCTCTTCATCCGCGCGCGACTCTACCCCGCCCCTCTTTCCGCCACGCCGCCCGTGACAGAAGACACTATCCAACGCGCAATCGCCGACCTCACCACCATCCATGCCCTCCTCCCGTCTCTACCCTCGCTGCGACCCACCTCCGCTTTCCTCTCCCCACAGGCCATCCCTTCACCCCCTGTTCTTATACGTGTCCTCGCGCTGCTTCTTGTACCCTATCTCCTCCTTACTCACCTGATCCACCTCCGTGTTCTCCTCGCTCTGGCGGGAACCGTCGTCTTCACCTGGCGCGCTCGCTGGGCCGCTCTCGTCCGCACAGCACTAACTCGCAGCGCTCACCTCCGCTGGCTCACCTACCGCATTCTCGCCCGCCTCACCGGGTTTCCACTGCCCCTCGCCACCCGTGGCCGCTCTCCCCAGTCACAAGCCGACGCGCGTATTGCGTCTGCCACTTCCTCTTCAAAGCTCCTCGGCAAGACCACCACTTCCGATCCCGCACAGGATTTCGACGGCGGTCTTCTGCCCGAAACCTCTGTCCGCTTCCTCTTCACCCTCTACGAAAACCAGCGCTGGTGGATGGGCCTCGACTGGACTGCCGCGCTCCTCCCTGGCGAACGGCCCTCTTGGTGTTCCTCCTCACAGCAACCTGCTGCCCCACCCTCAGCATTCTCCTTGCCGGCTGCGACGACGGTTTACACCCCGACTCCAGACGGCAACCCGAACAAGCGCGTGAAGCGCACGGCACGCTGGCGGTGGGAAGAACCGGAATGGCGCGTCGTCGTACGCAAGGAGGGCGCGAGTGGGAGCGTCCGGGTCGAACGACCCGTCCCGAGTGCGAAAGAGGAGAGTGTGGCGGCGGTGGGCGCGAGCCGGATCTTGAAGGCGGCGGGGAAGATGCGCGGGGGCAGTCTCGACGCGTCGGCGGCGGTGGCGGCGGGACAGGGCGCTAAGAAAGAGGAGAAGGAAGGGAGCAAGGAGCGCGAGTCAGACGAGCACCGGACGGACGACGACCACGAGGGTGATCACACGCATGGCGCGGACGGGGCGGACGAGAAGGAGGACGAGGACGAGCCATGCACGGACGCGGACGGGTGGATGTATGCGGACAACAAGTGGGAGTACACGAGTAGCAAAGGCGGGATGGGCAAGGTGCGTCACTCCCGTTTATTGCTCCTGCGTTTGTTGGTCCTTACGCGAGTGTATGTGGTCAGTACACAAGGTACCGGCGGTGGACGCGCGTCGCTGTCCTTACGGAGAGCATCGAGATCGTCGGTCCTGGCGAATTAGGTGTGCAACGCGACGAGCCTTTTTCGCCCTCTTCGAGCGTCAGCAGCAACGACAGCCTCCCCCTCGTACCGAAACCAGTATCCCCAGTCCTCTCAACGCTCCCACTCTCTCCACGGGGCGTCATCGAGAACGGGAACGCGCCCGAAGGGGGGTCTTTATCCGGACACGCACGAACAGATTCCGGGTCGGAAAATACGTCGAAATTGGCACAGAGGCTAAAGGCGGCGGTTAAGGGTGCGGCGGGAAACGGGTAGGAGGCTGTAGTGTGTCAACTCCGTTGGTATGTTCCTGTAAAACTATCCCTTCTGGTTCGCCTCCAACGCTATCCTCCGCCTCTTGCTTCGAAACCAAGCCACAATATCCGTTGGTGCCGGGCTGAGATCACTGTGATGCGAAGCATTTAACTCGCACAACAGCGTCTATCTACTCTTGCATTATCCGCCCTTTTTAGGAGCCGGTTCTCCTGTCTGCATATTCAGGACATGCGAATGATGATGCAACGGCCGCGACCGCCCATGCTCCTATCTCGAGAGGGACAAGTAGGTGCGTTCACTCCTCGTTTTCGTCCGCGACCATCGCTCAACAATACCCCCTCCACTCCTTGCAGATCCACAACCATGCGGGGGTGGCACTCTCTTGATGGTGAAGTGCTTCAACAAATAGTCCGCCTCTTGGATGCACCAGATGCTCTTTCCCTCTCCCTCACTGCCAAAGCACACTACTCCGTCGTTATGCCACACATTCTTGGATTCCCGTTGCAACTTCACTTCGACAAAGGGGGTTCCCATCTAACGAACATTGACTTCGCGCTTGCTCGCGACTCTTATCTCCAGCGCCCACGCTCCGACTACATCCGCAACATCCGTGTTCCTCCCACTCCCCGTACAGCTTGGATTTGGATGCCCGGATGTCCTCTTCCTCACGCTCCCCAGCTTTCCTCTCTTCTTTTGCAGGTACCTCGGCTCGAGTCGCTCGCCTTCCCTGACGGCGAAGACTACGCGTGGCGTAGTCCCCAGGTTCTCGACACCCTTCCTTCCATGACTCGCTTGACCTCGCTCGCGATATCCTTGGTGAACCGGGACATCGTTCGGAAGTTGCTCACCGTACTCCCCCCACTCGAGCCGACCCTCCGCTCCATCACGCTCTCCTTCGCTCTGTATGATTACCACATTGACCCCCGCGATTATGGGCACCTGCTCGCGATCCTCGCCGGTTTCCCTCGCTTCGAAGACCTCTGCATCGATTGCACGGACTGCCTCGAGCGGACGCCCTTCGGGCTTAACATGGGCGTAGCGATGCCGCAACTCCCGAACGTCCGTGCCCTCACGCTTATCGACTGCACCCCGTCGATGGTGCCGCTGTGCCCGAACCTCGGCAGCCTCCGCCTGGGAGTCTTGACCTCGAGATCATGGCCACACGGTGCGACTGGCCACCGCTCCGCACGCTCACGTATCTCCCGACGCCTGAAAGGTACACCGGCCCGCGGTTCCGGCCCGCGAACATGGGCAAGTTCAATCACATCGGGAGGTTCGTCGTCGACGGCCCGGCCGTGCCTGTCGCAGCGCACAACTTGGAGCAGACGACGAAGGCGGCGCTCCCGTTCGAGGTGGTGCCCGGGATGTGCGGGCTCGAGCTCGCGCTCGTCGTGGACGGCGCCGCGGGGCAGACGGACTTCATGGGGCAGGTGAAGGCGCTCCGCCAGCGCCCGCAGTCGATGTGGACGCCGCTGGCGAACGCGGCCCTCCGGGCGCTGAGCCTCAAGGTGGAGCGCGCGGCGGAGGACGTCACGTTTGGGGCGCTGGGGGTGCGTGGGTGCTCTTTTTCCGCGTCGATGGGAAACTGAGTAGTCTTTGTTCAGGAGAACCTGGTCCGTGTGCTCGCGCAGCTGCCGCTTGTCTATCTCAGCGTCGTCGTCCGGCCGGACGCAGAGCCGCTGGACTCGCAGGACGAAGTGGAGCGAGTCCGTGTTGTGCGCGAGGTGCTCCCGCGCGCGCTCGCGGACGGTATCTCGACGCTGCGCGTGCTCGCACTGGGGGCATCCAACCCCAACGTGGTCTGGCTGGAGGAAGAAGACGAGGACGCGGAAGACGAAGACGTGGTTGAGCTACGACGACTGGCAGGCGAGCGAACGCGGGACCATCGGTACTGGTGGATCGAGCGTAAGGCAGGGCGCGTCGGTATGACGGAAATATGGCGTGAAGACGGCGAAAGAGCACGCGACATTGTCGAGGAGAGGTTCTTTAAACGCGACACGGGTCTAGATGGTGAGTCGGGTGTTTCAGTGAGCGCGACACGAAGCTAACGACGTTCTGTCGTAGGATTCTTTTCGGAGAAGTGCGTCTACAGGTCGTGACCTTGTGTCATAGCACAGATAATGTATCGTTGTCGTGAAGCCTGCTGATGCGCGCTGACTGGTCGTATGACGACAATGAAAGCCAGAAAAGGCCCTTCGCCCGCTTTCTTGATGACGCGGTCGCGTGATGAAAGCAATCTGTATCTTATCTGCCCACGTGCTCTCCAGGGTGCCGGTCGTTGCTTGCTCACCGCCTTCAGTTACGGCCAGTTACCAGTAGCAGCTAGCTTGAATGCGTTGTGCACTGACACCACGTGATGCCTGAATGATAACAAGTACGGGCCACAGAGCTTTCGTTTGAGCGCCGAAACTGGCTTCAACTCCATCCACCACCGACCCCGATCCCTTCACCTTAATCGATGAAGAAACATGCAGACTGTCTTGCGAAATGACACATCTGACGAGCCACCCCCTCGAGCCGTAAACATACATCCATATCTTGTTGCAGTCTTCCAGCCCGACTTCTCTGTCTCAGCAACCGCCGAGGTCGCCCTTCGGCATCGTTGCTTGTACTGCGGCTTGCGCTCTCCCGGTATGAAGGAGTGTAGTGGGTGCATGGTGACAAAGTACTGCAACAGAACATGCCAGAAGAACGATTGGCCAACTCACAGGTGAGCGTCACAGATTGTTTATGATGCGCCGCTGACCAGCGTGCATATTCAGGACCGTATGCGTCCCTAGGGAACAAAGCACTCGCTTGCGTTTAGAGCAGGTGCTATCTCGCTACACATCGCATGCCGCTCTCGCTGCCGCTATCCGTATCTGGACACAGTTGCACGAACACACCCTCACGCTCGTCGCCAACTGCACCGTCTACACTTCGACAGACCACACAGCCGTCCTCCAGAGAAGAATGGGCATATCCACGGTGAAAGATGTCCTGGACTCCCCGCTCTACTACACCATCAATCTCATGTTCAACGATGGATCCACAACGACCATCGCCCCGTCGACGGCGTTCTGGCTCACCTCCCAGGGTATCTTTCCCCCCCGCCCGGGCAGCACCACCAGCAGCCCAATCTGGCCCCAGCACACAGAAGAAAACTTCAAGGGCCTTCGCGCCGCGCAGGAAGCCGCCTTCCTCGCGCGCACGCCGGAAGACGCAGGCGCCGTGCTCGGATACTTCCCCGTCGAGTTTTGCATGACCGACCTCGGCATCGCCGTCGTCCGCGCGTACCCGATCTACCGCATGCGCCCGCGCCCGGGGCCGCCGCGCACCGACCTCCTCTCAACGCGCGACAAGACGGCGCTCGACCTCACCTGCAACTTCTTCTCCCAGCTCTTGGGGAGCACCCCTGTGCAGCCGCTGGTCGCGCGCCCGCCGAGAGACCCCCGGCACGGTCCGCTCGTGGGTACGGTGATGCGGAGGGGGAGAGGGGGGAAGTGGGTGTATCAGGAGATTGGGCCGGGTTTCAAGTGGAACGACCAGCTAGCGCCCGAGACTGCCCGGTACTTTCCGAGGGGTTTGAAGATCGACGATCAGCTGGCTCGCGTCTGGGACTTATTGGAGATACCGCAGCGACGAGGTGAGCCGTTGCACTGCCCAGCTAACGCGAATGGGCTAATGCGAGCTCGTGTTGGACCTCAGCACAGTCTCGTGCCATCGATCCTGCAGCGAGGTGAGGCAACGATTGACTTGGGAGTCGCGATTCGGAGACAAGTTTGCAGGGTATGAGCCTTGCGTGGCCGTTGTACGTCCTCTTGGGCTTTGATACGCGAGTAGATGATCCTTGCTCAGCGGAAAATAATGATGTACCCTGCAAAGAGCGACACACGGTATATAGATTTCAGGGGAGAGATTTCGAAGACGCTAGGAGGCTGCTCTGCGCGTAGAGGAAAACTTTGCTTCCCTTCGTAGGATGGACGTGCAACAGGGTTGTCTCGCGAGGGAATCGCCGTTGCAGTGGCAGGGCATGGATCTAGATTCTATGTGTTAAAGAGGCTGTTCAAGGCACAAGCTCTGGACACCGTCGAACACCATCCTCGCGAATGCCTCCCCAAACTCGTCCTCGATCGCGCCTTCCCCCCACGTCACGCTCAAGCCCAGCCCCCCGTCCGGCGTGCCCGCGACGTTCAGCTTGACCGCCGCCCCGAGCGTCACGTCCGCCTGCACGAACAGCACCTCGCGGATCCGCCACTGCACCTCCTCCTTCCCAAGCCCGTTTGTTGGTGCCGTCGGGAGCGCGGGAAACGCGCCGAGGTTCGAGAGCTCGAACGCCTCGGAGCGCTTCTTGCCCACGCTCCCGAGCGCGTCCGCGTCCGCGTCCCCGAAGAGCGCACGGAGGTCCCAGAGGAGGAGCTTGAGCAGGCCGATGTGCCGCCCGGCGCCCGGCGCCTTGGCGCGCAGCCGCGCCGACATCGCCGCCGCCGCCGCCCACGGGAACGTCGCGGGGTGGACGTCGAGCGCGTGCGCGTAGCCCGATACGTCGGGGTCGGTCGGCGCGGGCACGGGCAGGAGCGGGCAGTGCGTCCGGATCGTGAACGCGTAGCTGCAGAGCGCGGTCGGGGCGTCGTGGTGAAGCGCCGGAGGGAAAACGGGACGGAGGTGGTCACCGTCCGGGCGGCGGGGGACACGGCGGCGGGTGCGCACGAGGCGTCGTGCGTGGGGATGAGAGCGGAGAGCGCGAGGAGCGCGAGCGTGTGCAGCGTCCCGTGAGGGTGGTCCCGTGCGCGCGGCTCAGCGCGACGAGCGTGCCGGTGTCAGCGGGTGAGATGTGCTGGATGCGGACGCGGGTGACGAGCGTCGGGGGGTCTTGCGCCGGGTGCGCGGTCCAGGACGCGAGCGCGCGGGGGTTCAGCTTCGGGAGGAGCGTCTGCGCGACCTTCTTTGCAGCCCAGAGTGGGGGCGGGGTGGTCTTCGCGGCGGTTTCGACGGCGGGCGGGAGGTGGGCTTCGAGGGGGAAGTCGGAGATGAGAGGCGATTGCGCAGGGGAATCGGAGCCGGCAGACGCAGCGCGGAGGGCGGAAAGGAGGTTCGCGTGGAAGGCGGAGCCGGACTGGCCGTCGCCGAGGGTGTGGTCGTACGCGAAGGCGACGAAGCCGTCTCGGAAGACGAAGAGACGCCAGTAGGGCAAGTCGGCGGTGTACTGAACCGGGGTGGCAAATTCTGCCTCAAGCACTTCGGTCAATGAGCTCGCGCCGTCCTTGTCGAGGAGCGTGATCACTTCGTCGAGGTTGAGGGATGGCATGCGCACCCAGACAGGCTTCGCTGGTGGGCGAGGCAATTGTGCCGCAAGACCAATATTGGCATGGATGACGGTGCGGAGTGCGCTGTATAAGAGCGGCTTGGTGAGAACGGCGGACGAGTCGTTCTTGTAATGTGCCACCGAGACCACCCAAGAAGTGAAGCCAAGCTGTCCACGGGCGTTGAAGAGCTGCTCAAGGGGACCTAGTACAACGGATGGTCAGCTTCAGCATGAATGCACGATTCTACCAGTATTCTTACCTGCTTTGCGAAGGCGCAGACCATGTGGGGTGTCGACTGTCATCCCGTAGATCTAGACCCGGGAGTCGGTAGGGCCCCGCTAGTGTTGACACGTTGACACTGCAAGCGGCTGAATCTTGGAGGCTACGTTGGCGCCCGCGGCGACACCCCGCTATTATTCCCATCACGTGCGTTTATACTTAGCGAGTTCTCCTTGTGCATGCTCTCCACAATGTTCCCTCTGCCTACCCTCCGCCCCTCTTGGCGCTTACTAATGCATGGAAAAGACATCATCTCTCTCTGGCACCATCGTGGCCTCAGCAAGCCGAATCAGATGATTTCTCCTGGTGGAGTCAACCTGTCCCCACCTTGGTGCACTCGAGTCGACGACAGAGTCCGCCCCCATATCGCGAGGCTATTATGTAGCATGGAAAAACAGTGAGTAAGTCTCGATCACCATCTTTCATGCACACCCCCACTTTGAAGTGAGCGCGTACGGCAAACACCCTTACCAGTGTTCTGTCCACCATGCCGTAGTTGCCCTCGCGGAAGCGTAGAGTCTGCACTCGTATTAGCAGGCTGCTGCGTTTTTTTCCCGCGCGCGTTTTCTGTGTTTGCAACCTGCATCTCCCCCAATGCACCAATGTTACGATGTGGCACGCGCACTGGCACCCAGCTCGCGCACCGTAGTGGTAAACTCTACCTCCACGCGTGCTGAGTATGGGCGAACAATGAATACGCGATGTGGATGCACTTCTTTACATTCCCGCCCCGCGCGCGAACGCACTATATTTTGGAGGCGGGCATTCAGACTGGTGGCGCCCGCAGAGGCGAGGACAGGCCACGTGGCTCACCGGTGCTGTCGAGCTCGCAGACACGGAGGCGAAGGGTCGACCGTCGCACGGCGCGAAGACCAGCCAACGTAGCTGTGTCTTTCAATGTTCATTGAGTTCCCCGCGACCATGTCCGCGATGCGCGCGCTAGGTTTCGTAGCGGCCTACTCTGGGACTCGGTCAGACAGGTGGTCCGTGGGACTTGCTACAGCCAAGATCACCTCCATAACGGCTTTGCGCGCGAAGTCCGCGTCCACTGCCCCGTCGAGTTCGCACGTAAGCACCACACCCGCTCAGTGATACAACGCTTTCGCATTGACAGTTCTCCTCACCGACACGTTCAACGCCGTCTCGACATTGATCCATCAAGGGGAACAAGGCAGGTGCACAGGATGGTGCGCACTTTGTTGCTTTCAAGGGAGGGACAGCGCGGGGTAATTGTCTTTTTGAGAATGGAGAAGCGGGCCCAACCACCGCGCACCGTCTACGGACCGTGCGGCGTTTCATAAGCTTTCTTCGCGCTCTACGAGCCTCTAGGGTTCCCATTTCAGAGTCATATAGCATTGTACGAGTTTTTGGGTGTTCTCGCTCGGACATACAATCTACAAAGGGACACCTCCAATCTCCAGATCCAGAGGGTGAACGCGAGAATTCTCAAAGTACAAACGTGTCCGCCAAGCCAACGGACTGTCATCGCGGTTCAAGCCAAGACCAGTGGCCTCAGATGGTGCCTGAAGTAGCATGATCGCCGTCGTCTTCAGCCACAAGCGGGTGTCAAATTCGTTCAAGGTTCGAGTGGTACGCGACAGCGTGAGGCTCGTCAAATTCGTCAGTGCCCACCAGGCAACCAAGTTTCTTGAACAAAGCTACAGGATAGACAGATGCTGACCATTCGGATCTTGGCAATTAGAGCAGAGTGAGTAAGCTATTTGATCGTTGACTCAGCGAGGGAGGCACAAGCTAAATCGGGACGCGGAAATCCCCGAACGAGTCAGCTACGCCCGAAATGGAGCTCGCACACATTGCTGCTTCCTCTGCTCGTCCATGGCCACAAGGCTATATAACCTGCTCAGAGCCCGAGACAGTCAGAAACACACACCGCAAAGCTACCTTCACACCTCGAGCAATCATGAGCAAGATCGTTTTCTACACCAACCCGGTGAGCCGCGTTGGAGAGGATGACTTCGGCGATGTACTCAACGATAATTCCAGGTCTCCAACAACTCCCTCCGTGCTCGCCTTGCGCTCGACACGGCCAAGGCGGAGTACACCACCCAAGAGATTAACCTCATGGCCATGCCTGACTGGTACCGCACCGTCAACCCGCTCGGCCAGGTGAGCTCCTCGGTCACCCCGTCGCCCAAACAATGTCTGATGAGCGTCCCCCACAGATCCCTGCGCTCAGCTACGGCGCCACCACCGACCCCAGTACCGGTGCTGCGCCTTCGGGGACGATCGTCTACCAGTCGATCGCCATCATCGAGTTCCTCGCAGAGCTCTACCCCGACGGTGGGATTCTGCCCAAGGATCTCTCCGCCCGCACGAAGGCTCGCGTATTTGCCCACACGATCGAGGCCCGCCTCGTCCCGGCGTGGATGGCCGCCTTCCGCAAGGGCGAGTCTCCGTCGGCCCTGGTCACCGCGCTGGCGGAGGTGCAGGCGATGCTGCCGCCAGTGAGCGAGGGCACGTTCGCGGTCGGGGAGTGGTCGATGGCCGAGATGGTCGCGGGGCCGCACTTGGCGCTCGCCTGGCTCATGCTCTCGCACGATGTCGGCAAGTACGAGGCGGGCTTGGGGCTCGCGGCGTGGAAGGAGCTGAGCGAGGGTGAGAAGTTTGCGCGCCTGAGGAAGTACGTGGAGGACATCAAGGCGCATCCGGTGTGGCAGGCGAGCTGGAACGAGGTGAGTGAGACTTGTTGTAGAGAGGCCTGGTACTTACAGTCATTGCTCGTTGCAGGGGATGATGACGCACGTTTGGACCAGCTGGCCCGGTGTCGTTCGTGGGGGGAACACTAGTAGTCGTTCCCGCCGCTTGTATATCAGCCTGTTTGTTCGCAATGTGTCTTTTGAAGTACGCGACGATGGTGGAATTAAAGAAGCATCGATTTCAGAATTTCCCCGTGCGACTCAATGAAACTAGTGCTCACCCGTGGCGTTGCCACGGCGCGTGCGGCCTTTGGCCCTCTTATATAACGTGATATCGGCCAGGTATTTCAGAATTTTATACCCTGTCGGATAGTGGGGTGTTATGTGACCCGGGCGTAACCCGAGCCAGCGCCAAACCGCTGTTTCTGGGGTGCGCCAGTATTGGATCCTTGCGCAATTTTTCCCTACTCGTCCGCTCTTCGTGAAATTTGTACATAGGAGGGCATGTGGATTCGGCACCCATGTGCAGAGTAGGAAGGCAAACGGGGAGAGGGGGAGATATATTTGCGGAACGGCGGTACCCCCGCCGCTTCTGGGGGAGGCATAGTATGTAGTCAGTTCCGCAGGGCATGTGCCCACCCCATTCAGTTACACTCTAATGCATGCCCACGCGCCGTGTGGTAGGAGTGCAATGTAGCGCCGGCTGGTGCGCGCCCCCGTGCGAGAAGGGAAGCGTCGCGGGGGGTCGGCCTCGTATAGCTGGTCCAATATCGATTATAAGCCAGTTTCGCGCACTGGCAGGAGCGCGAGCGGGTGACAGTGATTAGCGCCCTCGTGCACCACCGCGCGACGTGCAGCGCGAGTCCGAACACACCGCCGCGAGCACCGCACGCGTGTGGTGACATCTCTGTATGCACCGCAGAACACCCGTGTGCATTTTGCGTGCGCGCGAGGACTCATGTCCAAACAGGACCTTGCACCGGGTGCAGTGGCCATTCCACGATACGATGCCGTGCTATTGCCGTACCTCGCGAGGCTCGCGCGCGGGGAGTCTGCAGTGCACGCAGAGATATCGTCACGCGCGCGCGGTGCTCGTGGCGGTGCGCTCGGACTCACACTGTACTTTGCACGGTGATGCGCGAGGGCGCTACGCACTGTGGCCCACTCCGAAATTGAACACGGCCCCACTTGCGCTCGTGCACGAAAATCGAGCCAGCTGTAAAAAAAAAATGGTATCATCGCCTCGCGCATCGACCTCGTAAACTCGGCCGAAAGACAGTCCCGACCTGGGGCGGCCTCGCAAGCTCGGCCACACAAAGGCGCCAGCCTCGCAGGCTCGGCCGGCCGGCGCACGTGGAAGCCACATGGCAAAACCTCGGTTAGAGTCGCTTATTTCGGCAACTTCGCTAAATTCGCGTATCGCTGCAAGCGACGTACGCGGCTTACTAACACCACCGCTCCCTTCTTTATAGATCAACTTGGGTTTTTCAGCCGCGGTAACGTTACATGGTTCATGTCGAAACGATCCAGCCCAATACGCTCGTATTCGTTGGAAGACGATGAGTTGTCTTGGGCGCCGGCCTGTTCGGTGGGTGTTCCGTCCTATTATACTTGAATCCTTATGTATAATGTCGTGGCGGGGCCGCACTGGGCACTTGGTGGAAGCAGCGAAAGTAAGCACGACTCGGATACCGCTGTTGCCATGTTCATCGCTGCTCACAGGTCTTTGCACTTTACCCGGCCACGATCACAGCTAAGTCGGCACAAGCTCCGAACGGCACGGCATGACCGTCTGCGTCGGATGCCGGTCGAAAGCTCTGCAAGCTCGGAAGCAGATTTCTGCACTTGGCCAGCGCTCGCGTGCGTGTTGCGCATACTTAGAAAGCTCCCGAATGCTACTCATTAAGTTAAGCATGTGTAGGTCGCCCTCAATCTGCGCCGCAACGCGTATAAAGTGGAGCGTACAACTCGACGGCTGTATGCAACAACCTGCTCTCAACGTCGTTTTAATGAATCATTCTCGAAATACCCTCCTCAGCTGTCCGCCCTTCCTACTACCATCAAGGCAGTTGGTATCAGCAAAACAGGAGACTTGGATATCATTGTGACGAGATCCGTGTCAAAGTACGTATACGAACTCTTCCCGTTCTGGTTGTTCTTTTCGGTTTTAATGCGGCGACATCCCCAGACCTCAAGGTCGATTATTCAGGCATCAATTCATCGATATTCAGCTCCGCAAAGGGGCATATCCGTTGCCCTCGCTTCCCGTCCATTCCCCTCTGACAACGCCGTTCTCTCCAGAGACGCCTTCAATGCACGCCCACTTCTCAAGGTCGGCAGTAAGGTCATCATTGTGTGTTCCAGTTCCATACGTTTCTAACGAAAACAGCTGACATCCAAGCCTAGGTCGGCATGGCCGCGTTCGCCGAGTACGTCACTGCCCCGTGGTACAAAGCCATCCCGCTACCGCCCGCGATCTCCACTCGCACCGCTTCGCACCGGCGCCGCGGCGATAGTGCAGGGCGTAGCCGCGCTCGAGTTCACCTCGGAGGCCCCGCCCATCCAGCCGGCGAGACCGTGCCTGTGCGCGCCGTGGCGGGCGGAGTTGGGCTGCGCATCCCCCAGGCGGCCGCCGCGCGCGGCACGAGGGTCATGGGACGACGCCGGCCGAGGATAAGGCGGAGCTGCGCGACAGCACGGGGTAGATCATGTCGTGCTGTCTGGGGAAGACGTGGAGGCGAAGGTATCGGAGCTGACGGAAGGGAAGGGCGTCGCGGCTGTGTACTTTCGATAGGGTCGGGGCGGCGACGTTCGAGGAGAACTTCGTGGTGGTGCAGACGAAAGGATCGATTACGATGTTCGGGAACGCGTGGGGCCGGTGCCTCCCGTGGCGCCGGTGAGGCTGGCGGAGAAGAACGTTGAGTTCGTTAACTGAGGACTATCCCAAGTGGTTCGAGCTCGATCAAACGGCGCGTTGAAACTAACGAGTTCTTTCTCCTGTAGCGCGAACATCTACATCAGAGATCCCGATGACGCCAAGCAGTATGTCGGGGAGATTTGCAGGCGTATCGGCGATGGCTCGCTGTCGATCGTAGTTCATGCCAAGTACCCCTCAGCGCTCAGCGCTCAACTTGGAGTCTGGGCGTCCAAGAAGTGTTGGCGGGACCATTCCGGACCGGTGTCGGACCGGCCTGCGCCGCCCAGGTGCGATTGGTGGATGGGCGCTAGAGCATCGATGTTTGACAGAACTTACTCCACCATCTCTCTCACCCACTTCGCCCATTCCCCCCGTCTTCATGTTTCCTTCTACTCCACCATTGCATCTCGTCTTGAACCATCTGGACGTATTATGAACAGCACCACTGCATCGGCACATACGAGAACCGGAGGTGAGCCGCGCCCTCACAACGCCTCCGAAGGAGGGCGAGGACGAGGGCGTGGCCACCGGAGAGGGCGCGGAGGTGGGAGAGGAAGAGGGCGTGGGGGGATTCCTGGTCGCGATGAAGGCGCGCCGAACGCCGTCCCCGGCGGGGGTGTCGCCGTTGCAAGTCGTCCTCGCCCCGAGCGTATTCCCAGACCCCCGCTTACGCATTGTGAGTCCGTATATGCCCCCGATTTGAAGCTGTATTGATAGCATTCTTCCTCAAGTTCTAGCAATACCTCTCGTGAGTTCATCCCACTTGCAAGCTTCACCTTCAGCCTAATCGCCGCCGTATAGGGGCACAATCGCCAATTTCGCGAGTCCGTCACTGCGTTCACCGATGCCCTCCTCGCCGCGTCACCTACTATCCCCGGACTCGACCAAACGGTCGTAATGCCCGCCCGCAGACTGCACTTTACGCTCGGCGTCATGTCGCTCAACTCCCAGGACTCCGCTCGTACTCTGGCTGCAGCTGTTGCGCTCCTGCAAAGCGTCAGGCCTAAGATCCTGGAGGTTTTGAGAGGCAAGAAACTCAAGGTCTCTCTGGACAGAGTGGACATCATGCCACCCGAGCGGGGTGATCAGGAGCGCGCCCACGTCATGTGGTTCGGACCCGCAGACACGGCGGGCGGAGAGACCTTCAGGGCAGTCGCCAGTGAGTCTTCCCCTACACGGGATATTGATCGCGCTTATGCCCCTGTGTAGACCTTGTACACAAGGCGTTCAAGGATTCTGGGTTGTTGGTTGATGAGAATCGCCCGCTCAAGGTATGTGATCTGGTTGCGGAAACGCGCAAATCACTCGTCTCCTTGTTCCTGATGAAGCGCTCTTTTCCCCACCTGCCACTCGACTAATCACGTCCGTCCGCATATAGTTGCACTGCACGATCGTCAACACCATCTACCGCAAACCTCGACCTAAAGAACGTATCCCATTTTCATACCCTTCAATCCTGGCGTCCACTGCGCTCCGAGCGAGACTGGCCAACGCGGGCACCTCGACCTCGTCCCAGAGAGGACCGATCGCCGTGGACTTTGGCACATGGGAAGTGAACGAGTTGCAGATCTGCGAGATGGGTAGTTGGGGGCCTGAGGGAGAGTACGTTGCTGCTGCTCGTGTGTCCCTGTCATGAACGATGAAGCGGTATGTTTTTGGCGCTTTTAATTGACACGTGCCGGATGTTCATAGTCTGCGCCTCTTCGTTGAGATCCGTACGTGTCGTAGCTCGGCCGCTAGCACTCCGATGGAAGACTCGGATGCACGCGCAGTCAAGCTCCTGCCATCTGCTGGCATCCGCAGTCCGGACATGGACAACCATGGAATACAAACCTAATGCATGCCGTAACCCGTTATCGTCGTCTCAGGGTATCGTGGTCAGTCCTGGGCGAGCTTCTTGTGTGCTTTGCAGGACGTCTCGCGGGGGCGTTGCTGCCTGTCCTCCGGAATATACCGGTAAGCTCCCTTCGTCTGTTCATAGCTACGCTGATTCCAGTCTCGCTAGACGACCGATATTGGTATGCACGGCACCAACCGGTTGTTCTCCCTGCTTCCCAGCCCAGACAAGCTCACCGCTCTGTCACTGGCATACACCGTCGACCCGCTCGCACACTCTTATATCGCACGTACGTGTTCGCCCTCTCGGTTGTTCAGCGGCGCTGATCCTCCTGTAGCCGACCCTATCACAGGGGTGCACTACCACCCGGACCTTTCCGCACTCACTTCACTCCAGACGGTCGACGTGAAGGCGATCGGACTTTTCCACCACCAGCTGACCAACCAGCTGCATGTCTTGCACACGGTAAGTAAGTACCGCACAGCGGGTCGCCGTGCCGTCACGGCTTCCTCCGCGTCACGCCGCTTTCCGCACAGCGGGACGACGCCCTATGGACCCGGGAAGGCTTCCCCGAATCCCCGATATCCGCCGGTGCATGAGCCGTGTTGTCGAGCGCGGGGGCTGTGGTACGTATGCGCGCGCTTTTTTCGACGCACGAGTGAGGGGGGTGGACATGATGCACTGTCAAGGACGCGTGAAAGTGCGTCGCGAGAAGTTTCCTTCTGGTACGTCTACGCTGTACCCACTGCCCGTCAACACGTCGATAGGTCGCTCTGTGGTCCCATTTTCTCACTGCATGCACACGCGAAATGGCACAGGTTGCGCGTTTGGTCGCTGCTCCTCTTGCCGTCGTAGGCCTGGGAAGTACGGGTGAGGGACGATCGCGTGGAAAGCTACAGGTCATGCTATAGCGCTGGTCAAAACTTTCGATATCCGGCCCTTCGGTTGGAGGAATGCGGATTTGTCTCCGCCGTCCAATATTCCAAAATAGTCCTCACCCGTGGCGTTGCCACGACGCGGCCTCGGGCAGTATTTGAGTATGCACTCGGCCCCTGTAGGCTGTGCTGGTGGAATCCGTTGATGAGGGAGGCAGAAAGCCTCGGCCACATGGCCGAACGTCGGGTGCAGTTGTGCTGCGAACACGCTGTGTGGTGCGCTGAAGGTGCGCTGTGTACTGTAGCCAGGCCCAGCGTGTGCGCGCCCTCGTGCGAGGAGGGAGGCGTCGCGCGAGGTCGGCCGGCTCGTTGCGCGAATCGAGCTCGTAAACTGGGCCGAAAGACGGTCCGCTCGGCCCGCCGGCGCTCCTTCTCAGCCGGAGCCGGGAGCCCCCATGAGTCATGACCACGAACTGAGGTGCGCCGTAGCGTTTGTACCGTTCGTTTGCTGACTCTCGCACGTAGGAACCGCGCGCACTGCGGTGAGAACACCCTCGCCAAATGCACTTCCCCCGTGTACGAGGATGCGGACTCCGGAGAGATACTTGCACGGAATTCGATAGGATGCAATAGGCTGCATCAGGGTGCGCCGATTCTGATCCGTGCACCATATACTTACGTGCAGCTGCGTCCTCGGCAGGATCACGCCGTGCACAGCCCGCGCTTGCCGGTGGGAGGCGATTCTCGCCGAACGTGGTTAAGACCATCAGAGACCATCTCGAGACATGATCTTCTCATGTAAGCAGATGTAAGCCCGGGGGGACCCCGACTCCGCCCTGCCCAGCCTATGCGGCTTCTGGAGTCGGTTTCAGCGCCGGCGAGGTCTCACCCCTCCGTTTTGCCACCCCGCGTACTTACGCCCAGTTCTCAGACATGACGCGCAATCAATTAATCAATGGTCATGGACTCGATAATACTTGACCTTCAGATGCTCGCCAAAGTCACCTACTCCGCCGACGGTTACAACCACATCCAGGACAAATATTAGTCTGCCATTGAATTGATGCCGCGTGCAAACCATAAACGCTGACGGTCTCTACCAGCCGTCTTCACGACGAAGCCGGATTGTTCGCCTTATCTCTCCGCGGTCGCATCGCCCCGAGCACATGGAACCCAGCCATCAGATTAGGAAATTGGGCAGAACGTGGATATGTTGCCCGATTCCCAAAATCTCTCTCTGACCACGACGTCCCCGTCTGCAACATGAACAGCAAGTATTCCCTCCTCCCCACCTCCCGCCTTCGCTATTCCAAAGGCACCGCCAAACACGCCCTCTTCCGCTTCCTCGCCCGCCGCGTCGTCGCCGTCGTCGCCACCATCACCGTCCTCGTCCTCGTCTTCCGGGCTCTCTGCTGTAGGCCAGCACACACTCCTGCCACCTCAAGACCACAAACGAAGCCCCTCGGAGACAACCATGCGATCCTGCCCCCACTATACTCTGGGTACCACCGTGACATCTTGCGCCTCCCTCAACATCGATGGGAACGTACCATGCCCGCACCGTACGAGAAATTCTTCTTCGTTGCCGGTCACGCCGAGAATACCGGCTGGGGAAACGGGATGGAGGAACTCGTGATGAACGGGTACATGGCCTGGAAGGCTGGACGATCGTGAGTGTCTCTCTCCTAGCCGTTGTGCGACCACTGGCCGCAACGGCGCGTAGCGGTGTCAACGTTGTCTCGACATGTGTCACAGAGTACTCACATTCCCTGAACAGGCTCGTCATCGGGAACTACACATGGAACTCGGACGGCAGTCCGTACTCTGAGTATAAGGGGCATCTGATCCCCTCGATGATCCCGTACAATGTCATCACGAGAGGTTCGTCTACGCCCACCCCACTCGCAGTAGTGCTTCCGATGCTCACGCCCCTCGATAGGGTACCTCACTGGCGATCCGCTCCCGGAAGGTGACAACGGACCACTCGTCGTCAGCCGCCACTACTTCGAACAACTCTGTCCGGATCCCGAGATCGTCCTCCGAGAAGAGGTTCATGACCATCTCGTTCACCCGCTCAACGCTAAGGAAGTCACTGAGGCATGGGTCAAAAAGCTCAGGAGCATCAGCAGCCCCTGCCTGCAGTCGGCGAAACGCTCCGGCCAGCTCTACGACTACATGTGAGCGTCCTACGCTATCTTTCGTTGTACACGCTAACGTCAGAGCAGGGTTCTCGGCGATCCGGATTCGATGCACGACGTCTGGGACGATTTCTCTAGCTCCCCCATCATCACCCACTGGCGCTGGTCACCGCTCATCGAGCTCGCCTACGACATGAACCGCGAGCTCTTCCAGCCGAGCGACACCACCGTCGAGCCCTTCTACGCCGCCAACACCGCCCTCACCAACAAGGCCCGCTACCCGCAGATCCACGGCCTACTCGCCCTCCACGTCCGCCGCGGCGACTTTGTCGAGCACTGCGACAACCTCCGGAACTGGGCGTCGACGTTCCTCGGCTTCAACTCGATGCACGACATGCTGGACCGGTTCGAACCGCGGCCGCCGGGGGACCCGGACCTGAACGCGGTGTATATGCCGCGGTGCTGGCCTACGGTTGAGCAGATCGTGAAGAAGGTGCACCAGGTGCGGCAGACGCCTGCGGGGAAGGGCCTGAAGCGGGTGCACATTATGTCGAACGGGCGCCCGGAGTACCTGGCCGAGCTCAAGCAGGCGCTGTGGAAGGAGGGCGGATGGGAGGCGGTGGTGACGAGCCGGGAGATGCTGCTGAACTGGGAGCAGAAGCATGTGTCGATGGCGGTGGACATGCTGATCGGGCAGCGGGCGCAGGTGTTCATCGGGAATGGGGTGCGTGCTCGGTGGATGGCGCGCCGCGTCTGCTGGGAGCTTTGCTGACGTCGGCTTTGTTTGCAGTTCTCGACGTTGACTTCTAACGTCGTCATGATGCGGAAGGCAAACGGGTTCTCGGCGGGCAGCTCACGGCTCTGGTGATCCCGACGCGCGTTGCGCCTTCGGGTTCTCAAAACTGGTCCGCATCGCCGACCTCGCGAGTCTACGCAGGACTGCGCCCGTCGCTGAGCCGCGCTTCGCAGAGAACACGCCGTCCATGTCTCACTGCACTCCTGGTTACGCGTCGATGCCGCCTCAATGTCTCATACCCCCATCGTTTCTCCGAACTAGCCGGGTCCCGGGTGATCGTTTCTTACCCTTGATCGTCCACACTCAGTATATGCTCTGTATATATAATAATCGTTTTGTAATCACGTAGGCGTCGAGCAGGTCTATTGGGACGCATAATACCGATAGAAGTATCGTAGTTCTCCTGGGACTGAAGTATGTACACGGACATTATAGGATTCCTTTAGGTCTGTTCTTCGGCTGTGTTGCGGCCCGTCGGTAGTTCCTGCCGTCCCTCTTAGTGGGTTGCGTATGATGCCAAGCACTCGAGGGCGCGCCCGCCGCGTGGGAACAGACCAGGGACGCCTCGACGGCTGCCGAGGCTAGAAAGATGATTGAATTGGCCGCGCTTTTTTGCGATGAGAGTGCACTGACAAGGACGCCCGCAGGTCCGTGGGCGACCGCGGCCCGCACTTGCTTTGTGCATTCATTATGCAAGTAAATACAAAAAATTGGAGTGGGAAATAATGAAGGAGGCGTCCAGAAGTCAGGGGATGACGAGCTCGGAGACGGCGAGCTCGGGTGGTAGGGCCGTGAGACGCCGGCGTTCAGGGCAGCGTCACGCGCGTGCCAATGGCCGGCGGGGACAACAGGCGCATCTGCACCTGTTGATAAGCTATCGCACAATTAATCACTACTTACTGTAGGCAGAACTGCTTCAGCTGCCCCGGTGGACACCGTCGTGTCATCACTTGCTCACGACAGCCTCCGAAAGTAGTGCTGTGTCACATACAGAAGTGTTACATACATCCTCTATATAACACGTTATATGACTGTAAGTAACTAACATAACATGAGAGGGTCCAGGACCCCATGTCAGATAGTGTTATTTTCGGGAAAATACCTTCATTCATGTCCCTTTGTATGGCTTATGCTCCTTGGCGTGTTTCCCCAGTCAGAAAGGCAACGAAACTGGGATAACGCAGTCCGCAGGTCCGCGCACCTAGGGACACGCGCTTATCAGAGGCGCCGAGTCCTCTTCGCTCTTGATTGGCACTTAGAGATCGTAGGCTTAGTTCCTAAGCTCCAGAAACTTCATAGGCGTGTAGAAGATGTAATTGGGTACACATAGACACCCATGATCTGCACCGTGTAGGTCAAAGTAAATGATGCTATGGCCGCTGGTATCAGGATTCAGGTAGGCTGAGCCTCATGCCAGTTCTCGTGCCGTTCCCACCGTGTGCGTGCTGTCGGAGGGGGTATAGCTGCGCAAAACTGCCCTCTCTTCATCTGCAACCCCCATCTCCCTCGATATCATCCCCCAAAGCTGCGTTGTGAGTCGATACAGCAACCCAGACCTGTACAATTTCGACGGGACGTCCCAGGTTGACACGACCATTGCGAACGATCCGTAGCACTGAGGTCCCGTTCGCCACCCGCACTTCAATCTGTTGGGCCGTCGTCGACTATGTCAAGCTCGACAGCACTACCCTTTCCAAGCTCCCCATAGATAGGTAAGTCATCTTTGGGTTCTGCGGACCACTGCTGGATAACATGTCGGACGTTGAGGACAAACCTTGTGGTGTTGACGACCTCTAGTTGCACAGATAACACACCCGCACCTTCCTAACACGCTCTTTTGCATTGATAACATGTTTATAGCACGTCATGTGACATATGTTATATACATGTTAATAACACTTGGTTGTTACATGACATCGGGGCCCCTCCTTCGAAAATAACATGACAAACCTATATGACAATCTAACACAGCGCTATCCGAAAGGCCTGCATTTCCTCCTCCCCTTGCAGTTTCACCCTTCGAGGTCCGCCGCGCCGCGGTTCTGCCGCGCTCGTGTTGTCGCCACGGTGGACCACCAGATCGCGCGAGCTTTGCGCGTCCCGAACGCCGTCATGCGCGTCGCGCTCATGGACGAATAGTTCGCAGCGCGAGAACGCGAGCTGTCGCTGTCGCCGCGCGCCTCCCCCATCACCCCCGTCGTCGATGAGCTGGGCATCTCCCGCCGCGGCCGCGCAGTGATACTGTGAGCTGATAAGTAAGAGCTCCAAGTGCCCCGCGCGGCGTCCGCGCGGGACTATATACGGCCGCGTTTTCCCCTAGGATAGTCGACTTCCCATCCAAGTACTGTTCGGAGGGCGAGCTGGGGGCAGCGGGAGCAGGAAAACACCACGGGGATTGCGCCCAGTGCAAATCCGCTCGCTCGTGCGTGCACGCAGCAGCAGGCGCAGATGCGCGCATCTCTCGGCCGCTTTCGTGGTCGGGGCCGGGGGTAGCGGACCGAGCATGACTGTGTCGCTGCACCGGTCACGGCACGGCTCTGCCGTGACTGAGTCGCCCTTTACGCGCTCCCTGTCATATTGTGCTCCTCTCCCAAGTTCCTCATTGCAATCGTGGCAAGTGAGCGTTGACCAGCAGAGACGCCACACACAGCTCCTCCTCGTTCCGCCTCGTCTTTTCTGGCTTGACATCGACCTCCGCCTCCATGAGCTGACTCGCATTCTTGCTCTACCCCGTATCGGTGCCCACAGTCACTCTGCTACCTATCTGGGATCGTATTTGCCCACCGAGTTCTCCATCGCACCCCCTAGTGCAGTACCCCCGCTCTGTGAAAGATCTTCAAGTCATGGATTGGCGCGAGTTGTCAATATCTCTCTTTCCTCGAGTAGCACGGTTGACTCGTTTTTTCTCATCCCTGATTCTCCGCCCAGGGGGTCCGCCTCCACCGTAGGGGTACTGCGAGCGCCTACTGGGCTCGACTTTGGACAGGCCCCTGTTCGCGCGCGGGGAGTAACGGACCCTAATACCGGCCCATATATCCGCCACGATGGCTTCCCCTCGCCCCGTGTGCCGCCGTCTCGCCCCCTCACTTGCGCGACAGTACTATGCTCTGCGACCTCGACCTCAGTAGCCCCCACGTGTGCCCTGAGCTTGAGCCCGCTTCTGCTGACGACAACAGCGATAACACCCCGCCCCTTGCATACCCAACAAACTTCATGGTGCGTGATTTGGCAACCATGCTATGCGTTGTTGAGGAATGAAAACAGGGCGACGAGTCTGGTGTACTCTCCATCGACTTCGTGATTGCTGGGGGCTCGTTATGCGGTCTGTCGGCAGCGATTGCCCTCAGGCGTGTCGGACACAATGTGATCGTCGTCGATCGTTCATCTCCATACGAGCCGGTACATCTGCATCAGGTTTATTTGGTTTTAGCCCTCACGCAATGGCCGCGTTCGCCACAGACTAAATTCGACTCGGGCATCCGCTTGCCACCCAACTCAACCAAGCACTACTACCGATGGGGGCTGAAGGAGCGTCTCCACGCCGTGTCCGTCAAGTCTCAGGGTACCTTGTTTGCTTCTTGTGAGTCCTTCCGTCAAGTCTAGACTGGCGAGCGACACCCTCTGACGTACGCCCAGTCTACTCAGGCGCGATTGCCGGGAAACATTCATGGGCAGACAGCATCCTGGAGGAGCTCGGGGGCGACACGCTGTGCATGCACGTACGTCGTCAGCGACTGTTCTCTCTCACTGCGACTCCATGAAGCTCCCCCGCCTCCCCGGGCGTAGTACACCCCACTTCGCAAGGTGCTCGCGGAGTACGCCACGGAGATGGGCGTGAATATCATAATCGAAAACATCTCGTCCGTGCACCCTGACCCTGTGAAGCCGTCACTGACGCTGGAGTCCGGCGACGTCCTCACCGGCGACGTCGTGCTCGGTGCCGACGGGTACGTCTTCGAAGGAAACGTGTGTCGCACGGCCCTCCTGGACGCGCTCGGGCAGGACCACAAGAGCACTTGGATGGGCATGCATCTCTTCAGGTGTGCTCTGCCCTTCCTTTGTTTCGTCTACTGGCACCCTCGCCTGAAACACGTGCGCAGCTGTGATATACCCGGAGCCAATCTTGCCCGGCTGGAAGACAAGGACATGCTCGCGCAGTTGCAACAAGGGGTGCGTCTAATGCTGGAACGTCGTGTGGGCGTGGACGCTGAAATGGTCTCTGAACAGGGCAAAGTCTTCACGTGGTATGGGTCAGGGTGTGGAGCACTGGGTTTCCCCATGGTTCGCAGATTCTGTCCTTTGACGCCGCCACACCGTGCTTACTTGCCTGTGGGGCGCAGAAATCCATGACTGGTGAAGACGCGTTCACCCTTTACGCGTTCGCACCGCGCGCTGAACTGCTCGAGTGGCCGTACTGCTGCGGGTCGACGAGCTCCTCGCCTCGTTGAAGGACTCGAACCCGCAACTCCAAGAGATTGCGCAGCAGTCGGCACGCATCACCGTCGTGCCCATGGCCAACCACTCCAGCCTCGATGAGTGGGCCTATCCCGGCGGCCGTCTCCTGTGCATCGGCGAAGGCGCGCACCCCACCCCTGTCCGTCCTCCCCTATCGCTTTTTCTGTCGATCGTCCACTAACGCGCCCGTTTCTCGCCTGCACTCTGGATCACTCCCGGCGCGCGCGGCTCCACGTCATTCGTTCGCAGGTCGGCTCGCTGTTCTCGGCCGCGATGTGCACGTGCGACGCGGCGTGCCTCGGCCGGCTCTTCTCGCACCTCACCCGGCACGACCAGATCGACACCCTGCTGTACGCGGTGCAGGAGATCCGCGAGGGGCCCGTCGCGTCCGTCTTCAAGGCCGCGTCGGGCAACATCTTCGCGACCTCGCTCCCGCCCGGAATCGTCGAGCGGGACGACGACGAGCGGGCGCGGGCGGAGCGCGGGCTCGCGAGCCTCGGCGGCGGGGTCGACAGCCTGGCGCCGAGCCCGGAGATGATCGAGGTGGTCGAGCAGCTGTTTGGGTACGACGCCGAGGACGAGGCGGACAACTGGTGGGTCAACTGGGGGCTCATGCAGGAGCGCGCGATGCGACGGGAGCTTTCCGAGAAGCGCGGGCTGCCTGTCATTTTCGAGCGGGGCGAAGGGAGTGGTACGTAGTAGGGACGAGCTCGAGGAGGGGGCAATACAATGACGGTGCTTGCGCGGGGCGCACACGATTACGCGGTGGATGGTGCTCTTGGAGGCGTGGGCGGTGGACTTTGCTTGCGGTGCGTTGGATACCACGGTCCCCCGGCGATGCTGTCTGTCCGATGCATCCGTCTAGTGCTCCAGCTGTATGTATAATTAGTGTTGTAATACAACGATCGGACAACGTGGCAATATATAGCTGCATCCCTCGCCTGGAACGAGAGCGCGCAATCGCTTTGCTTGACTCGTTGCATCTCAGCTTCTTGCAGTGACTTTCTCTGAGAGTCGAAGCTCAACTCCCGTGCCTCAAGTATTCACCGGCGCTCCCGGAGTGGCCAGCGTAAGGCAAAAAGTCACTCGCGGCGCAGCTCGCGTACATGGCGTACGAAAACGAGCCATCGTTCGAGTACATGTACATGTATGTGCGTTTGGTCAATATAGGGGTGTCGTGAGAGTGTCGTCATCCGTTGTAATGCCGTAAAGAGCGCTGTTGGAAACACATAACGAGAACATACACCTGCGTTCACGCCGAGCACCGTCACTGGAAATATTCATACACTGCCCTGTTCTAAATGACCAGGGGACACCCAAGGGGCTGAGACGTATCGCTGTAAAGCAATCCCTTTGCGCAATCATCGATGCCGACCGCTGCGGATACACCTACTGGAAGACGGTTCCGCGCGGGGGGTGCGGATTCGAGCGGGCACGTTGTCTTGAGACTGCCGGGACGATAATCCACTGAAATTGTATACACGACGAAACCATTAAACCCTAGGTAAGTAATATAAAGTCCGTGCACATGTACTACGACCTATTCGAGAACTAGCGTCCGTCCGCCAGGGAGACGCCTCGATCGTTATGAACACGACGTACGTATATGTCCGATCTATCCGGCAACGTCGGGTACCGCAATAATGCGGTTACCATGTTTGTGGAATGTTCGCGACAATGAGGCGAAGGTGTGTAGAACAGTGAAGGGGCGAAGTACGCGCGACTTCCAAGGCCGTATTTCCCTTCCACAAGAGAGGCCAAGAAGCCGAAGCGTGCGTTCGAGGATCACCAGAGTCGTGAGCTCCCCGCCGAGAACCCGTTTGCCTTCCTCATCATGACGACGTTGGAGGTCAGCGTCGAGAACTGAAAACAAAGCCGATGTCAGCAAACGCTGCGCACACTTCACAGACCGCCGAGCACTCACCCCATTTCCGATGAACACCTGCGCCCGCTGCCCGATCAGCATGTCCACCGCCATCGACACGTGCTTCTGCTCCCAGTTCAGCAGCATCTCCCGGCTCGTCACCACCGCCTCCCATCCGCCCTCCTTCCACAGCGCCTGCTTGAGCTCGGCCAGGTACTCCGGGCGCCCGTTCGACATAATGTGCACCCGCTTCAGGCCCTTCCCCGCAGGCGTCTGCCGCACCTGGTGTACCTTCTTCACGATCTGCTCCACCGTCGGCCAGCACCGCGGCATATACACCGCGTTCAGGTCCGGCTCCCCCGGCGGCCGCGGCTCGAAACGGTCCAGCATGTCGTGCATCGAGTTGAAGCCGAGGAACGTCGACGCCCAGTTCCGGAGGTTGTCGCAGTGCTCGACAAAGTCGCCGCGGCGGACGTGGAGGGCGAGCAGGCCGTGGATCTGCGGGTAGCGGGCCTTGTTGGTGAGGGCGGTGTTGGCGGCGTAGAAGGGCTCGACGGTGGTGTCGCTCGGCTGGAAAAGTTCGCGGTTCATGTCGTAGGCGAGCTCGATGAGCGGGGACCAGCGCCAGTGGGTGATGATGGGGGAGGTGGAGAACTCGGGCCAGATGTCGTGCATCGCGTCGGGGTCGCCGAGGACCCTGCGCCATCGTCAGTCTGTCGCACGAACCCGCATGTCGCGCACGATGCTCACATGTAGTCGTAGAGCTGGCCGGAGTTCTTGGCCGACTGCACGCAAGGGTCATCGACGCTGTTCAGTTTCGCGACCCATGCGTCGGTGACCTCCTTGGCGTTGAGTGGATGGACGAGGTGGTCGTGGACCTCTTCGCGGGAGATGATGACGGGATCTGGGCAGAGCTGCTCGTAGTAATGGCGGCTGACGGCGAGCGGCGCGTGGTCGCCTGCGGGGAGAGGGTCGCCAGTGAGGTATCCTGCGATTGTGTAAGCATTTGTTGCCGCACAACGAGTTCACCGACGGACCTCTGGTGATAGCGCTGTAAGGAATCAAGGAGGGGATCAGGTGTCCGTGGTACTCAGAGTACAGGGGACCGTCCGAGTTCCAGGTGTAGTTTCCGAAGACGAAGCTGCGAATAGAACATGAGCACTCGTTGGGGTCACGATCGGCGTAGTCGACGAAGAGGCACGCTCGAGTGTGAACTTGCGCACGAAGGGGGATAACAATAAGAAGTTCTCTCGAAAGAGAGGCTTCAGAAGGGATGGACGACGGGATACGGCGAGCGGGAGCAAGAGAAATAGGATGCTCACGATCGTCCTGCCTTATACGCCATATACCCGTTCATCACGAACTCCTCCATCCCGTTGCCCCAGCCGGTGCCGGCGGCATGACCTGCGACGAAGAAGAACCTCTCGTGTGGAGCGGGCGTTGTGCGTTCCCAGTGGTGCTGTGGGAGGCGCATGAGGTCGCGATGGTATCCAGTGTACAGCGGCGGTAAAGTAGCATTCTCCCCTGCGACCGTCTTCGCTGGGGTTCCGGGGGTGTGACCGCGGGGGACGTGATGACTTGCGTGGCACTGGGTCTGCGTCGGTAGAGTGTGTGAGAGACGAAGGTGAGGGCGACGACGGAGGCGAGAGCGATGATGATTCGGCGGCGGGTGAAGCAACCGAGGAGGGCATGGTCGGAGGGGCCGTTGGAGTACCCGCCCCCGAGACGGGTGGTGGGGAGCATGAGTATTGTGGTCGGGAGCGCTGGCGGAGACGGAACGGACGCTAGGCGTCGGTGCTGTTGGATGGTCTAGGTACGACAGTGTCGATTGGGCCTTGGCGCGGCGCGCATCAATGTGGACATCAGTTGTGCCCGAAGCTTCCGAGTCTACTCGGTGGACGAGGGCGGGTGCGGTTTCCATGAGGAGAGAGTGACTGCCAGTTCTGAGTCCGGTCCAGAAGGTGAGAGGAAGTTGCAATTAACATCCGACTCCCGACGTTCGGCCACTGCATGATCGATCTACTTACAAACAGCACGCAGAGGCTCGCTGGGCCACGGGCGACGCGTGCGCATTTAGTATCCCGCGCGAGTCCCACAAATTAACTAGGACGACCCTGCAAACTTTCAAAAGTACCAGACCGGATCGTCTGAGGTTTTGAATGACAGCCTGGATCTCGGGTGAAAGTATCCGGCATTACTTACTTGTGGACTGAGCCGCGATCGGCGGCTGCTAGTTTAGGGCAGGTACTTAGGACAAACGCTTGAGCGGACCGGCGCTGGTCCGACTCTCTCTCTCTCTCTCTCTCAGTACTTCAGTCGAAGCGACTCTCGTCCCAGGAACGGCTCCAATAGCTCCAATAATGACAGGCCGAGAGCCCGCTCGGTGACGAGTGCCAGTTCCCGAATGGTGTCGAAATGATTCGAGATCCCGTCCAAGACTGTCCTCGGCGAGCAGAACGAGGTAAGTATATGACGAGAAGGCGCGCACGCCGCACTGGCGCCAGTACTGGTGGGCGAGTTCGCATTCAATGACATGGTGTACCGCGGCTTGCAGCTCGACGTGCTCGACGGCGTCTGCCTGGGACATTGCCCGACGGAAATAGTCTGTTCTCACCTTGACTGTTCTTCATCAGTCTGTCACTACCACGTAGCCAAACAGGAAGCCGGACATGAAATACCCATGAGATGCCCTGAGGAGACTTTGCGCAAGAAGTTGCCCAATTCACTGGTGGTGTGGACTATGGCAGGGAAATTGGATGAAACGCGTCGCGTCACGTGTGACGGGTCGCGTCAGCGCTGCCGGCCACAGCGATGGGCAGAGCCACTTGACGACGACGGCCGACTCGATTCTCACTCCTTCCTCCTCCTCCATCTCCGCCACCCTCTGCGCGCCCTTGCGATGGGCATCCCTGGCCTCTGGGATGTGAGTACGCGCGACGCCAACATGGTTAGACGCTGACACCAGGTCGCGTAGATCTTAAACAAGGCCGGCCAGTCGCGCGCCATTGCGGATCTCGCTGTCGTAGACGGCTTCGACCGCAACGCTTCGGGGAAGCGCACCCTCCGCCTCGGCATCGACGCGTCCATCTGGCTGCAACATGCCACCTTTTCTGGCGGCTTCAAGGACAAGCGCACGGGCGAGAAGCCGGACCGAGGGCCAACGCGGAGCTGCGGATGGTGTTCTTTCGACTTTGCAAGCTCGTGAGGCTGCCAGTATCGCTGCTCTTCATGTTCGACGGGAGGGAGAGACCGAAGACGAAGCGGGGGAGCAGGATGGGCAAGAGCGGTGCGCACCACCTTGCGCGGGGCGTGAAGGAGTTGATTGAGCTTTTTGGGATGGATTGGCGTGAGGTACGTTCTCGACTTCTTGTCCATTCCTGCGGAAATGGATGCCGGCCACAGGCGAGAGGAGAAGCGGAGGCAGAACTTGCGTTTCTCAATGTGCGCGGGTTTATTGACGCCATCATCTCCGACGACGCCGACACCTTTGTCTTCGGCGCGCGCACCGTTATCAAGAAGTAAGTACCGTGTTTCTCGCTCCGCCGTCTTTAAATGAGCTCGTGTCGCAGCCTAAGCCTCAACCTAACCGGGAACAAGTCTCATCCTGCGAAAGACAAGAAAGGGAAGCCGAGCGTGCACCACGCGCACGTCTTCACCGCCAACGAGCTCAAGACCCACCCGGACGTCCAACTCACGCGCGGCGGCCTTCTCCTCATTGCGCTCATGTCACGCAACGACTATGACGACGTGCGTCTCCCGTTCTTTCCCTCTCCCGCTGACTCTCTCACAGGGCCTCAAAGGCGTCAACACCGTCACCGCGCACGCCCTCGCTCGCGCCGGCTTCGGCGACCAGCTGCTCGACGCCTACCACGCTCGCCCGTACCCCAACTGGGCGACGTTCACCGCGCAGTGGCGCGCCACCGTCATCGCCGAGCTCCGCACGAACTCCCGCGGCTTCCTTTCGCGGTGCTTCCACACGTTCCAGTTCCCGTCGCGTGGCCCGCTCTCGATGCCATCGCCATGTACATCGACCCAATCACCAGCGCGACGACCGGGCACACGGGCGGGGGCGCGCCGCGCGACAAACGGGCGATCGACCTCGCGGGCCTCGCCGCGTTCTGCGAGAACCACTTTGACGAGTGGGGCGCGCGCACGCAAATCCTCAAGCGATTCAAGAACGTTTTGACGCCCGGCCTCGTCATGACCGTCCTCAAAGCCGCCGCGGTCGAGGCGGACAAGCGTCACGAGGAGCAATTCCTCGAGCTCGGCGCGCACCCAGGAGCCATCCGGCTCACCACCCCACTGGGGCCCCTGCCTGAGGAGGGCGTGGGCACACCCGCGGCGCTCGTGCGGCGATGCCTCCGGCGGCAGACGCGGACGACAAGGACGACGCAGGACGACGCCATGGAGCGCATCGCGTCTGCGTTCGTCAACCGCGGCGCGCCGCAGCGGGAGGAAGGGAGCCGCCGCTCGAGGTCATCGCAGACCCGCACCCCATCGTCGTCGGCATCACGCGCATGCGGCACCACGTCTCGACGGACGAGCTGTTCGAGTACGGGTCGAGATCTGTCCGCGCCAGTTTGTGGAGATCGCCAATTCTGGCATCCGCGGCAAGCACCCCGACCCCACCGGCATAGCCGCCGGACGGGACAGCGACGCGGACGAGGATGAGGACGAGGAAGACGGGGGTGGGACAAAGTCCAAGGACCCGAAGGCGAACACGCTCCTCTGGATCCCCGCGTCCATCATGCGCCAGGTGCACCCCGAGATCGTCGCGGCGTATGAGGACAAAGTGAAGCAGAAGTCCCCATCGAAGCGGCGCGTGGCCACCCAGTCCCAGCACGCCGAGGCTGGGCCTTCAAATTCCCAACCGTCCGCGTCTGCAACGGCGCGGAAAGGGAAAGGCAGAGCCCGCGCGCCTCCCGCGGACGCTCTGGACGAGTACGCGCGTTCGTGCAACCCTCGGGCGTCGGCCACACCTTCCCGGGAGAACGTCGACCCGCTCGCAGCATCGACCTTCCCGCTCGCGCTCGACGGCGGATTCGTGTTCGTGTGGCCCACCCGGACGACCCGGACGGCCTCGTGGTCGATACGGGCTCGCGAGACGACCTCCAGACGCGCGTCGCATACACTCAGATCGATGTCTTCGGACTGGCAGAGTACCGACCGTACCCAGTCGAGCATATGCCGTCGCAGCGGCCGCAGACTCAGCCCCAGCCCCAGCCCTCCGCCTCGGCGTCCACAGCTTACCAACGGGCTGCGCCGCGAACCCGCAGCACCCGCCGGCGTGCCCAGTCGCCGCCTGTGCCGGACGACGATGAAGACGAGCAGTGGCAAGAGCCCGCTTCAACTCGCGGTTCTCGCAGGGGACGATCGATGAGTTCGACCGCATCCTCGGGGTGCCCGCGGGCGCCGGGCCTGCCCGCCGTGGTCGCGCGAAGGCTTCGTCGGCGTCTCGGGGTGTGCAACGCACGGTCCGTGAGCCCGCGGCGAAGCGGAGGAAGACGAGCGGAAGACGAGCGGCGGGCACGAGGGAGTGGGCGCTGCCGCGCGATACTTCGTCGGAGGAGTCTGAGGCCGAGAGGCCGGTGCAGGCAGCGCGGGGAAGTGCGTCGCGCGCGGGTGCGGACGTGCGGACGGGGGGAATGGGTGCGGGTGCTGGCAGCGCTGTTTCCTGTCCCACTCCAGTCCAGTGCCCGTGCCAGCGCCAGCGTCGGTGCCAATGTCGGTGCTAGTGCCAGTGCTAGTGCGAGCACTGCTGGGACACGGCGGCGAGAAGCACGCTCGGTCATTGCCGCGACGCCAGCTAGGGTCCCTCAAGGGTTCCCGGATCTCGAAGAGCTGGACGCAGAGGACCGTGCATCCTCTCCCTCTCTCCACTGGCCGCCGAAGGATTGGCTTTCATCGTCGCAAAGCTCCGCTCCCCCAGCCTCGTCCCAGTCCGGCCCGCCAACAACCCCGTCGTCCTCCCAACCTCTTTCCCAGTCGTCCCCGCTCGCTCGTCCCAGAAACGACCGGTGCCGGACGACGACGTCATCAGCCTCTCCAGCGATGCCTCTGATAACGAGCGTCCGGCTACGCGCGCCCGCACGCTAGGCCCCGCCCACGACACGATGGATATGGACATGGAGTTCAACGGTGACGGCTCTCCCATGCCGTAGGTCACAGGTCCGCCGTGCGCGCTTCGGTGGGGGAAAGAAGGCTGAACGAGCGCCGAGCAGGGACGGGGCATGCGACCAGGGCGGGCCATGCGCACTGCGACCCAGCGAGGCGCCGGGGAGAGGCGCGGGGAGAGCTTCTTTGCAGGTACGATAGATCTCACTTGACCGACCGCGTGGGGCGGGCGACGGGCGGTACCGTGGTGGTTCCGTTCACTGCCAGGCGGGTGGACGGATGTTGCTGGGAGATGAGGATAAAAACTGTACGCCGACCTGTATTGATGCTTCGTGTAGAACACACCGCTCGATGGGTGATGGTGTACTGGTGTTGTGAAATACCCCATAGTCTAGTCTCCGATAGTCTCGTTTACGATAGCATATATTCTTTGTATATCCCCGCCTACTTAGTGCTCGTACGTACCATACGCCCCCGATTACCACCGCCTCGCTTAAGCACGGCACGCGGTCCCGGTTCACTTCGGAATCATGACTTCGGGAATGGTTAACGCGTTTCTCCCCCCGTCACGCGGCAGATTCGCGGACCCCACCGGGAAAGACGCGCCCCCGGCCGTCATGAGTGTGATCTTTTCCCCGACGACTGTATCGTAGGTCCACCGGGTTCCCAGAGCAGGCGCGCTGGAGTTCGCGGCAGAACGTCCGCTACATGGCAGCCGAGGGGGTCACGATGGGGCTAATTTGGTGCGCTCGGGGTTGGCGCCTTCGCCAGGCTGGCGGGGTGTCGGAAAAACCGCACTGAGAGTTGGTCAAGGCGAGGGATGATGTACATGAAATAAACAGCACAGCTGAGATACGTGCCGAACTGGGGAGTATAAATACAGATACAGAAAAGACCCATGTGCGCTACGCTATCCTGTTCGTGCGTATCTCGTGTTGAAGTCGTGGAGCGTCGTGAGCCGTGCAGAGTGCGTAGTATGATACATGCGTCGTGGCGTCTCGGTGTCTAGCGGGTGCAGATCGTCCCCGTTCCCCTCCACTGTCCTGGGCGGTACGTTCATAACCACGCCCATCCTCTTCCGCTCGCAGCGCGAGTGGGCGGCCGCTGGGAGCACTGCTCAGAATCAGATCGCGCCAAATACGGGCCGGCCGTCGATGACGGTCGCGACCGCGCGCGCGTCGAGGATCTGCGGGGGCGGGACGGTCATGACGTCCCGGTCGAAGACGACGAAGTCGGCGAGCTTGCCGGGCGCAATCGAGCCGAGGAGGTGCTCAGTGAAGGAGGCGTACGCCGGGTCGAGCGTCATCCCTGTGTGGGCGGGAGGTCGGCAGTTCAGCGTGCGGCATGGTCAGGGCGCAGCGCGGGCAGGTGTGGAACGTCGTGGAAGGGTGCGAGGGAGGGAGAGAGGGCACACCTTTGAGCGCTTCGGCGCGCGTCATTCGCTGTTCCGGGAACCTGGGGCGTGGTCAGGGTCAGCGTCGTGTGAGGCCAGGGGCGTGTCACAAGCGCTGTGCAGCGTTTGGGGGGTTTGTGCGCGGGAAGAGAGACGTACCATCCTCCAGGGCCGTGCGGGGAGGTGCCTTCGAACGAGACACGGGTAATGGCGGCGTAGAAGCCGGTGAGCGGGTTCATGTCCTCGACGGGGAAGTCGGAGCCGAGCGTTATGCGGGCGCCGTGGTCGATGATGCTACGGAAGGCGTAGAGTCCTTTGACGCGCTCGGGGCCCTGAAGAGCGGCTGTTAGCGGGCACGATCGGAACGAAACGAGGTTAGAGGACGGTCGGGCGTACTAGGCGCGTTTCTCCGAACCACATGTCACTGATGCTGTCGGTCATGTCGCTCCGTCGTCAGCGTCGTATTTTGGTGCATGCGTTGGATGGCAGGAACTCACGCATGGGTAGGTTGCACGCTTGCGATGACTGCAATATAGAGGGTCAAAAAGCGGACGGAGGGCAACGATCAACAGGGGTAACGGGAGAAGTTCCCACCTCCCAGGTCGCCAAAGCGCGCCATGTCCTTCTCGGCGAGGATCTGCGCGTGTTCGAGCCGTGGGCGCAGTGCGGAGACGTTCGCGCCTGTAAGCGCAGCCTCGAAGGCGTCGAGAACGATGCCGTTGGCCCGATCTCCGATCGCGTGCACGTTCTGTTGGCGCAAGGGCGTGAGGTTAACAGGGGGCCCGAGATCAATGTGCGCTAGACGCGACCCAACCCACCACTTGCCAGCCGTCCTTCATGAACCGCGGAACGACGTCGTTAAGCGTCTCGGGCGCGATGCGCATGGACCCGCGCGTTTCCGGATTGTCGGTGTACGGCTCGTAGAGCTGTGGGAGAGGGCGGCAACGGGGCAGTAGTCGCCGTCAGATGCGCCCGTAACAATCAGACTGGGTGGGCGAAACGCACCGCTGCTCCACCTGAGCGGAGGGCGCCTGCGGCGGCAGTGATCGGGGAGCGCTGGTCAGAGGAATGGAGCGCTGGATATTGAGCAAATCTTACCGTCTGCGAACACCTTGACGCTGCGGACACTCAGACGATTCTGGAGAATGATCTTCTCAAACGCGTCGCCCCAATAGTCGGAGGTTTCGTCGAAGTGCTTCATGCCGTATATGCGGATCTGTTGCCGGTGTTAGGCAAAACACGGGGTGGTCAATTAGTACGACGTACTGGTAGAGGGCCAGCCTCGGCCTCCCTGAATGAAGCGTAGTGAGCGCAGTAAACACATGTCATGCGGGCGACCTACCGCTTGAAGAATTGCAGGGATAAGGGATCGAAACCGGCATCATGAACGGAGGTGAGCCCGACGGCGTGGGCGTCTTTGACGGTCGAAATGAAGCGCTTGTGAAGCTCTTTAAATGTCGGCTTTACGCGAGGGACGAGATCCTGCGCCTTGTCCAAGAATACACCTGTGCCGAATGGAGAAGGGATTGGCGAGTGTCTCATGAGAGTGTGGCCGGGCAGACCTGTGGGTTGACCATCGGCATCGTGCATGATCATGCCGCCTTCGATCTCTTCCGGAATGTCACCCATAGAATCAATGACTGTCTTTGAGACCCAGAGCGCGTGACCGTCTTTGCTCTGCAAGATTATCGGGCGCCCAGAAAGAACATCGCTAGCTTCGAACGCGTGCTGTCAGAAGTGGATCAGCCTGGGACGGGAACGGAGGTGACGGCTGTCCGACGGACGTAGGTAGGCCAGTGCTCGGGCGACCACTTTGTGTGGTCCCAGCCCCATCCCTCGATGGGCTTGGAGGTGTCCGCGAGAATATCGGGATCTGCAAGTACGTAGGCCTCAATGCGCTCAACGGTCTCTGGCGTCAGATGGCGGGGTCAGTGGGAGGGAGGGAAATTGGAAATAGCGGGGTGGTACCGTGGATGTCTCTCGTCCCCTCTAACGGCATGACCTGCGTCGCGCCGTATTCAAGCACATGCACGTGAGAGTCTGAGATTGTGTGTGTGTGTGAGCGTGAGAAGGAGGAGCGGGGAGGAGGCGGGACGGAGTACCGCTCAGACCGGGGACCACAATCTGGCCGGGCTTGATGAAGCGGACTTGAAGGCGACCGGGGAAGGAGGCAGCCCAGCGGGATCGTACGTGATCTGGAAGAGTCTGTGAGCGGTTGAAAGCAGGGCGCCGGTGCGGAGACGCGCACCGAGTGATCCGGTGAAGATGAAGTGGGAGTCGTGGACGACAAGGCACTGGACACGAGGATTCGAAGGATCGACGGTGTGTATGTGTGCACCATCGGGAGCGCAGAGGGCGTATGAGGCGTGGAGTGCTTGGTGAGAGAAGAAGAGTTTGGTGGAGAGGAGGTAGGTGGAGATGGCGAGGGAGATGAAGCCGAAGAGCGCGGTCGAGACGGAGCGAGAGGTGGAACGGGGAACGGCGGCGGGGGGACAGGCGGCAGGTGAAGGGGAGGTGGAGTGCTTGTCTGCGTTGGGACGCTTGCGGAGATGGCCGTCGTCTGTGGGAGACATGGCGGGGGAGGAGACCGGGTGGGCGGCTGTGGAAGGAGGGGCTGTGGGAGGTGCTTATATGGGATACGGCCGGGCGTCGTGAGAGGGGGCCGGGGCGAAACGCGGTCAGGACGGACGCGATGCTCGGCGAAGACGCGAAAGGAGCATGGAACGAGCGTGCAACGTGCAGAGCCGGCTCGAACTCAGCGCCCTGGGCGCCCCCCCCACGCGAGGAGCGCCCAGCCACGACGCGGGAGAAGAGCGCGGGCGCCTGAAGGGAGCGCTCGTGCGTGACGCCTCTGCAGTCACGTAGCACGTGCACACCCCAAGCCACGTCGGTGTGGCGTCACTGCCCAGTGGGGCCAGTGCCCGTCCCGCCTCCCGCTCGCCATCTCCTCCCGCGCGCACGCTGGGCCCTGCGACTCGCAACGATGCCGCTGCACGACATCCTTCGGCAGCGTGCTCAGCCCTTCACGGCAGCCATTACCTCCAACCGCATCTTCCTCTACTCCGTCTTCTCCACCTTCGCCGTCGCTGCTACCGTCGCCAATGCCTGTCGCGAACACAGCAACTTCTATTCCGTCTCCATTTTCCTCTCTAACAGCAGTCGCAGTGTCCTGGTCGGTCTCCTTTCGCCATCTCCCTCTCTCCTTACTCATCTCCTGCCAGATCCTTGCCAACTTCGGCTTCATATGCTCCATCCTCTTTGGTCGCATTCTCCAGAAGCTCTTCTTTGGCACCCTACAGCCCCGTGAGGTCGAGGTGCGTCCCGTTTCTCTCCTTCTTGGTGCATATACCCACCTCCTCCCAGCGTCTCTACGACCAGACATGGATGTTTGTCACCGAGTCCCTCCTTGCCTTCACCATCTTCCGCGACGAGTTCGACATCCCCTTCCTTCTCATGTTCGGCTTCCTCCTGTTTGTCAAGTGCTTCCACTGGCTTGTGGCAGACCGCGTCGAATCTGTGAGTACCAAGCCTCTTCCATCCCTCTTCTCGACTAATCCCCTCGCTTAGATGGATCAAACTAATTATCCTGGTCCACCCACCCTCTTCCACATCCGCATCAACTCCCTCTTTGCCGTTCTCTGGGCTGTGGATGCCACCATGTTTGCCATTGCAGTCGAGAGCACGCTCAGCCACGGAGTCGGAGGCATGGTCCTCTTCGCGAGCGAGGTCAGTCCCTCCCACAGCCTTCTGTCCTTGCACGGACAGTACGTCATGCTCTTTCCACGCCGTCCCATCGGATTCCGATGCCATGTCACGATCACCCTCTTCCCGCTCGTTGTGTACACTCTTCCTCCGCATTGTACTGATGGTGTTTTAGTACGCGATCCTTCTCGCGAGCGCTCTCAATGCAATACTGCGCTACACGCTGTCCATCATCGACTTGCGACGCGCTCGCACACGTGGAGGCGAAAGCGCCCCTCCGTGGGAGAACAAGAGCATGTACATCTTCTATATCGAACTCCTCACTGGTGCTTTGCTGTCTTACCATCTTCTATCTTCACTCGCTAATTCTGGCGCGCTCCCGCTAACAGATTTCCTCAAACTGGCAACTTACCTGACGTTCTTCATGATCATCCTCACATTCTACGGGCTCCCGCTCAACATCATCCGTGACGTGTTCATCACCGCACGCTCGTTCATCACCCGTCTCCGCGCGCTCATCCGCTACCACAACGCTACCCGAGACATGGATCGGCGCTATCCCGACGCGACCGAAGCAGAGCTAGCCGTCATGTCAGATCGCACCTGCGTCGTCTGCCGCGAGGGATGGTTTCGCGCGCGCCTCCCGTTGACACCCCGCCAGTTGCCGACGGCGCTGCGAACGCCCAGCCAGAACATCAGCAAGCACAAGCGGCACCGCCCGCAGATGGGCCCAACATGACGCCCAAAAAACTGCCCTGCGGACACATTTTCCACTTCCAATGCCTTCGCTCATGGCTTGAACGCCAGCAGAGTTGCCCTACATGGTTAGTGCCTCAATCTCCGCCTTTCTCTTTGCTCATGATTTATGTCGCCAGTCGCCGAACGGTTCTCGAGCCCACACAGGACCAGGCGCTGGGTCAAGATCAAGCCCGCGTGGCGCGCCCTCGTCCCGGTGCTGCACCTGGTGCACCTAACGGTCAAATGGGCGCAGGGGCCGCTGGGCCACCAATGGGCTGGCTTGGACGCTTCCTCGGATTGCCGCCTGTTGTGCAGCCGCCCGCGCCTCCACCGCAATTCGGACCCGGCGCCTTCCCGGCGCCAGGCGCAGGAGCCGGCGCTGCGCTTCCCCATCCGCAACCGTTCCAACACCAGCAACACCAGCAACAGCACCAGCATCACCAGCAGCCGCTCGGGTGGGGCGCCCCGCTACCACCCCATCTCGCCGGGCAAATCCCCCCTCCGCCGCCGCCGCCGTTTTATGGGCAGGGTTGGCAACATCCCCCACCACCCCCGCACGCACCACCCCCATTCCGTGGGTTCTATGGTCCCGGCCAGGCGTGGCAGGCGTGGGGAGACCCCGCATGGTACGCTCAGGCCGCTCAAGCAGCTCAGCACGCCCCTGTACCTGCACCTGCCGGAACACAACCCGCGGTGGAGAGGCACCCTACGCACACCCCTACAGCGGTCGATGAGCGTCAGCCGATCGCATCTGGGTCTGGTGGCCTCGGACATGAAGGCGGGCCGCCACGCCCAACACCTACAACCGCTGCTGCAGACGAGGCAACCGCGCCGTCTCTGGCTGAACCTGAGACAGAACCAGAACCGAATAGCCCGCGCGCCGCGGCAACGCTCGCTGCGCTTCGGAGACGCCAGCTAGGGGCTTCCGCCAGCCCGAACGCAACGGCCGAGCGCGAGAGCAACATCGTATTCGTGCCGAAGCGGCGAAGTTCCGTCGTCGCAAGCGTAAGCGCGGGACAGAGCGAGCGCCCTCCGATGACCGCGGGCGCGTCCTCGTCTTCGTCCTCGCGCAGCGCCGCTTCTCCCGCGAGCCCCACATCTCCTCCTGCCCCCTCGCGCCCCCAACTCGTAGGATCGTCGTCGAACCAGACGTTGCCCGAGCCGCACGCCCAAGGCCATCCACCCCTCCCGGCGCTCATCCCCCTGTACGACCCAAGCCTCGTCCTCCCACCGCGGCCCGCGCCCCCGTACCCGTACACTCAGCGCGCGGCGGACGCAAGTCGCCGCCGCCCGCTTGCAGAGCTCCCCGCAGCACTGACGGACGCCCAGCTCGCGCGGCTCGACGCGCTTACGCGCGAGGCGATCGACGAGCGGCTGCGCGTACTCGAGGGCGTGTCTGGCGCGGTGTACCGCTGCGTGGAGGAGCTGACAAGGGTCCGGAGCGTGCTCCCGGCCACGCAGGGCACGGCGGCTGTGACCACGGCCCCAGCGGCGTCTTCGAGCGCGGTGGCGGCCGCGGAGTCGTCTTCAGAGTCTGGAGAGAAGGCTAAGGAAAAGGAGAAGGAGAGGGAGTTGCAGAGGGAGGGAGAGGGAGAGGATGCAGGTCCGAACGTGAGCGCGAGGGACGAGTGGTCCTCCTCGGGTTCGTCGGACGCGGAGCTCGTCGAGGCGGCGGAGTCGAGCTAGACGTGATGCGTGTTGGTCAAAGCCTTGTCGATCTGTTACATTTGCTCTCGAGTCGCAAGTACATTGTATTCTACGTCCACCTCGTGTGGCTGCGTACGACGTCTCACGAGATGTGTGGCGAGCGCCCAGGCGCATCGTGGGCGACCGTTGTAGTCCAGGTGTGTGCTTGAAGGCGCTCCTCGATGATCTTGAATCGCGTGGCGAAAAACAACCCCGCTCGTGCCACCGCTACAGCTCTGGCGCGGTGCGTCTCGTTTTGCGAGGACTTGCTATAACTCATAGTTCTGAGCAGCAAAACCACCATAAACTTAGATGAGCGGCGACGTGAGTCGACTTGTCGCCTTCGAAGTCGGTCGTCTTTTCGTGAGAACTGCAAAGATGCCTCGATACAACTTAGCATCTCAGAGATTAGATATATAACGTTGAAAGGACGGATCCAGGGCAGGGGCGGCGAGGGTAAACGGATGAAGGGACGGACAATTCTGAACGAGTCAAGCAAAGTGTTTGCACCCCCACGTCACCCGCATTCCAGGCCGGAGATGCAGTTAAGTACATGATACAAATGAAGACATGGGCCAAGCATTAGATTATACATACAAGACTAATTATACAGAGAGCTTGGTATCCTACACAAGAAAATTCGACCATCCACGTCTCCACGCGCGCATGTAAAGCACCATCCGGCGCGCCGGCTTACCATCGTGCCCGCTCAAGAACCGTCATTGTACTGCGGGCGTCACGCGTTGCTCGAGAAGCTCTCTCCTCGTCGCGCGCTCCTGCATGAGCCCCCAGTTGACCCACCAGTTGTCTGCCTCATCCTCGGCATCGTACCCAAACAGCTGCTCGACCACCTCGATCATCTCCGGGCTCGACTCCGGCGTCAAGCTGTCGACCCCGCCGCCGAGGCTCGCGAGCCCGCGCTCCGCTCGCGCGCGCTTGTCGTCGTCGTCCCGCTCGACGATTCCGGGCGGGAGCGAGGTCGCGAAGATGTTGCCCGACGCGGCCTTGAAGACAGAGGCGACGGGCCCCTCGCGGATTTCCTGCACCGCGTACAGCAGGGTGTCGATCTGGTCGTGTCGGGTGAGGTGCGAGAAGAGCCGGCCGAGGCACGCCGCGTCGCACGTGCACATCGCGACCGAGAACAGCGAGCCGACCTGCGAACGGGTGACGTGTGGCCAGGAGCGCCGCGAGCGATCCAGAGTGCAGGCGAGAACGGGCGCGTTAGTCGGCGATCGGCAGAAAGAGCGATGGGGGACGACAGACAGGGGTGGGGTGCGCGCCTTCGCCAATGCACAGGAGACGGCCGCCGGGGTGAGCCCACTCTTCGAGCTTGGGGTGGTCGGCCATTGGAACGACGGTGATAACTGACGCGTGCTTCGCAATCTCGTGGAGCCGCGGGTCCGAGTCCTTCAACGATGCGAGGACCTCGTCGACCTTGCCGCAGTACGGCCACTCGAGCAGTTCCGCGCGCGGTGCGAACGCGTAAAGGGTGAACGCGTCATCTCCTGTGATGGATTTCTGCGCCCGGCAGCCAACTAAGCACGTCGTGGCGGCGCAGGACTGGATCTGCGCACCACGGGAAACCCCAGTGCTCCACACCCTGACCCATACCACGTGAAGACTTTGCCCTGTTTAGAGGCCATCTCAGTGTCCAACCTACATGACGTTCCACCACTAGACGGACCCCTTTTCGCAGCTGCGCGAGCATCTTCTTGTCCTCCAGCCGGTCCAGATGGGCTTCAGGTATATTGCAGCTGCGCACGCATTTCAGGCGGGGTGTTTCACGGGTGCCAGTAAACGAAGAATAGACGTACTTGAAGAGCTGCATGCCCATCCAAGTGCTCTTGTGGTCCTGTCCGAGCGCATTCAAGACCGCCACGCGGCACACGTTTCCTTCGAGTATGTACCCATCAGCACCGAGCACGGCGTCGCCGATGAGGACGTCGCCGGACTCCAGCGTTAGCGACGGTTTCACGGGGTCGGGATGCACAGACAAGATATTTTCGATTATGATCTTCACGCCCATCTCCGCGGCGTACTCCGCGAGCACCTTGCGAAGCTCCGCGTACTGCGCCAGAGGAGGCGGGGGAGCTTCAGAGAGTCTCAATGAGAGAAAACAGTCGCTGACGACGTACGCTCATGAACAACGTGTCGCCACCGAGCTCCTCTAGGATGCTGTCTTCCCACGAATGTTTCCCGACAACCACGCCTGAGTAGACTGGGTGTGCCTCAGAGGGCGTCACTCATCGTCATAGGCTTGTCGGAAGGACTCACAAGAAGCAAACAAGGTACCCTGAGACTTGACGGACACGGCGTGGAGACGCTCCTTCAGCCCCCATCGGTAGTAGTGCTTGGTTGAGTTGGGTGGCAAGCGGATGCCCGAGTCGAATTTAGTCTGTGGCGAACGCGGCCATTGCGTGAGGGCTAACACCAAATAAACCTGATGCAGATGTACCGGCTCGTACGGAGATGAACGATCGACGACGATCACATTGTGTCCGACACGCCTGAGGGCAATCGCTGCCGACAAACCACATAACGATCCTCCAGCGATCACGAAGTCGATGGAGAGTACACCAGACTCGTCGCCCTGTTTTCATTCCTCAACAACGCATCGTACGGATGCCAAATCACGCACCATGAAGCTCGTTGGACATGCAAGGGGTGGGGTGTCATCGCTATTGTCGTCAACAGAAGCGGGCTCGAGCTCAGAGCACCCGTCGGGGGTACTGAGGTCGAGGTCGTAGAACATGGTACCGTCGTGGAGGTGAGAGGGCGAAACGGTAGCAGCGGGGGGAAAGCCGTCGTGGCGGATATATAAAGTCCGTCACTCCGGTACTAAGGTAAACAGGGGCCAGTCCGACCCCGATCTCGGCTTTAACGGAGTCTGCCTTGTAGCAGGCCGGGCGCGATTTGGTTCGGGTGGATGGCGTCTGGCAGTAGCACACGAGATTATGAACGAAGGGACGAGTACAAGCAGGGCGTACTCACCTATGGCAGCCCGCTGAGCTGCATGAAACCGTCGTCCGTCCTCCCGGGAGGTAGGTGTGGAGCAAGGGGTTTGCTCTGGCGCTTGCTTTGCAGCGCACCAAAATGTTTGATCGGACTCCGGAGCCTTAGAAAAGGCAGTACGGAAAGCTCTCAACGAGTGCACGGTGTAGAGGGGATGATGGATGCCACCATATGGGTCACCACTCTGGTATAACGCGAGGATACTCATGGGAACGACGGACCGACGGTGATGACTGCGAGCATGGTGCATGAGCGCAGGAGCGACTTTGACGTCTGCAGCCTAAGGCGGGTAACAGCAAATGGGTAGGAAAGAGTTGCAGTCAACCATCCCCACCCATTGACCGACACCACAGCCGACGAGGGCACCTTCGTCACTGCGGCAGACGATGACAAGCGATGGCGGGCGGGTCCGCGAACGGTCGGTCGAGATCCACGATCGGGTCCGCAGGAGACAGACCGCCGACGACTCGCCCCCGACGCTGCGCTCCTCAGCGCGGACCGCAACGAGCGACGAGCCCCCTCCCCCGCGCCGTACCCATCACTCCTCACCTCGCGCGCGGCCTCGGACGACGCCAAACCGCATACGGACTCGTCGAACGCGCATCATGATCCCTCAAAACCTCCACCCCGGCCACCTCCACCACTCGCCTTCGCCGTCGTCCTCCGCCGCCGCGGCCCCGTCCGTGGCGCAGCGCTCTGCGACGCAGCCGATACCACAGGCCCTGCTTCCCACTCGGACACACTCGCGCGGAGATTCTGGCCTGCCGCTCTCCGTCCCCGGCTCCATGGCGTCCTCGAGCCCGCAGATGTCGAAGCCCAATCCTTCTCCGTCAAAGGTGCGTGTACATTGCGTTCGTTACTTCGGACGTGGCGGAGGGGATACGTGCGGATGGCCCGGAAGCCTCTGGACTTTGTCGTGCTCTTGGGTGTTCACGGGGTGTCGCGAGGGAGAGCACTCTGGCAGGAGGCGGGCGTTGACGGAGTGCCCTGGGCTTGTCTCCTGCCACGGCCATGCGCAATTGTGCGTGGTGGGTGGGTGTATGCACTGGGGGGCGGGAGGAGTGCGGTGGGAGCGAAGGGAAGGGGTCCCGGGGGCGGTGGCGAGCAAGAGCGGTCTTGATATGCACGGGGACGTCCCCTGCCGCACGAGGGCGATCATACATACGCGCTGGCCTCCCGCCAAACTTCTGTTCCCAGCTGCAAGTCTCGCTCTGCTGACAGTGACACGCCCCCGCCAGCCGTCCTCCGCGCGCACTTATGATTCGAAACTCGTCTCGCGTGAGATGCACCGCCTGGGCACCCTCGCCCACCTGCCCTCCACCACCGTCTCCCTCTCCGCCGCCTCCGCCTCCTCTCTTGCCCTCGCCATGCCCGCCTCGACCGCACCTAGTCTCGCGCAGACACTCTCCAATGATAACCCATGGACGTCCCTCCACGTGCTCGTCCTCCCGCTCTTCAACGGCGAACCGCTCCGCGTTCCGATGTGCGTACTCCTGCGTCCGCATGGGCGCGCCGTACTTACCCAAGAACACCAGCGAGGATCTGAACCAACTCGCAAGGCGACATATATCGACAGTCGTCTCCGCAGCTCCGAGCAAAGCCTTCGCTGGTCTTGAGAACGACACGTTCGAACTCATCGCCAATGGCATGGTCACGCTCAACTCGAAGCTCTCCGGTGTGGATGAGGAGAAGCTTGTGCTTAGAATCGGAGATCTCTGGACCTTCTTTTGGACCCAGGTGCTGCCCTATCTCGAAGGGGTCAGTGTTCCTCCCGGTATCCTTCCGCTGTCGTTCACCCCTTGCTCGTCTTAGGCCCTTCTCCCACTACAAACCGACCCCGTCCTCTTTTCGCTCTACCGAGGGCCCAAATCGCACCGTCCGTCTTCCCCAACCACCACTCAGAACGGGAAAGGCTCGAAGACGCTCTTACAGGCCACCGGACCCCAGATCGACGTCCGCGCGCTCGCGCTTGTCTCCTTCCGTGACCGCATCATCCTGCCCCTCTTCCCCCGCCTGTACGCGCGGCTGACCATGTTCAAGGATGAGCACATAAACGAGCACGAGGTGCAGACAGGACGGCTCCGTCAGATGTGTGTCCCGCTTGCGTTCCGAGTCTCCGCGTGTCCGCATACTCACATCCCGCAGGCTCCTCGTCCTGGTTTCCCAACGCTCCCAACGCTTCACTCTCCTCTCTCTCACCGCCAACCCGCCCCAGCTCAGCCAAGGCGAAGCCGCAGTCGCGCGTCTGCTGCGCGCGATGCACGCGCCCATCGGCTCGCTCGCACCCCGCACCGCGCGCGCGACCGCCGCCGGTGCGCCGTCCTTCCTATCCGCAGGCGCCCCGCGCGACCGTCGTGGACGCATCGCGCAGAAGACAGACGCGGCGATGGGTGCGCGCCCGCGCTCGCAGTGGCGGATGGGTGGTGGGCTCGGGATGGGCGCACGCGCGGTTAGGCGCGCGGGTGGGCGGGAGAGCGCAGACTGGGACGACGGCGAGATGGACACGCCGCGTGGGACGGTCGCGTTTGCGGACCTGGGGCGCGAGCGGGACAAGGAGCTGCTGGAGAGCCTGAGGTACGTCCTTGTTCGTCTTGGGCTTTGGCTGCATCTGCAGTTGGGTTTGCGCGTGGGGGCATAGGGTCGCCAGGCGCAGGCGTTCTTGCACCGGCCATGTCGCCGCGAGGCGTACGTGCATTCTCGTGTGGAGCCGTGCCGACGTCGTCCGTGGCAGCGGCAGCGCGATTTGCGTGGAATCTGGTTGAGCGCGGCCCGGGCCTTCGAACGTCTTGCACGACGATATTTTGACGATTTACGTTAGTGCCCGCGTTCGTGGGTCGCAGCGTTCTTTTCAATGCTACGGGCTGGGCTGGGTCGTGCTGTGCTTGGATATGGTTGGACTCACATTTGGACACCTCCGCTCGTCAATCGGACTGCCTTTCTGGAGGCGTCGCTGACCTCTTCTTCCAGGAGCCCGGATTTGGAAGCCACGCAACGGATGAGCATGGGCGGCTGGGGCCTCGGCGCAGGCCGTGAAGACGACTCGCACGCGGATGACGAAGAGAACGACGGGCCAATGGACTGAAATCAGGCTCAGGTACGCTGATTGGACCTGGGAGTGGCCCGTCTGGACGTGGGTCGTTACATAAACGCGACGTCGGGGCTTGCATCGATCAACGAACAGGCGGTCGAGCATATGATCGGCCGAGCTGGTGGCGAAGGGACAGCGCCGGCGGGCGAAGCTGCCAATCCAAGGGTACAAAGTGTTAGGTGCGCTATGTTTATTGTTGTCTATGTTATGTTCTTGTAAGGACTGCTTGTTGTACAATCACCCAGATTTGACCCAAATTGTATTTACCGGCTTGGCAATGAACGGTCAGCGTAGGCAAGGGATGAGGGGAACCGTGGCATCTCACCCTCGGACGCTAAAGGACGCGCGATGACGCGCCTGTCGCTGACGAGCTGCACTGTTTTCCCTCGAGCTCTGCCTGGGTGCGTCTCTACCGTCGGGGGGAAATCCCGAGCACGCACGCGGCGTGCGCGCTCCATCCGCGGCGTCCGGACAGGCTCCTGTCATGCCCCACGCGAGCTGTCCAGTGGCTGATCCGCCACAACAGCTGTTCCGCGCTGTTCTCGCCCTGCGCGCGTCGTCTAGAACGTTAAAGTACGCCGCCTCGCCGCCTTGGATGTTCTAGACCTCGCCCTCGATCCCCCCCGAGCTCTGAATCCCCCCTCCGTTGACGGCAGCAGCGACAACGCACCACATACCCGACTTCATGGTGCGTGGTTAGGTGTGTGACGCGTTCGAGGCGCTGACAGGGTGCTTGCGTTCAGGGCGACAAAACCGATGTCCTCTCCATCGACTTCTTGATCGCTGGAGGGTCGTTATGTGGGCTGTCGGCAGCGATAGCCCTCAGGCGCGTGGGCCACAACGTGACCGTCATCGACCGCACCTCTCCATACGAGCCGGTACGTGTACATGAGACTTCTTTCGGTCTTGGCCCTCGCCCAACGTCCATGCGCGCCACAGACGAATCACGACTCGGGTGTTCGCTTGCCACCCAACTCGACCAAGATGTACTATCGCTGGGGGCTGAAGGAGCGCCTTCACGCCGTCTCCGTCAAGTCTCATGGCACTCTATTCGCGTCTTGTGAGTGCTTTCATTGCTGGCCAGAGCGCACGGGCTGAAGACCTCCCAAGTCCACTCAGGTTCGATTGTCGGGAACCACGCGTGGGAGGAAAGCATCTTGGAGGAGATTGGCGGTGACACTCTACTCGTAAATGTGAGTCATCGAAGCCCATTCCTTCCCCGCGAGTCTCTGGAGCGTTTTGGTTTGTCCGCTGCAGTATTCCCGGCTCCGCAAGGTGCTTGCGGAGCATGCCACGGAGATGGGTGTGAAGCTCGTCATCGATACCATCGTATCCGTACACCCTGACCGCGTGAAGCCGTCGCTGAAACTGGAGTCCGGCGAAACCCTCACTGGCGACGTCGTGCTCGGAGTCGATGGGTATATCTTTGAGGGGAACGTCTGCCGCAAGGCTGTTATGGAGGCGTTCGAGCAGGAAGACGAGAGCACACCGTTGGGCACCCAGCTCTTCAAGTACGCCGTGTCCTTGCTCCACTGTGATCTGCGAACACCTCTGCTGATGCGCTCTCGCAGTTGCCACATACTCGAAGCCGATTTGGAACGACTTGAGGACAAGGAGATGCTCGCGCAGCTCCGAAAAGGGGTGCGTCTTTTGCGATAGGCTGTTGCACCGGAGGTACTCAACACTGAGCAGGCCTTCGAGCAGGGCAAAGTGTTCACGTGGTACGGCTCGGGGCATGGAGCGATGGGTTTCCCGATGGTGCGTGACGTCGGCCGCTGGCACGGCGACGGCTGACTTTACCTTGGCCGATGTCCGCAGATAGCGGTCACCGGGGAAGACGCGTTTGCGTTGTACGCCTTCGCGCCAAGAACGGAGGGCCATCTGTGGCCGTACGTCTGCGAGATCGACGAGTGCCTCGAGGCGCTCGGGGACTCGGACCCGCGCCTCCGCCAGCTCGTCAAGCACTCGTCGTACATCACCTGCGTGCCCATAGCCGGCCGCCCCAGTCTCGAGGAGTGGATCCACCCCGACGGCCGGCTCCTGTGCATCGGCGAAGGCGCCCACCCCACACCGGTCCGTCTCCGATCGTTCGTCTGCGGACTGCTGACCGCTGACGTTTTTCCGTCCCGCGCCTCCATTCCCGACATCCAAATCCTGCGCGCGGTGCGTCAGGTCGGCTCGCTGTTCTCGGTCGCGATGTGCACGTGCGACGCGGCGTGCCTCGGCCGGCTCTTCTCGCACCTCACCCGACACGACCAGATCGACACCCTGCTCTCGGCGGAGCAGGAGATCCGCGAGGCGCGCGTCTCGTCCGTCTTCAAGGCGCGTCGGGCAACATCTTCGCGCTCTCGCTACCGCCTGGGGTCGCCGAGCGGGACGACGACGACGAGCGGGCGCGGCGGAGCGCGGGCTGCAAGCCTCGACGGCCTGCAGGGTGCAGGGCCGAGCCAGGGATGATGGAGGCGGTGGAGCAGCTGTTCAGCTACGACGCCGAGGACGAGGCGGACGACTGGTGGGTTAACTGGGGGCTCATGCAGGAGCGCGCCACGCAGTGGAACTTGGGCGGGATGGGGATGGCGGTCACGGTTGAGGAGGGCGAGGGTGAGGAAGGGGAGGCGTGATGACGGTGCGCGCGCGAGGCGTTGTAGGTTCGCAGCTTTTGCGGCCTTTACGCGCGTGGAGGGGTGGATGGCTGGGTTTGCTTTGTACTTTCGGTCGGACACTTGGTGCATATATATCCTCCCGGCCCTCACGCCGTCGATCGCGTTCTCGATGAGCACATCCGGCCGTCGGTGTGATCAGTACTATAGTAGTGCCATCTAATGCTCGAGGCTCCCATGCGTAACATGTCGACCTGCGATTCATACTCTGCCGTCCTGGGTCCGTAAAATCCAAAGTCCGCAGTGCCGTCGGCCTCCCGTGACCGTGGTCGCCTCACTCGTGCTCGTCGTGCCCAACCTCGAGGTCCGTTGGCGAATACGTCCGCTCCGAGCGCTCCGCCGGCAGCCCCCACTCCTGCCACCACGCCTCCGCGTCGTCCTCCGGATCGTACGCCCACACCGTGTTGATGAACTGGCGGCGCGTCGCGAAAACCCCCGAAGTCAGCGTGCGCACACCATCCGAAAGAAAAAAAAACAAATATGGCACACGTACGCTGATCAGCCCGTCCGTGCCCTCGAAGTTCCGGTTCCCGCGCGTCATCGACGCTGGGGCGGGGTTCTGGACGGCGACTGGGCCGTCGGTCACCCCCGGCGGAAGCGTGCCCGCGTAGGGGTTCTGGCGAGCTCGGCCATGAGCTGGGCGAGGCGCTGGCTCCGCTGGTCTTCGACGCGGCGAGGAACTGCGGGATTTGGGGGCGCGAGTGGAGGTGGGAGAAGAGCGCGCCGAGGAAGGCGCCGTCGCCGGCGGCGAGGCCGATGGGGTATAGGGAGCCGGGCTGGGAGGGGGTCAGTACTAGAGCGGGACGGGGCGCGCGGGGAGGACACGCACGTATAGAGGATGGGCGGCGTCGCCGAGGACGATGACGTTGCCGTCGGGGTGCGTCCAGCTCTGGAGGGCGGGCAAGTCAGAGATGGAGATGCGGTTGACGGTGTGTGCGGCTTCGGCGAGTTTCGCCAGGCTGGTGCGGGTGGGTCAAGGAGGTAAGTTCGCGCGGGCACGGAGGAGGGGACGCGATGCGCACCGGGGGTCGCAATTGCAGAAGTGTTTGATGAGAGCGTCCCTGCTTGTTAGCTCAAGGTTCTTGTCTGCCACATCATCTGCGGTGTACATGTACATGAAAAAGTCCGATCTATCCTCCTCTGCGCCTTCCTAACGGTTCATGCGTTCAGCTTGAGTAGTCTGCGGGCGGAGACCATCGACGACATACCATGAACCATCCCACGGCGCCATACCCGCCGTGGATCCAGGCAAAAATGTTATCCTACCACTCCGATTTAGCGATCTGTATCTACAAGCGAATGGCGACTTACTCGTGGGTGGAGCTCCTCAACGAGTCCCTGGTCGGCCATGTTCGCCAACGCATCTCCCCGGATGTAGAGGCTGCGAGATAAGGCGTCAAAAGGAAAGGAGATGGGACAAGATGGAGTACGCACTTGAACGCTTGCCGTCCCGTTGGCTTCTCGACGTTCTCCTGGCCCAGCGCGTCCATCATCCACTTCCGACTCGACCCCTCCGGCCACATCGCACCGTCAGCGCAGACCACGACGTCGGCCTCGATGATCTCCCCCGAAGCGAGCGTCACGCTCGGCCGAACGGCGTGGGCTTGGATGGACAGAACAGTGCACTGCGAGCGAAGCGTCGCGCCAAGGTCTTCCGCGCGTTCGGCCAAAATCCGAGAGAGCCGGGCGAACTGGTGGGGAGGACAAAGGAAGAGGGAGTTGGGCCGGGCGGGGGGGACGGCGGTGAGAACGGAAGCAGGGCGGACTCACGGGCATCGTCAGCAGGTCGCCGCCCTTCTCCTCGAACACCTGCGCGCCGAATTCCCACTCGCCCAGCTGCTTCCCGGACGTGTCTGAGACGCGCGGGCGGACGGACGAGTTGGATGAGCGCGTCAGGCGCGGGAGAGAGCGAGAAGTGGAGACGTACGGTCGAGCATCTTGATGCCTGCGATTTTGAGCCCGTGCCGCTTCATCTCTGCCTCCATGCCCCAGCGGTAAAACGAGCGGGTCGCGTTTGGGGATATCCGGGAGCCTCCTGGGGATTGGATCTGTTGGGTGGATGAAGAGTGAGGATGGGTGGAGCGCGGGATGGAAGGAGAAAAGTGGTCGACGCACGTCCCGGATCGGCTCTTTCTTGTCCAGGACCGTCACTCTATGCCCTGCGAGGCGGAGCGCGATGGCGGCGGAAAGGCCAGCGACGCCGGCCCCGACGATTAGAAAGTCTATCGAGAGGAATTGTGCTTTCGACTGCTGCCGGTCGATGTGAGGGTCGAGTGCGATGGGGAGGGGATAGAAGTGACACACCATGTCCTCGCTGTCGCGGCGTGCGCGTCGGTTGATGGTATGAGTATCCAGTGTGAGGAGGGGGAGGGGGCGGGAAGAGCAAGTCGGAGGATGATTCGCGACGCGCGTGGCGACGAGTGACTTTGAATGTCTCACCACGTGGGGAGGTCCTCGACATCCGGGTAGCTGGGAAGCGTCTCGTCTTGCGAGGCCAGATGATCGGGCCAGGGGTCGCATCAGGCGTTCTGCCCGCCACTGACACTCGTTCCCCGCCCGGCGGAGAACGGGGTGGCGAGTGGCCCAAGACGGTCGCACGAGAGACGGTGTTGCGTCGGGTACCAGGCTCGAGTGCAGGGTTGCTACGGTGTAGAAGACCTGGAAACGCGGATGAGCTCCAGATTGTGGTCGACTCCAGGATGTGGTCCGGTCGAAACGAGGGGCGGGCCTCAGGGCGACGCCACCGCATCTCGCCGGTTGCATCCTCGCGTGGGGCCTCGAGAGCACTTATCTCAGACAGCCTTTGCGCTGACCAGCACTCGCCGTTCTAACACCTCGCGACAACGCTTTCAAAGGCACCACACGGCTCCTGCCCGGGTTGATGTATGTACACTTGTCCTGCTGATGTATACCTTCAAGTCCTGGCGCCACCGCCGCCGCCGCCGCGAACCTGGCGGGCGGGGGCCGCGACGGAGAAGTCGTTCTCCGCGGAAATCTTGCCACGCCGTCGCTCGTCGACTGGCTCTGCGCCGCGCACGGGGAGACCGTCAGCACTCGGGCAGGCGCGAGATAAAGAGAGGGAGAGCCAACCGGGATCGATGCAGATCAGACGAGCAGGATGCTGGCCAAATTGGTCGCGCGCGCGACGAGTGCGTAGCCTGCACGAACGCTTCCGAAGGCGCTCGTTCTCGACAGGACAGGCAAGGGCGCACGCCCCATCGGTCTGTCCCGCTCCACATGGCGACCGCGCGACACGGCCCGCGCGCGCAGGAGCACTCACCCGCTGTTGCTTTCCAAAGCGGATATGTCATTCATACAGCGCGTCGAACCGCGCTCAGGACTACTGTACATCATGCAAAGAACGGCTGAACCCACAAGGGCAGACTCAGAATCGTTCACGGAGATCAGTGACGCCGAAACGTTGCAACTAGGTGCGTCTACGACTTCACCTTCAATCCCGTCCAAGTCGGTCTGATTACATACATATCAGGCACCATCCGTCGTTTCGACGCCGGCGTTTCTCCACACCACGAATCCGGGCCAACTCCCTGTTCGACATCGACCACTGGAACCAGAACCAGACATAAGCAGTTTTCCGCCGACAGGGGGAAGCAGGGAAGGCACTCACGGTAACGGTATACGGGGAACGGCGCATTTCACAAGCCTCTCACGCGTCTTCGGCGGTCCAAGCTCATCGTCATGGAACTCATCTGCCTCGACGCGCACCCGGAGGACACCGGCGGCTTCGATGTACATCCACTCCGCCAGGGGCGAAGCGAAGAGCTCGTGGGACGAGGTCACTTCCGATCCCGGCAGCCAAAAGTGTGCTCGCTCTGATGGGTCGCTGGGGGCGGACGGGCATGGGTTTCGGGGAAGACAGGGCAGAGAGAGGAGCACGTACAAGGCGCAAGGTTCCAGAAGGTAGCCAAAGGGAACGTAGACGACAGTGACTGGGCGTGAGTGAGCTTAAGGGCGCGAAAACGACGTTTGTCGGGTCCCAACCTCATCCGAGGAGTCGACCTTGGCGAGGATAACCTCGGAATCAAAGGGACGGAAGACGCGGAGTTGGTAGTCGTACCTCCACCCAGTGCGAGACAGACTCACCGATCTTTGTACCACAGACATCCATCTCCGTACCACACCTGCCCTACCCTGGCTCCGCGAGGTCGATGACGCCTATGCGCAAGACGACATTGTGCAAGACACGTATCGCGTGGACGTCGTTGAGCGCATTGGTGATATCTTGTTCTGGAGGTAGACGAACTGTGCCGGATGCACAGCTACTGTGTACTGTCAGTTCACGTTAGACATAGGCGGTGGCGAAGGAAGACGCACGGACCTCAGGCCTCGATCATGGAGAGCTGGAACACAGAAGGCGGGACTCGGTGTTCTGCTCGACGGCCAGATGCTTTCAAGTACGAGACGGGATGAGAGAGCGCGAGGCGGCGCAGAGAGAGAGAGAGAGCGCGAGCTCGCTCGACGTGGAGTCCGACCTCGCGCACATGACGCAATCGAGCGCCTGCGGTGACCCCTCGCCCGGCGCAAGCTGACCGTCCTTAAGCTTGGACTCGAAGCAGGGCGACGCCTCAAGGCCTCATCGACGGCGTACCGGCGCATCTCGATGCGCCAGAATCTCGCCCAGCACGCTTGCCTCCACGCCCTTGCGTCCCAGGGCGTACAGCGATCGAGACAACCCGTCATCCCCAGCGTCCCGACGCCTTTCGACCTGTCGACCATCGGCCATCGACGCTCCGCTCCAGCACGCCCCTTTGGCCGTCCTGTCCGTGTGTGGCAACCCTTCGCTCTCCGCCCTTCACTGTGGTCTCGAAACGCACGCGCACATCGGCCGTCCGACACACCGTCCCCACACACTCGAAGCACTCCCCACCGCCAGGTATCACCCAAGAACCCGTCAGTGAGCGTGTGCAAACCA